AAATATACTCACAAGGAGAAGGACACACAACGTAATCATGGTCCCCTGCAGCTTAGTTTCTTGCCCTTGTGCGATGTCCTCTGTTCCGAGTGCTTCCACACACTCATTAGGTACTTCACAACAGAGATGTTTCGTTGGTCTTTGGTAGGCATTTCCTATATTGGTTTGAACAAGTAACCCATCATTCATCTATTTGAGTAATTTTCTGTCTAATGAATAGTATGTTCCAATATGGACAATATATTCAGAATTATCATACAGATCGACATTCTACAACACTGCTTATTTTACTTGTCAAGATGTTTCAAATTTTTAACCAGCTTTTTCATAATATGGCAATAAAAGGACAAAGTAAAAAATCTAAAGATTTGGTGGTGGTAAAAAGGCAGTGTTGACTCAATGTAATCTCTTCCATTAGTAGGAAAATCCAATATCCCTTCTTACCCCAGTTATTCCATTGGAATCTGGAGGGAACCACATCTTTTTGGAGGACAGTCAGGCCCACTTTTTGTTTTGTAGAGCTCTTCAGGTCTAAAATGAAAGCTGCACACATATGTGCTTCCACGTTGCACTTTAAAAGTAGGACCCTCATCCCTGCGAATTGCCCTGATCCACAGGGCACGTCTTGAAGTATCCTTCGGGAAATCATGGTAACTCATGTATGGATGAGACTGTTTGTTGTTTGAGCAACCCAGGAACACAGCAGTGACATCGTCTTAATGACTGGGCCATCCTGTAACAATAAAAATAAAAAAGCACAGAGAAAATTGAAATTAGAACATTTGACTTGAATTTTAATCAACTTTTAGGAGGGATATAGGTGTACAGTTTTTACTCTTTAAGGTGTTAATTTCAAGCCTATGTAATGTACTGAACAGTAAAACATACAATGTATACTTAACAAGAAAATGTATAGCTCTGTTATTGGGAGGATCATTGTTTATTTTTGTGATGTTTTGGTGAAAGGTGGGCAAACAGCAGATTTTTCCAGCAGTGAAGAGCTGTTTATTTAAATCACAGATCTTTTACAGTACAAGGGGAGCAATGCTCTGTTTGTGAACATTGTTTTGACCCACCATAGAACTAATATTATCAATTTAATACATTTGTGTTGCCCACCAAAGCCTCGGATAGTCAAGCGTTTCTCACGGTTCAGTAGCATGTTGCTAATTTGCATTATCATTTGGAGCTAAGATAGCCTATTCTTTGGAAGCTAACAGATTGCAGCACTATCTACAGATCTATAACTAGGAAACCAAACAATAGTTACACAGATCAATTAATAACGTAAGCAAACACATTAGAATCAATCTTCCCAAATCAGCAGTCGTTAGCATTACAACTGGCTACAAGCTTTTGGACAAACTCACTTCTCTATCATCACACCGTTATTCTTCGGTGCTTTTTTTTATTTTTTTACTCCCCACGCAATGTCTTACTTGTTGTCAATGATTACATACCTTCCACTTGACGTCTGCGGTAAATTTCCTGGAGATATTTTACTTCAGACTGAAAAGCGCGATCCCATGCCATTAGGTATAACGCGGACAGGAAGTAGTTATCCACTGCACGGAAGTACAATGGCGGATTCGTAACGTTGCGTGAAAAGGGCCTATAGACTTTAAAACAGCTCTGCTTGTTACAAGTCTCTCATGGCCTCGCACCAAAATATATTAGTGACATGTTAGTCCCATATGAACCAGCCCGGACTCTGAGGAGCACAGGGACTGGACTCCTGTTAGTGCCCAGAGTCAGAACTAAACATGGGGAGGCTGCTTTTCAGATTCATGCTGCTAAAATCTGGAACAGTCTTCCTGAAGATGTGAGACAGGCCTCCTCTCTGACAATGTTTAAAACCAGGTTAAAAACAGTTCTGTTTAGCTGTGCATACAACTGAGGGATTTTATATTTGTATCTCTCTTTTTAATGTTCTGTGATTATTTATGATTTTAATGCTTTCTTGTTTTGTTCAGCTCTTTGAATTGCCTTGTGTAAATTGTGCTATATAAATAAACTTGCCTTGCCTTGCCTCACACCTCCCAGAGAGTCGTATCTAGTCTTTGATCTAGTCCAACGAACCCATTTTTTCCTATACTGTCCTATCCCTGGCATAACGTTACTCTTATATGCTACAGGAGCATGGCGGAACTACAAGGGTCTGGCGTGTTGTATTTTTTGTCAACAGCATACGGTGTAAGTACTAGAGATTCAAAGATGACAAGCTTTATTGAACAGGTGTAAAAGTGAGAGTACTCTGGGATGAGTACTCTGAGGAAAGTACTCTGAGAAAGTACTCGGAGATGAAATACCTCGCTGAAGGTACTGGGAGCCCCTCCCTCTGCTGTTTGTCCGGACAGTGATTCGGTCCAACCGCAGTGAGCTGTCGTTGGTTGAAGGACAACTTTGGTTTGTAATTCACATTTAGGGGAGTATAAAATTAGAAACATACATATTGTTAAGTCTGTATTTGGCTACAGCCTCTGCCCTGATGCCACACACCGTCTGTCAATGCAGTTATGTTTTGCCCAATTGGATTGATTGACAGGCTGCACCATGCGAAGAGAGGAAAGTGGGCGTTTCTTGTGTTCTAATGTTTGTTTTTCAGATGAAAGATAAACTGCACCTGCTTCAGGGATAACACAGTAGTATGGATCATAAGGAAAATGAGCCTCTACTTTGGCACCAAAGCCCACAATATGAATTGAGGACGATCCGGGAGGAACAACTGAAGATGATTGGAACAGTAATCTACACACACACAGATGCATGTTTTATACTTTGGACCACGACCAACAGAGGGAGTATAGTAATGTTATTGTCATAGGTGGTCATGGTCCTTAACCTTCTAAATCATTAGAAAGAAGTGTAAAACATATATTTACAAGAACAAATAAATAATAGAAAGGGCAGCCTAAAAAAGCAAAATGGGAAAATTATTAAGTAATTTTCGGAGTTGCCAAAATGAAATAAAATTCTATATTTGTCCCATAGGGGGTCATTCTAAATTTAGTGTTGTGCAAATTTAAAAGGAGAAATAATAGCGCTTATAACATCAAACAGATCTACTCTTTAAGATAATAGATCATACAATAATAGAATAGAATGAAATAGTCTGGAGCTATAATGTCATTGGATTCGAGGAGCTATAGGTTGAAAGGTCGCTAGGAAGAGGTGTCAGAATAAACAATAGTAATAATAGTTAGACTAGTGAATAATCAAAATAGTTCTATTGTGGAAATAAGTATCAATAAGGTCAAATTGTTCTAATAACTAAAGTAAAAAGGAATCAAATGGAGTCAGATTTTAGATGTTTCTGTTTTCCACATCTGTAGGAACTGGTGCAGAGGTGTTTATAGAGAGTAGTATTAAAATGCAGACATAGAACGACAGGCTTTAACACAATTTTAAATCTAAAAATAGCTCAAATATAACATTGCTCTTGATGCAGCCTCTGAGCTGCTCCATTGGAGAACAGGTTAAATGTTATTGTTTATTACAAACAGCTGATGTATTTACACATATTAAGTTTGGGACAACTCTTTAAACAGTTATAAGCAGCGGACAGAAGCCATGAATGTGCTTTTGTTTATTAAATAATTAATTTCATAGCCATATAATCGTAGAGAACGGTTTTAAAATAGTTCTCTTCCTCCCGCTCCCTTTCAGGCAAATTGAATAGATTCATGTTTTTAATATTGGAGAACGACTGTGTTGTTTTTGGAATTGTCTGAGATACAATACATAGAATAGTGATTTGCAGAACAAGAACCGGCCAATGAAAAATCATCTATTGCCAATGCTATTGTTACAATCAGAACTCAAAAATTGGGAATATGCTTTGGCTCAAACTACAACCAAGATTTGGAGTCACAATAGAGTGTAAAATAGATAGATGCTTTCAAAAATAGAGATTATTTTTAGACAGGGCCAATATCAAACGGTAAAAAGACCATTTCCTTCATATTATGTCCAAAAGTAGTTACTTCAAAAGTAGATAATGTTCATGAGTGTAGCCTAGATTAATGTAGCTTAGATTAATGAGATAGATTAGAACCAACAGAGATTCAAAAACATTTAAAAGCATTTTGGTTAATTTGAATATAGCACAAAAGTAGATATTTAGGTATTTTTGAGAATTTTAAGAGCTGTCGATTTGTCAGCAACAGATTAGAGAATCAAAATACCGTTGTATAGGGACTGACCCCAGAGAAACCTGCTAAAATAGATTAGCTCCTGTAACGATAATACCAATTTGATTAACGATGAAGAATCAGAATGACACAGCGGTGGTCATCAAAGAGTTTTGTGAAGGAATGTTTCGAATGTGGTTGTGTGTTGTATTCTTTCTGTATTAACTCTTCACAGATATCAAGCCGGAACTAAGCACAAGTATTGATGATAAACGACGATGTGGATTGTGACCTAATTTTTTAATCAGGTCAAAAGAGGGAAACTGTTGTATATTTTAACTATGCAGATGTGAATATTGGCTGACCCTGATTTGAACTGTCTTTTCCTAAAGCAAAAAGACCTGGTTTCCCCATGTTCCTTTGTTAGTCCAAAGTGCATGGGTGAGTTAATGATAGGTAATCTGGGGGGGGATTCTGCTAATCCTGAAGGAGGGGGACCCAGAGAGCCTTCTGCCTTATCTCAAAGAAGTAATAAATTTGGGGAGTGGTAGTGTGTGTGAATGATTCTGTTTAAGGTACGGCAGACAGAGGGGACATGATGGAAGAGGCCGGACCCAAGTCCTGCCTGATACGACACGCCCCCTGCTTCCTGAACATGGACTGATAATGCTCTGGCTTGAGAGGACACAGGAGAATGAGCCGAGGGCGAGCCAGGGACATGCATAGTTTTAGGAGCCCTCTTTGTTGGAATTTCTGTATCTGATTGTAAAGATAATTAAATACAGATGTTAAAACTTGGAGATCTGTTGTCATGCCTCTGCATCAACTCGAACACGTCAGTCAAGGGAATTATTGACTTCAGGGTCGTACCCTTAAGGGCCTCGTAGAGCGGGCGCATTACGTGAGCCGCTTGTCGAATGAACCGATGGTAGAAGGTAACCATACCGAGGAACTCACGGAGCCCCCGGGCCGAGCGTGGGCGTGGAAAAGTGGAAACGGCGTCCACCTTCGAAGGGAGGGGGGCAGCCCCCTCACTGGTGATGAGATGCCCGAGGAACTTTATGGACGGCACCCCAAAAACACACTTAGCCGGGTTAATGATCAGCCCGTGCTGGTCGAGCCGTGTAAAAAGAACTCGGAGATGTGTCAGGTGCTCCTCCTCCGAGGAGCTGGCGACGAGGACATCGTCCAAGTAGACGAAGATGAAAGGCATGTCCCTGAGTGCCGAGTCCATTAGCCGCTGGAACGACTGGGCTGCGTTCTTCAGGCCAAAAGGCATCCTGAGGAACTCGAACAGCCCGAAAGGAGTCACCACTGCCGTCTTCGGTATGTCCGCCGGGTGCACCGGGACTTGGTGGTAACCCCGCACCAGATCCACTTTAGAGAACACGGACTTCCCCGCCAAATGTACGGAAAAGTCCTGAATGTGGGGCACCGGGTAACGATCGGGCGTGGTCGCATCATTAAGACGGCGGTAGTCACCACACGGACCCACCCACCGTCTGGCTTCGGAACCATGTGGAGTGGTGAAGCCCACGGGCTGTCAGAACGGCGAATGACGCCAAGTCGTTCCATGTTGGCGAATTCAGCCTTGGCAGTCGTCAACCTCTCCGGATTGAGCCGCCGGGCCCTGGCGTGGATAGGAGGGCCTCTGGTTTCGATGTGGTGTTCGACTCCGTGTTTAGCCGTAGCAGCCGAGAAAGTGGGCCGCGTCAGGTCAGGGAACTCCACGAGGAGCCGCAGGTACTTGTCACCTTCAGCGAGCGAGCTGGAGAGACCATTGTATGTCCCCTCATCACGGACACACGCGAATGAGGAGAAGGTCAAAGCGTCCACCAGGCGGCCATTTTTGACATCCACGAGTAACCCCTGGGCGCACAGAAAATCTGCCCCGAGGAGGGGAAACGAGACATCGGCCGTGACAAAGTCCCATGTAAAGCGCTGGCCCCCGAAACATACGTCCACAGACTTTGTGCCATATGTCCGGATAGGGGTGTCATTGGCGGACGTTAAGGGCGGGCCATGCAACCCCCCAGCAGCATCGTCCACCGTAGCCGGCAGAACGCTCCTCTGGGCGCCAGTGTCACAGAGGAACCTGCGCCCGGACAGGGTGTCCACAACAAACAGCAGCCGGCCCTTCGCGCCTGCGCTCACGGCCACTACTGAGCGCAGGCCTTGGCGTTTCCCGTCGCGTTGAAACTGCATGGGGAGCGGCACCTCTTAGCTTTGGCCCCGAAACGTGCATGGAAGTAGCACAACCCAGGGCTGGCCGGGCCGTCAGTCACCATGCGCCCCCTAACAGGCAGAGCGGCCGCAGCAGGGGGGGTGTAGCTGCGTGTCGGGGCCAACACGTCAGGGACGAAACGATGGGTGGCCAGGAAGAACCGGTCCGCCTCCTCCGCCAGAGCACGTGGCTCCGTAATGGCTGTATTCGCGAGAGCCGTCTGCACGTGAGGCGGCATGTGTCGCAGAAACAGTTCCACAAAGAGGAAATTTGGCTCTTCACTGCCCAGCAGGTTTAACATCACCTCCATGTGTTCTGAGGGCCTGCTATCCCCCAGGCCCTGCATAGAAAGGAGGCGTCGGGCCCGTTCGGATCGTGACAGTTCAAAAATCTTCAGCAGATATGCCTTAATCCCCGCATACTTCCCGTGGGCTGGAGGAGAAGTAATGAAACTCACTGCCCTGGTCGCCGTGGAGCTCCCGAGCGCCGAGACGACATGGTAATAGCGCGTGTCATCGTCAGTAATTCCACGGAGGGCGAACTGAGCCTCCGCCTGAGCAAACCACGTTGCGGCGGACGTCTCCCAAAACTCAGGCAGCTTGAGAGCGGCGGACTGCGCCATACTGCTTTGCTCTGTATCTTGATCAGTCCCAGAAACTTCTGTGGGACTGACGTCGGGGTCACCAATGTGGTGCGTAAGGAGCGGAGTCGGAGGCGGTGTGTCAAACAGCGGTGACAAACGTACACGTTTTAATGCCATAAAACAGCCAGTGTAACAGAACTCCTCACACAACCAAAAACATTTTTCTTCATGGGAAAAACTGTGCAACCCTTTTTCCTGTCCCCCCGGAACCCCACCAGAGTAACCACAGTTCCATGGGTGAATTATGTAAACCACCACACAGGTGCATTTATACGGAGACTTGATTACACACAGGTGCATTCTATTTATCATCATCAGTCATTTAGGACAACATTGGATCATTCAAAGATCCTCACTGAACTTCTGGACTGAGTTTGCTGCACTGAAAGTAAAGGGGCCAAATAATATTGCATGCCCCACTTTTCAGTTTTTTATTTTAAATACATTTTGTTCCACTTCACGATTGTGTCCCACTTGTTGTTGATTCATGACAAAAAATTAAAATTTTATATCTTTATGTTTGAAGCCTGAAATGTGGCGAAATGTTGAAAGGTTCAAGGGGGCTGCATACTTTCGCAAGGCACTGTAGATACGCACACAGAGACACACGTACGCACACAGAGACACACTTACGCACACAGAGACACACTTACGCACACAGAGACACACGTACGCACACAGAGACACACTTACGCACACAGAGACACACTTACGCACACAGAGACACACGTACGCACACAGAGACACACGTACGCACACAGAGACACACACGTACGCACACAGACACACACGTACGCAGACACACGTACGCACAGAGACACACGTACGCACACAGAGACACACGTACGCACACAGACACACACGTACGCAGACACACGTACGCACAGAGACACACGTACGCACACAGAGACACGTACGCACACAGAGACACACGTACGCACAGAGACACACACATACGCACACAGAGACACACGTACGCACACAGAGACACACGTACGCACACAGAGACACACACGTACGCACACACAGAGACACACACGTATGCACACAGAGACACACGTACGCACACAGAGACACACACGTACGCACACAGAGATACACGTACGCACACAGAGATACACGTACGCACACAGAGATACACGTACGCACAGAGACACACACACGTACGCACAGAGACACACGTACGCACAGAGAGACACACACACGTACGCACAGAGACACACGTACGCACAGAGAGACACACACGTACGCACAGAGACACACGTACGCACACAGACACACACGTACGCACAGAGACACACACACGTACGCACAGACACACACACGTACGCACAGACACACACACGTACGCAAACAGACACACACACGTACGCACACAGACACACACACGTACACACACAGAGACACACACGTACGCACACAGAGACACACACACGTACGCACACAGACACACACACACGTACGCACACAGACACACACACGTTTAAAATTTTATATCTTTATGTTTGAAGCCTGAAATGTGGCGAAATGTTGAAAGGTTCAAGGGGGCTGCATACTTTCGCAAGGCACTGTAGATACGCACACAGAGACACACGTACGCACACAGAGACACACTTACGCACACAGAGACACACTTACGCACACAGAGACACACGTACGCACACAGAGACACACTTACGCACACAGAGACACACTTACGCACACAGAGACACACGTACGCACACAGAGACACACGTACGCACACAGAGACACACACGTACGCACACAGACACACACGTACGCAGACACACGTACGCACAGAGACACACGTACGCACACAGAGACACACGTACGCACACAGAGACACACGTACGCACACAGACACACACGTACGCAGACACACGTACGCACAGAGACACACGTACACACACAGAGACACGTACGCACACAGAGACACACGTACGCACAGAGACACACACATACGCACACAGAGACACACGTACGCACACAGAGACACACGTACGCACACAGAGACACACACGTACGCACACACAGAGACACACACGTATGCACACAGAGACACACGTACGCACACAGAGACACACACGTACGCACACAGAGATACACGTACGCACACAGAGATACACGTACGCACAGAGACACACACACGTACGCACAGAGACACACGTACGCACAGAGAGACACACACACGTACGCACAGAGACACACGTACGCACAGAGAGACACACACGTACGCACAGAGACACACGTACGCACACAGACACACACGTACGCACAGAGACACACACACGTACGCACAGACACACACACGTACGCACAGACACACACACGTACGCAAACAGACACACACACGTACGCACACAGACACACACACGTACACACACAGAGACACACACGTACGCACACAGAGACACACACACGTACGCACACAGACACACACACACGTACGCACACAGACACACACACGTACGCACACAGAGACACACACACGTACGCACAGACAGACACAGGTACGCACACAGAGACACACACGTACGCACACAGAGACACACACACGTACGCACACAGAGACACACACGTACGCACACACAGAGACACGTACGCACACAGAGACACACATGTACGCACACACAGAGACACACACGTATGCACACAGAGACACACGTACGCACACAGAGACACACACACACGTACGCACAGAGACACACGTACGCACAGACACACACACGTACGCACACAGAGACACACACGTACGCACACAGAGACACACGTACGCACAGAGACACACGTACGCACAGACAGACACACGTACGCACACAGAGACACACACACGTACGCACACAGAGACACACACACACGTACGCACAGAGACACACACACGTACGCACACAGAGACACACACACCGTACGCACACAGACACACACACACGTACGCACACAGACACACACACGTACGCACACAGAGACACACACACGTACGCACAGACAGACACAGGTACGCACACAGAGACACACACGTACGCACACAGAGACACACACACGTACGCACACAGAGACACACACGTACGCACACACAGAGACACGTACGCACACAGAGACACACATGTACGCACACACAGAGACACACACGTATGCACACAGAGACACACGTACGCACACAGAGACACACACACACGTACGCACAGAGACACACGTACGCACAGACACACACACGTACGCACACAGAGACACACACGTACGCACACAGAGACACACGTACGCACAGAGACACACACGTACGCACAGACAGACACACGTACGCACACAGAGACACACACACGTACGCACACAGAGACACACACACACGTACGCACAGAGACACACACACGTACGCACACAGAGACACACACACGTACGCAGAGACACACGTACGCACACAGAGACACACGTACGCACACAGAGACAGACGGGTAAAGCCACGGATCACAAAGCACCCTTCAAAGCGATGCACTCTTTGAACTTTATGAAGCGCCTCAGTGAACCGTCACGTGATGCGGCCGCTGAGGCTTCAACGTCACCCACACACGCCTCAACCCACGCTTCAAAAGAATCTCCCCTTGGTTACTCGGTACACGCTTCAAAAGAATCTCCCCTTGGTTACTCGGTACACGCTTTGAAGACCGTGTCCAACAGAAAACACCTCGTCACGTGTAACAGCACAAACTTTTATTAAAATAAAGAAAGAAATTGTACATTTGATCCATAAAGTTTGGAAAGAGATAGAGGAGAGAGAGAGAGAGAGAGGAGCTGCGGATCGACCGGCCCGGACCTACAGGAGGTGTCCCGGGACGGCGTCATGAACTGTGGGAACAGGCAGCTGCTGAGAGGCGGGTCACCGAGGGACCAGGGCCTACACCGAGAGGGTAGGCCTTTACCTGAGGAGAGAGAGAGAAGAGGAAGGAGGGGAGAGAGAGGAGAGAGGAGGGAGGGGAGAGAGGGGAGAGAGGAGGAGAGGGACAGAGAGGAGAGAGGAGGGAGAGGGACAGAGGAGAGAGAGAGGAGGAGAGGGGAGAGAGAGAGAGAGGAGGGAGGGGAAGAGAGAGAGAGAGAGAGAGGGAGAGAGACAGGAGAGGAGAGAGAGAGAGAGGGGAGAGAGAGAGAGAGGAGGGAGGGGAAGAGAGAGAGAGAGAGAGAGAGGAGAGAGACAGGAGAGGAGAGAGAGAGAGGGGAGAGAGAGAGAGAGAAGGGAGGGGAAGAGAGAGAGAGAGAGGAGAGAGACAGGAGAGGAGGAGAGGAGAGAGAGAGAGAGAGAGGAGGAGAGAGCGAGGAGAGGGGAGGAGAGGTAGAGAGAGGAGATAGACAGGAGAAGAGGAGAGGGGAGAGAGAGAGAGGGAGAGAGGAGAGAGGAGGAGAGGGGAGAGAGCGAGGAGAGGTAGAGAGAGGAGAGAGACAGAGGAGAGGGGAGAGAGAGAAAGGAGAGGGGAGGGGAAGGAAGAGAGGCAATAGAGGAGGGAGGCGAGGAGAGGGGAGAGATAGAGGGAGGAAGGGAGAGGAGGAGAGGGGAGAGAGAGAGAGAGAAGAAAGGAGAGAAGAGAGAGAGTGGGGAGAGAGAGGGGAGGGTGATGTTAGGGCTGTCACTGGTGCACAGGAGTCAGAAGGACAGATATTGTTGTGAGCCGTACCTTCCTCATCCTCCTCCTCCCATGGGCGGAGCTCCAGGACCTCCTCCATGAGTGATTCTGCCCATCCTCCTCCTTCCACCAGGGGGCCCCGGGGGTCTGAGGACACATGTGATCAGTGTGGACCAGGGCTGTATGGTACATGGTCTCCCTCTCTGGTCTCTCTCTCTCTGGGTCTCACTCTCTGGTCTCACTCTCTAGTCTCACTCTCTGGTCTCCCTCTCTGGTCTCTCCCTCTCTCTGGTCTCTCTCTCTGGTCTCTCTCTCTGGTCTCTCTCTCTGGTCTCTCTCTCTGGTCTCTCTCTCTGGTCTCCCTCCCTGGTCTCCCTCCCTGGTCTCTCTCTCTGGTCTCCCTCTCTGGGTCTCTCTCTCTGGTCTCTCTCTGGTCTCTCTCTCTCTGGTCTCTCTCACCCTCTGCCGTCGCTGAAGCGTGATGTGGCAGACGTCCCGTTCTTGGACATGCCGGGGTCGATGATGGTCTTAAAGCTGAAAGACAAAGAGTTTTACTGAAGTGTGAAAACCTGCTCGGACATCAGGTCAAACCATAGAGTGTGTGCAGATATGGTCGGGTCCCCTCTGGTCTCTCTCTCCGGTCCCTCTCTCTCTCCGATCTCTCGCCCTCTCCGATCTCTGGTCAATCACTCTCCGGTATCTCGCTCTCCAGTCTCTCTCTGGTCTCTCTCTCTCTGGTCACTCCCTCTCCGATATCTCGCTCTCCGGTATCTCGCTCTCCGATATCTCGCTCTCCGATATCTCGCTCTCCGATATCTCGCTCTCCAGTCTCTCTCTCTGGTCACTCCCTCTCCGGTATCTCGCTCTCCGGTATCTCGCTCTCCGATATCTCGCTCTCCAGTCTCTCTCGCTCTCTCTCTCTCTCTCTCTGGTCACTCCCTCTCCGGTATCTCGCTCTCCGGTATCTCGCTCTCCAGTCTCTCTCCGGTCTCCCTCTCTGGATTGTAATGACAGTATTAGACCACTGGCAGCACAGATATGGGTCCTTTAAACATTCTCTGATGTGAGGCTCGGTCGTGGTTGGAGGGACAGTGACGTTGGGAGAACATTACCCCTGTCCCTGGTCACTCTGTGGTTGGAGGATCAGTGACATTAGAGCACATTACCCCTGTCCCTGGTCACTCTGTGGTTGGAGGATCAGTGACGTTGGGAGAACATTACCCCTGTCCCTGGTCACTCTGTGGTTGGAGGATCAGTGACGTTGGGAGAACATTACCCCTGTCCATGGTCACTCTGTGGTTGGAGGATCAGTGACGTTGGGAGCACATTACCCCTGTCCCTGGTCACTCTGTGGTTGGAGGGACAGTGACGTTGGGAGAACATTACCCCTGTCCCTGGTCACTCTGTGGTTGGAGGATCAGTGACGTTGGGAGCACATTACCCCTGTCCCTGGTCACTCTGTGGTTGGAGGATCAGTGACGTTGGGAGAACATTACCCCTGTCCATGGTCACTCTGTGGTTGGAGGATCAGTGACGTTGGAGCACATTACCCCTGTCCCTGGTCACTCTGTGGTTGGAGGATCAGTGACGTTGGGAGAACATTACCCCTGTCCCTGGTCACTCTGTGGTTGGAGGATCAGTGACGTTGGAGCACATTACCCCTGTCCCTGGTCACTCTGTGGTTGGAGGATCAGTGACGTTGGGAGAACATTACCCCTGTCCCTGGTCACTCTGTGGTTGGAGGGACAGTGACGTTGGGAGAACATTACCCCTGTCCCTGGTCACTCTGTGGTTGGAGGATCAGTGACGTTGGGAGAACATTACCCCTGTCCCTGGTCACTCTGTGGTTGGAGGGACAGTGACGTTGGGAGAACATTACCCCTGTCCCTGGTCACTCTGTGGTTGGAGGATCAGTGACGTTGGGAGCACATTACCCCTGTCCCTGGTCACTCTGTGGTTGGAGGATCAGTGACGTTGGGAGAACATTACTCCTGTCCCTGGTCACTCTGTGGTTGGAGGGACAGTGACGTTGGGAGCACATTACCCCTGTCCCTGGTCACTCTGTGGTTGGAGGGACAGTGACGTTGGGAGAACATTACCCCTGTCCCTGGTCACTCTGTGGTTGGAGGGACAGTGACGTTGGAGCACATTACCCCTGTCCCTGGTCACTCTGTGGTTGGAGGGACAGTGACGTTGGAGCACATTACCCCTGTCCCTGGTCACTCTGTGGTTGGAGGATCAGTGACGTTGGAGCACATTACCCCTGTCCCTGGTCACTCTGTGGTTGGAGGATCAGTGACGTTGGAGCACATTACCCCTGTCCCTGGTCACTCTGGGTTGGAGGATCAGTGACGTTGGAGCACATTACCCCTGTCCCTGGTCACTCTGTGGTTGGAGGATCAGTGACGTTGGGAGCACATTACCCCTGTCCCTGGTCACTCTGTGGTTGGAGGATCAGTGACGTTGGAGCACATTACCCCTGTCCCTGGTCACTCTGTGGTTGGAGGATCAGTGACGTTGGGAGCACATTACCCCTGTCCCTGGTCACTCTGTGGTTGGAGGGACAGTGACGTTGGAGCACATTACCCCTGTCCCTGGTCACTCTGTGGTTGGAGGATCAGTGACGTTGGGAGCACATTACCCCTGTCCCTGGTCACTCTGTGGTTGGAGGATCAGTGACGTTGGGAGAACATTACCCCTGTCCCTGGTCACTCTGTGGTTGGAGGATCAGTGACGTTGGAGCACATTACCCCTGTCCCTGGTCACTCTGTGGTTGGAGGATCAGTGACGTTGGGAGCACATTACCCCTGTCCCTGGTCACTCTGTGGTTGGAGGGACAGTGACGTTGGGAGCACATTACCCCTGTCCCTGGTCACTCTGTGGTTGGAGGATCAGTGACGTTGGGAGAACATTACCCCTGTCCCTGGTCACTCTGTGGTTGGAGGATCAGTGACGTTGGAGCACATTACCCCTGTCCCTGGTCACTCTGTGGTTGGAGGATCAGTGACGTTGGAGCACATTACCCCTGTCCCTGGTCACTCTGTGGTTGGAGGGACAGTGACGTTGGAGCACATTACCCCTGTCCCTGGTCACTCTGTGGTTGGAGGATCAGTGACGTTGGGAGAACATTACCCCTGTCCCTGGTCACTCTGTGGTTGGAAGATCAGTGACGTTGGAGCACATTACCCCTGTCCCTGGTCACTCTGTGGTTGGAGGATCAGTGACGTTGGAGCACATTACCCCTGTCCCTGGTCACTCTGTGGTTGGAGGGACAGTGACGTTGGAGCACATTACCCCTGTCCATGGTCACTCTGTGGTTGGAGGATCAGTGACGTTGGAGCACATTACCCCTGTCCCTGGTCACTCTGTGGTTGGAGGGACAGTGACGTTGGGAGCACATTACCCCTGTCCCTGGTCACTCTGTGGTTGGAGGATCAGTGACGTTGGAGCACATTACCCCTGTCCCTGGTCACTCTGTGGTTGGAGGGACAGTGACGTTGGAGCACATTACCCCTGTCCCTGGTCACTCTGTGGTTGGAAGATCAGTGACGTTGGAGCACATTACCCCTGTCCCTGGTCACTCTGTGGTTGGAGGGACAGTGACGTTGGGAGCACATTACCCCTGTCCCTGGTCACTCTGTGGTTGGAGGATCAGTGAAGTTGGGAGCACATTACCCCTGTCCCTGGTCACTCTGTGGTTGGAGGATCAGTGACGTTGGGAGCACATTACCCCTGTCCCTGGTCACTCTGTGGTTGGAGGATCAGTGACGTTGGAGCACATTACCCCTGTCCCTGGTCACTCTGTGGTTGGAGGATCAGTGACGTTGGGAGAACATTACCCCTGTCCCTGGTCACTCTGTGGTTGGAGGGACAGTGACGTTGGGAGCACATTACCCCTGTCCCTGGTCACTCTGTGGTTGGAGGATCAGTGACGTTGGAGCACATTACCCCTGTCCCTGGTCACTCTGTGGTTGGAGGGACAGTGACGTTGGAGCACATTACCCCTGTCCCTGGTCACTCTGTGGTTGGAAGATCAGTGACGTTGGAGCACATTACCCCTGTCCCTGGTCACTCTGTGGTTGGAGGGACAGTGACGTTGGGAGCACATTACCCCTGTCCCTGGTCACTCTGTGGTTGGAGGATCAGTGAAGTTGGGAGCACATTACCCCTGTCCCTGGTCACTCTGTGGTTGGAGGATCAGTGACGTTGGGAGAACATTACCCCTGTCCCTGGTCACTCTGTGGTTGGAGGATCAGTGACGTTGGAGCACATTACCCCTGTCCCTGGTCACTCTGTGGTTGGAGGATCAGTGACGTTGGGAGAACATTACCCCTGTCCCTGGTCACTCTGTGGTTGGAGGGACAGTGACGTTGGGAGCACATTACCCCTGTCCCTGGTCACTCTGTGGTTGGAGGATCAGTGACGTTGGAGCACATTACCCCTGTCCCTGGGTCACTCTGTGGTTGGAGGATCAGTGACGTTGGGAGAACATTACCCCTGTCCCTGGTCACTCTGTGGTTGGAGGATCAGTGACGTTGGAGCACATTACCCCTGTCCCTGGTCACTCTGTGGTTGGAGGATCAGTGACGTTGGAGCACATTACCCCTGTCCCTGGTCACTCTGTGGTTGGAGGATCAGTGACGTTGGAGCACATTACCCCTGTCCCTGGTCTCTCTGTCACTCACAAGAGGCTGATGAACTCCACTGCTCCCCAGAACAGGTCCGCGAACAGAGACAGGCGCCACGGAGAGCGCCCACTGCTGCCCAACACCTGACCTGCAACACACGTATGGATCTGTTATTACACTCTCTGGTCTCTCACTCACTAGTCTCGCACTATCTCTCTCTAGTCTCACACTCTTTCTGGTCTCTCTCTCAATTCACTTAGTGACAGAGAGAGCGAAAGGCGCTACATAAATAATTGACTTCTCTACACTTAAAAATAAAACTGATACTTTAAACTCCAAGACAGAGATAACCCACATGTGTTCTCTTTAGTATTCTAGTCAGAGTTCGCTGAAACAGTCTGGCCTCATGTGAAACAACAACAATATTCAGATGAGTTTCCTCGCAGTTAGCATTAGCATCGTTAGCATCGTTAGCTGCAGCTGCTCTCAGACTCCTACAGACTCCGACTCTTTCAGGAGATAGATCCCTGACACGTTCGTTCCCGTGGACGTGACGCTGCGGTTGAGAGTCGTGTGTAAACGTGTGAGACCGTGAAACAAACGCAAAGAAAACAGCAGTTACCGTTGGACACGTACACCATCTTCAGCTGTGTTTACTCTGACGCGGCTCACTTCCGCTCTCATTACGTCATTACGTCATTACTCTGACGCGGCCCACTTCCGCCATCACGCGAGCGTCTTTCTTTTTTTTTTTTGACAGACTCACATATTTAGTACAATCTCAAGCATATTCATAAACAAATTGTACATAAAACAAAAACAGAACAAGACCATAGATAAGACAAGACAGACTTTATTGATCTCTGAGTGTGAAACATGTTAAAGGAAAAAAATGTACAATAACAAAGTCACATTACTGAGTCACAAGAGTCAGAGGAAAATTCACAATATTTTCATATAACCAAAGTGCTTTCTTTGAATTACACAACCTCAAACAATCCCTAAAATGGACAATTCCCTCAGAAATGTTCAAGGGTTTTGAATTACTACATTTGCATTTGTGAATGAAAAATAAAGCCATGATAATACAGTTTGTGGCAGTATGAGATCACAAGGGGGCGGTAGTGTGCAGGCTATAAAACCCATCGGCCTGTCTCCTTCGGTCTTGGCCTGCACACTTTGTTGTGAACCTCCGTGTAGCTCCCATGGATCTATAATAATAAGGTTATAATAGATCCCACCGTAGCTCCTGTTCAGTGCAGGTGTGGAGGTGCTCTTTACGTGCCCTGCAGTGACTGGTGTTGAGGAGGAGCGGCCGCCTTGCCTTTTTTTTATTTATTTTTATCATAGCGGAGATCTGTGGTGGAATTATGCGCCACTTTGTCAACATGGACTAAATCAAACTGCTACTGTGTACTCAATATCTGAACTATTTATTAGATTAAGTACAAATAAAGAAAAAGTAAATGCTAATCTGCCTCAGTCTATTTCATAAAACTTGTGTGCTTTCTTTCATTATAAGGGCGTTGCTGGTACTGTTGTTAATTGTAAACTCTTTGTTTTTGTCTTCCAGTAAGACTCCAAATGTTATGTGGTGATAATAAAAGTCCATAATACCTAAAGTATTGCTAAGAGACCAAGCACAGAAGCTATCCCAAAATATGTTTTAATGCACACATGTGAATAAAAGCTGTTCCTCCTGATGTATTGGTATCGCAAAAAACACACACATTATCGTCAATATAGAATTTGGAATGTTTAAAGTCTTTACACGGATACATATTGTTCAATCATTTAAATCTAACTTCTTTAGCTTTAGGGAGTTTTATGTAATTGCATCTGAAAAATCTTAACATCGTGTTTAGTGAGATCCTTCATTGTCTTCTTAAAGGCAATGGGAAATATGTGGATAATGCTGATCTTAAAAATGTGTTATTACATTTTGAACGATTAATGGATATAATTTCGGAACCAACCGTGTATACATTAGAGATCCCTTAGTGGCACAAACAAGAGCTGGTGGAATAGCCTTGACTACTACTACCTAGAGCAGGTCACACTGTAAAGTGTAAAACTGACCATGTACCTTTGTCATGCCAGTGCTGATGATAAAAAGAATTCCTTCCAATCAGAATATATCTATTGTTCCATAACAACAGGTGTATTCTGTGGTGAAACATTGTGACTGTATATCAATGTCCAATACTGGAGGACTTGCTCATAAAGTTTGGATTATTTAGTAGATCATTTCAATATTTCAAAGTCACATTGGATAAAAAATTCAAGTCTACTGAAGTTCGAGAATATTTTTGAGGGAAGACTGAACCAGAAACTATTTAGATTTGTAACAAAATTGTTACCGTGGCCAGGCAATAAGTAACATACACAAACTGGTTTAAATATTAACATTATTTATTGTATGGTTTACAATGAAGGGAGGCAGGGCTCGAACTCAATCAAAACCAGATAGACAATAACCAAAGACCCAAAAACTGATTCGTGCCAGGCACAGGACGGGAACCAGTTTAGCTCTCTGGAAATGATAATCGGAGAAGTGACCCAAATATAAAAGTTAGACGGCCTTTACAGAGCTCTGAATGTAATGAGCCAGGCTGAATAACTACAAATGAAAATACACTCAAAAAAGGACAGCAGGCAGCAAATAATAAAACCATTGTAAAACAGAAAAAAACAATACCCTTAATATCAAAAACAAAACTTTAATCGTTTAAAAACCTACCTGTGCGTCGCAATCACACAGCCCCACACAGATCCTTACTTACCCAATGGCAAACAGCACGGCCTCCCTATACCGCAGAACAAACAATTAACTTCATAATAAAATCACTGCTTAAACCATTTTAAAAGCTTACCGTAACTTTGGCTAAACCTCACACACACATGGGCCCAAACACTCTGGCCGCCCACGGACACTGGCACCTGTCAGACACCCAACGGTGACACCCAACGGTGACACCCAACGGTGACACCCGTTATAAAATGTAACCAACGAAGTTTTAAGGCACCATTCATGGGATCAAAATCAACAGCGTTCAATCCACCCTCTATAGATTTTACAATATCGTTTTTCCTAATATAATGATGTTAATGTGAAATTAATTTGCTTAATCATTGAGTTCTTGTTCTGTCATAAATCTGCTCCTCCGTTTGCCAAACTGTATGGAAATTTGCCTAACTTTATATTTGAAAAAGTCCCATCTGCTGCAATAGTTACCAATGGACACATATTTTATATCTGACATTACAGCTGCTAGATTAAAGTCTCCTCCAAATAAAATAAAGTCAGTCGGGTACAATCTTTTATAGTTGGAAACGACTTCTATAACGTTTTGTAATAGAGCCCTATTTTGAGTGTTGCTGTAACCACAAATGTTTGTTATGTAAGGGATAACGTATATTACGCAGGTCATTATCGGAAATTAAGTACCGACAGGACCCCGACGCTGAGGGGTCTGCTTCCGCCCTGAAGGTACTTATTTTATACGTAATATACATTATCCCGCTTATTACACGGCTTTATACCAACAGAACACACAACATAAACTTCCATTTTAGGAATGCCGAAAGGTTTGACAGAAAATAAAATAGTTCCCAAAGGCTTTCCCATGGCTATGCTAGTAACAATTAGGCTAGTGACAGTTAGGCTAGTAGCAGTTAGGCTAGTAGCAGTTAGGCTAGTAGCAGTTAGGGCTAGTAGCTTCCAAACTAGAACTCTCTGGAACTGCATGAAAACTGAACACAGAATCCTGAACATCAGCAGTGAGTGACCCAAACATAAACTTTACCTAAATCCATAATTCCATCCTCTGCAAATGTTCCTAAAATGTGCCGTATCTACTTCCGGGTTTTTTGGGATCGCCTTTTCTCGCATTACATCAGTGTTTTTGTCATGAAAACGTAAACGGAAAATTCTGAAATGCACTTGTATTAAGACTGGATATGTATAAATTACTCTCCGATTAACATTTAAGTGTGTTTATTGAGCGAGGCTAGCTCCGGAGTGGCCGGAACTACTTGCGGAGTTATCCACGCATCTGAAAGACAAGCAGAGAGTGCGTTGCCAAAGGGCAGCGGTCATTATTGTTTTGAGAGGTCCGTTATAAGAAATAATGACCGGTAGAACGTTTTGAAATTACTATTATCAATGGAGCGTTTTACTGCTGCTGTGAGGAGCGTGTACTAAAATAATGTAAATGTCATGCACTTTAATCACTAGAGTCAGCCAATGACCATGTTCATCAGCTTTATATGACATTACCCGGGCACCTCCAGCATCTGTTGGTCCATGCAGTCTATCGTTGGTCCCCATTGTGTTGTCCAGTAGGTGGCGTCAGAGGCACATGAGTGAGTTTCTTGAAAAGGACACAGTGACATTTAAAGTTTTTTGAAAAACAAAAAAATATCTTTCCTCTTTCCTTTTTTTTTTAGACCCCTTGTATTAAGTGAAACTAAATTACAATCAGCTGGATAACCTCGCAGCGATATAAACAAAAGAAAAAGTAAACCTTTAAGTAGTAGAAAGTGTTTTAAAGTGACTGAAAACGTGGTTTCTCCCTCCTGAAAATATTAACCCACATGTTATAATTGTAAGTAAGGTATTCTGTTCCTAGTCTTTGATTCGACGACCATGAATGTATCCATGAGGCCTTCTCCCCTGCCCCCGCTTCATGGGGCAGGCTCCATGAAGCGAATGCCCGCGCCTTTGCACACTGCAGAATCTTTGCTCATCTTCCAGAAACCATCTCTGTGGTGTGGCCTTGTGAATTGAATAATAATGTATCTCACCCTACTGTCTGTCTTTGGTCCAATTCGGTGCACTGTATCCAGGATATGCTCCATGTGCCCACTGTATCCTCCATGTGCTCCATGTGCCCACTGTATCCCACATGTGCTCCATGTGCCCACTGTATCCCCCATGTGCTCCATGTGCCCACTGTATCCTCCATCTGCCCACTGTATCCTCCATGTGCTCCATGTGCCCACTGTATCCTCCATGTGCCCACTGTATCCTCCATGTGCTCCATGTGCCCACTGTATCCCCCATGTGGTCCATGTGCCCACTGTATCCTCCATGTGCTCCATGTACCCACTGTATCCCCCATGTGCCCACTGTATCCTCCATGTGCTCCATGTGCCCACTGTATCCCCCATGTGCTCCATGTGCCCACTGTATCCCCCATGTGCTCCATGTACCCACTGTATCCCCCATGTGCCCACTGTATCCTCCATGTGCTCCATGTGCCCACTGTATCCTCCATGTGCTCCATGTGCCCACTGTATCCTCCATGTACCCACTGTATCCTCCATGTGCCCACTGTATCCTCCATGTGCTCCATGTGCCCACTGTATCCTCCATGTGCTCCATGTGCCCACTGTATCCTCCATATGCTCCATGTGCCCACTGTATCCCCCATGTGCTCCATGTGCCCACTGTATCCTCCATGTGCTCCATGTGCCCACTGTATCCTCCATGTGCTCCATGTGCCCACTGTATCCTCCATGTGCTCCATGTGCCCACTGTATCCCCCATGTGCTCCATGTGCCCACTGTATCCTCCATGTGCTCCATGTGCCCACTGTATCCCCCATGTGCCCACTGTATCCTCCATGTGCCCACTGTATCCTCCATATGCTCCATGTGCCCACTGTATCCTCCATGTGCTCCATGTGCCCACTGTATCCCCCATGTGCCCACTGTATCCTCCATATGCTCCATGTGCCCACTGTATCCTCCATGTGCCCACTGTATCCTCCATGTGCTCCATGTGCCCACTGTATCCTCCATGTGCCCACTGTATCCTCCATGTGCTCCATGTGCCCACTGTATCCTCCATGTGCTCCATGTGCCCACTGTATCCTCCATGTGCTCCATGTGCCCACTGTATCCTCCATGTGCTCCATGTGCCCACTGTATCCTCCATGTGCCCACTGTATCCTCCATGTGCTCCATGTGCCCACTGTATCCTCCATGTGCCCACTGTATCCTCCATGTGCTCCATGTGCCCACTGTATCCTCCATGTGCCCACTGTATCCTCCATGTGCCCACTGTATCCTCCATGTGCTCCATGTGCCCACTGTATCCTCAATGTGCCCACTGTATCCTCCATGTGCTCCATGTGCCCATTGTATCCTCCATGTGCTCCATGTGCCCACTGTATCCTCAATGTGCCCATCCCCCATGTGCTCCATGTGCCCACTGTATCCTCCATGTGCTCCATGTGCCCACTGTATCCTCCATGTGCTCCATGTGCCCACTGTATCCTCCATGTGCCCACTGTATCCTCCATATGCTCCATGTGCCCACTGTATCCTCCATGTGCTCCATGTGCCCACTGTATCCTCCATGTGCCCACTGTATCCTCCATGTGCTCCATGTGCTCCATGTGCCCACTGTATCCTCCATGTGCTCCATGTGCCCACTGTATCCCCCATGTGCTCCATGTGCCCACTGTATCCTCCATGTGCCCACTGTATCCACCATATGCTCCATGTGCCCACTGTATCCTCCATGTGCTCCATGTGCCCACTGTATCCACCATATGCTCCATGTGCCCACCGTCGTTCCGAGCCCTCACCGACAATCGCGCCCTCCGTGATACTCCCCTGAGGTGTGAGAACCACCTCTGGAGATATCGCATGTGCAGCAACCCCAGTCTCACCACAGGGTGGGCCGCTGCCATCATGCCCAAGAGTGACCGAATCAGCCGCGGTTGGACCTGAGGTTTGCCCAGAACGATCCGGCCCAGGTTCTGAACCACCGGTTGTCTCTCTGGGGAAAGTGATTCAAGACCAGTCCCAGATATGAGATGTCCTGGGCAGGGCACAAGGAGCCTCTGTCCATATTGATCACAAACCCTAGTTGGGCAACATGGTTCAACACCTGCACCAGGATCAGCCAGTCGTCGATATACATCAGTATCCTGAGGCCCGGACGCTGAAGGGGTTCTAGTGCACTTGGAGAGGGTGCGGGGGGCTAGGGAGTAGCCGAACGGGAGACGGCAATACTCAAAGCACCCCCCCCACAGAAAACCGGATGAACTTCCTGTGCCCCAGAGCAATGGGTATGTGGAAATATACATCGTGTCGGTTCCAAACAGTGAAGCCATGTAGTTGACGCTCTCCTAATCCATATAGTGTGTAAAGTGAGTGAATAAAACCAGGGAACAGTCAAATGCAATTAAAAACTCTTTACTGAGTATTCACAAAACAAAAACACATACTGTACAAAAACAAAAGAACTAGAGGAGAGAGTATAACGAGAGAGTTGGGAGAGAGGTCAAAAAACTGTGTGGCTCCACTCCACGCTTTCCCTGGCTCACCTGCGCCTTAACTAGGGCCAGGACTGAGAAAAAAATATATATATATATTAAATCAAAATGAATCCATGATTAACTTAGCAATAATGATGGTTGACAGTCAGTTAACTAAATTAGATGCAAAATATCCAAATTAAATCAATTGCCAATTAATCATAAATCTAATCTAATCACAAAAATAATGTATTTCAATCAAATTTTTTGTATTTGTTTGTATTTGTTTATTGGGGATCCCCATTAGCTTCCACCAAAGTGGTTGCTAGTCTTCCTGGGGTCCCTGTTAAGACTGTATTACAAAAAATAAAATAAAATAAAAAACAAATATATAAATACATTAATTAATACAGTACATTATTCAATACAATACATGAATTCACTACCATAATGTTAAAAACATAGATCAAATAGATCAATTGCCAAGTCAGCATCTGTAAACAACACAAGGCATCAAGGCATGAAGCCATGCATTATAATGATGTATTGCACATTTGATGTGATTGAAATAATAATACAAACAAATAGAAATGTATCAAAATAAAACCAAAACAACTAAACCTCTATCCTACACATAGTATATATGTACATATACAATATATACTGAGGTCCACGGAGGTCACCATCCAGTCCCCGGGCCTGATGCTTGACTGACAGTCAGTCAGTCTGACAGTGAGCATGCGAAACGGTCGCTCATCTATACTATAATAATAATAATAATGCATCAGTTTTATATAGCACTCTTTTGGACACTCAAAGACGCTTTACATGTCGTTATTCATTCTCTCCAAACACGGTGGTGATAAACTAGTACTGTAGGGAAAGAAGTGTACTCTTTAAGGGCGTAACGGGCCTCGTGACGGCCTTTATTAAAACATTTCCCTCCCCTCCCTGTAGCAGTGTAGCTGCAAAGCCGGGGTGGCTGCCGCTCCTCCGCTGGTCACATGCCTGCTGTCTCCCACGCACTGGACCCAGGGAGCCCCGGGCTCTGAACGATGCGAGGAGGCAGAGTGGTCCCTGTCAAGCATAAAACCTGTCCAGCATGGAGATGGTCGGCTTGCCCCCCTCGGGGGGGCTGCCAGCCCAGACCACGGAGAGGAAGCTGGTGTACAGGCGTACTCCATCCTCGATGGGAGGAACGCCTGACTGCCTAGCCCAGGCGTCTACTCCCACGTATACTCCATACGCTAGCATTCGGAATTGAAGCTTCTCTTAAGGGAAGCTGAGGGAGAAAGGAGAAGAGCTGTGGTGCATGGCCCTATTTATAGGGGACTGACCTACGCCAGGACGTCAAGGTGATTGGAGCGGTGGATCGTTGGATCTAGCTAGCATTACTAGCTAGGCTAGTAACAGCTAGACTAGAAACAGGCTGGTAGCAGCTACAATGTTAGGACTTGCGATAGGACCCAAAACCCAGACTAAAACAGAAGTATAAAAAGTGAAAGGTTTATTGCGTTGTTCCGGAGGAGAATGAGGAATGGCTGCCACTAGTCCCAGCCCAGGAGCTAAGAACGCAGGAGACAAAAACATAACAATCTGGCAGTCTGTCTGGAGAGCTGGCTAGATCTAGGCTGCTTGATTGTAGAAGTGAGAGCAGGTGAGCAGCTCCAGACTCCACCCAGGCAACACACACACAAACACACACACACAGGGAGGAGCAAGAGGCAGTGAAGACTAGTGACAAAGATGGGGGCGTGACAGTATCCCCCCCCCTCCGGAGCATACCCCTCGGATCGGCCGGAGGGCTGAGAGGACTAGAAACCACGGGCTTCAACAGGGACACATGGAAAGAGGGGTGAATGTTCATAGACTTCGGCAGATTCAGACGCACAACTGAGGGATTGATAATCCTATCAATAGTGAAGGGGCCTACAAACTTCGGAGCCAACTTGCGGGACTCAACCTGAAGATGTAGATCCTTAGAAGAGAGCCACACTTCTTGTCCTGGCCGGGAAGAAGGCAAAGCCACACGGTAGCGGTTGACAATCTCCTGATTACGAACGCTAGTGCGTTGGAGAGCCGCCCTGGTCACCCTCCAGATCCTGCGGCAGCGACGCAGATGGGACTGAACCCAAGGCACGGCAACTACAGTCTCCTGGTTAGGGAAAAGAGGTGGCTGAAAAGACCATAAATGGGGACATACCCGTGGCAGATGTCACCAAGGAGTTTTGGGCGTACTCTACCCAGGGCAGAAACAAGCTCCAAGTAGTAGGATTTCAGGCAGTCACACATCGCAACGCAGATTCCAGGTCCTGGTTAGCCCTTTCCGTCTGCCGTTGGATTGAGGGTGATAACCAGAGGAAAGGCTGACCGAAGCCCCGAGGGATTGACAAAAAGCCTTCCAGACCTGGGAGGAAAACTGAGGTCCCCGGTCAGAGACGATGTCCATGGGAATACCATGAAGACGAAACACATGCTGCACCAGAATCTTAGCAGTCTCCGACGACAAAGGTAATTTGGGGAGGGGAACAAAATGCAGAGCCTTAGAAAAACAATCCACAATAGTCAGAATAGTGGTATTACCGTCTGATGTGGGGAGGCCAGTGACAAAATCCACCGCAATATGTGACCAAGGCCGGCTGGGGATAGGTAGAGGACAGAGGAGACCAGCAGAAGGCAGATGACTGGACTTGCTGCGGTTACAAACGGCACAAGCAGAAACAAATGAGGAATGCCAGTGTAATAGCCCTGAAAAGGGGATAAAATAAAAATAAGACCAGGACACGTCTTTCTTCAAGCCTTGCTGGTTTATGAATGAGGAAAACAATCTTTCTTATATTTGAACATATTTAAATTAACATTCAACGTTTTCCACTGTTCCCGCGCTAGCAACGAGAAGCTAATGCTAATTTTGTTAGCCACTAGCTGAGCTCTTTGAAACAACAGCCTACTAGACTAAATTATCACACTTGAATCATTTCACACATAAGTGAACGTAATATAAAACAATAATGACTGGTTTATGACATTCTGCATTTAATAACATACCTGAAAAGGGGATAAAATAAAAATAAGACCAGGACACGTCTTTCCTCAAGCCTTGCTGGTTTATGAATGAGGAAAGCCTAACCCTAACCCTTAGCCTAGGTGAAGCTCAAGAGCGTCTCCCCCTGCTGGACACTCCACGTAACTGCACTAACAACTAAAATCATCTGGTTCCACACTCCCCCACAAAAATAAATGCTGTCCGCAACATCTCCGTAAGTAGTACTCCAAGTCACAGGTACAAACACAAAACACATAGAACCTGCAAAAGTATGAAACAACTGGTTGCATCCTCAAATTACCAGTGAGTAACAATAACAAAACATTAACCTAATCGTCCAATTTCAATTTCCTTCAAATCAAATCCCACAAAGGTAAGAGTTTGTGTTGCTATATGAATGAATTGGCACAAGCCCATAAGGTGTAACTGCAGCAACATAATAGCATGACGGAGTCCCGAGTGAACACAGCACTGCCAGATTGTTTCCGTCTATTCAGCGCTACAGACCAGAGAGCCTCACAAACCTACTTGTGAATCTTTGCTTCTTTTGACTTATTCGAGTTTTTTTGCTCAGAGATCCCGTCATCGTACCATGAAACAGACAATGGGACAACGGGTGAATAGCAATGAACAAACTACAGTAAAAATCTTGTTGATTTGAGAGTCCGTTAGTTTATGGTTCTCTTAATTCAACCAGGCTATAAGGCTGTGGCCCCCTAGTGGACATTAAACTCAGTGCAGCCCCCACTGAGAGTCTGGACTATGACATGTTTTACATCGTTTTAAAGATAATTTTATCAAGAAAATAACCACAGCAAAAAATATCAAAATAAACTTTATTAAACCCAGTCTACAATATAAAACCTTTGTCCAGTTTTGCTTCAATCTAAGCAACTGGATTCATCTTCATATATTAAATGATATCAAACTCACATTCAATAAAAGTAATGGTCCAAACTCTTTCATGATTATAAAAAGTCACAGACCCAAACAATGAACTCTAAAACGTTCCTCAAACGCTTGATTCTGAGTTTTCCTGTTTTTGTCTCTGTTTTGAGCCCAAACATGTACTTTCCCTGCTGTTAAAGTATCAATATGTAAGATTTTCATGTCATCATTAAAGGGCCCTAATCAGTCATCATTAAAGGGCCCTAATCAGTCATCATTAAAGGGCCCTAATCTGTCATCATTAAAGGGCCCTAATCAGTCATCATTAAAGGGCCCTAATCTGTCATCATTAAAGGGCCCTAATCAGTCATAATTAAAGGGCCCTAATCTGTCATCATTAAAGGGTTCGAATCAGTCATCATTAAAGGGCCCTAATCTGTCATCATTAAAGGGCCCTAATCTGTCATCATTAAAGGGCCCTAATCTGTCATCATTAAAGGGCCCTAATTTGTCATCATTAAAGGGCCCTAATCTGTCATCATTATTAACGTTTATTAATAGGAATAACCCCTTGAGATGAATCATCTCGTTTCCGGAGGGGTCCTCAATCGTTAAACCCTGCGTGACCATAGATCCGTTTGCTCCGATAAATTCCCCTTCACCCAAACTCTACCTCATGCTCATGTAGCAGCAAACTAGCAACCAAAGAGTCAAGCTATTATGTTCTGTCACTGGTTTGTGCCCTCAGTGTCACACAGTGTGACAGAGCCGTACTGCAGCCAGAACAGAGGCACCAGAGGCTCCGTGAAAGAATCTGTGAAGGTGGTGACAGGACGCTGCTCTCCGTCTGCCATGACGCTGTAGAAGCTCAGAGTCCCCGCCACCCAGTCTAGATACACCGCCATCCTCTGGGAGGGGACCTGGCAGACTCTCCTGTTCTTCAGGGGGGGGATCCGTGCTTGTTTGGCAGATTTAGTGAAGTCCAAGCAGCTGTTGGGTTGATTGGAGCAGAACACGCCCCAGGACCTGTGGTCACATCCCAGGACTTGGTCTAAGGCGGATCCTTTGTAGCAGACTCCCACTCCCACCGTCCCGTCCCACTGCAGCTCCCAGTAACACAGACCCCTCAGCTGCTGTTCACAGAACACATGCCGGACCCTCACCCCAGCACGTCTGTCCCTCTCTGTGACAGGTCTCTGACTCTCTGTGTCATGTCTCTGACTCTCTGTGTCATGTCTCTGACTCTCTGTGTCATGTCTCTGACGCATCAGAGCTGTCTGTTTGCTGATGACGATCCTGGAGTGCTTCAGACGCAGGTCGTAGGTCAAGTCTACAGTGACTGGACACAGAAAGTCATGTTATTTCAAATGGTTCAAACCTCCCCTGACCACCAGAGGGCGGTGCATAGCACTGAACCTTCGCAGACGCGCAGTTTGAGTTGAAACAAATGAGTCCATCATTCTGTTTCTGCAGAATCTTCTCACAGAAACACAAGGATCCTGAGTGACAGACACCTGGTGAATCATTCTATTTGATCTCTCCTGACCACCAGAGAGCGGTGCATAGCATGAAAGACCTAATACCAGCTATGTCACAAAGATCCTGACCACATACCTCAGGGGAGAGCCAGAGGATTCTGAAGGACCACCCCAAGAGGAGTTGTAGTGGTCACGTTGACATTATAGAATCAGGTGGATGTGCTCGGAGTAGCCCAAGACACAGCAGCACAAAGAGTCCCCAGAGGAACCCTGTGCAAAGGAGGTAGAGATCTTCGATCCTGCGACCGAAATCTGCGCACGTTGAATAACGTCAACCACGCAGTCGGAAAGGAGTTGTTTAAAAGTACAGACCGTGTCATAAAGATGGCGCCGTGTCATGGCGCCGCAGTGAGAGCTCTAGTGTGCACAATCTGTGTTTTGTTGCTGTTTGTCTTTGAGTCACTTGCCACTGTGAAGTATGACCGAGAGGCGCTTCTTAACATTCGGGACCTTGCGTGTGACGGGTCACTCGTACTACCCGAACTGCACGAACTGGTGCACGAACTTCCTCGAGTGTCCCACTCAAGAGGCCCGTGGAGCACGGCAGGCGGGCCGCGGCGGTGGCCGGCAACAGAGCGAGGGGACCGGGCGTCTCCGGTGTTCTCTCCGCGGTGTGGAGCTGGGCACCTCGAGTCGGCGAAGGAGGCGCAGACACCGGGGAAGACGAGGCGGTGTGCTCGTTCGAAGCCGCTCCTCCAAGACCGCTTTGCCCTCCATCTACCTGTCGGGTCCAGAGCCAGCGCGAGGCCCGGGACTGCGCTGTGTTTTGCCTCAGCGAGACGTGGCTCCACTAGAACGTCCCGGACTCAGCCCCCGGGATTCACCGTTCACCGTGCGGACAGAGTGAAGGAGACCACGGGCAAGGCCAGAGGCGGAGGTGTGTGCTTTTTAATTAATCAGCGCTGGTGCACAGACACTCGAGTCGTGAACCAAACATGTACTGCCAATCTGGAATGCCTAGTCTTGAGCTGCCGCCCTTTTTATCTTCCCCGTGAGTTTTCAGTGATATTTGTATGTGCGGTTTACATTCACCCACGTGCGGATTACAAAGTAGCCCTACAGGATCTGAGCAAGATCCTTCACAAACATGAGTCTGCTCATCCTAACGCAGTCATCATTGTTGCTGGGGATTTCAATAAATGTAATTTAAAGACTGTACTCCCGAACTTTTACCAACATGTGACTCAAGCTACAAGAGGAGCACATGTTCTGGATCACTGCTACATTAACGTGAAGGGAGCTTACAGGTCCAGTCTCAGACCTCCTTTTGGAAAGTCTGACCACTCCTCTGTTCTCCTTCTTCCTTCGTATACTCAGAGGAGCAGGGAACATAAACCAACCTCTCGCACTGTGCAGTGTTGGTCTGAGGAGGCTAGCATGAAGCTACAAGGTTGTTTTGATGCTACGGACTGGTCTGTGTTTCAGTCAGAGGACGTCAATGAATTCTGTGACGCTGTGACTGGATACATACGCTTCTGTATTGACTGCTGTGTCCCACAGAAGGTCATTAAAGAACATTTTAGTCAAAACTCTTCGATGAACGCGGAAGTGAAACTGAAACTTCATGAGCGTGCGTTGGCGTTTCAATCCAATGATACAGTTGCTTATAAACTATCCTGTTACTCATTGAAACATTTTATTAAATCTGCAAAGCGCAGTTACGGGGATAGGTTAAAGAGTTATTTTGAGGAAGATGACCCTCGGCGCATGTGGAACGGTATTAAAGCCATCACATCGTGGAAACCTAGCGCTGGGAAAATTGCATCTGTCGACCAAGCTCTGCCAAACGAGCTGAACACGTTCTACTGTCGCTTTGAATCCGCTGATGCCTGTCCTACTGTATTCCCTGAGTGTTTCAATCAAGGTACCTTCACCGTGACTCAGGAGGAAGTCAGGCGTGTCTTGTCCAGGACCACAGTCCGGAAAGCCCCAGGCCCGGACGGCATCCCTCCTCGTGTCCTGAAACTGTGCTCTGAGCAACTTGCCCCTGTGCTAACAGACATTTTCAACCTGTCGCTAAGGAACTGTACTGTGCCGAACTGCTTTAAAGAGTCGACCATCATTCCAGTTCCTAAGAAAACTCCTGTGACATGCCTGAATGACTATCGTCCTGTGGCCCTCACGTCTGTTCTTATGAAGACTTTTGAGCGGCTTGTGCTGGACTTCATTAAGAGCCAGATCCCTGTGAGTGTTGACCCGCTCCAGTTTGCTACAGACAGAACAGGAGTGTGGAGGATGCATCTCCTTTGCTCTGAACTCTGTCTACAGTCACTTGGACACTAGTAAATCTGTGGCCAGAATGCTTTTCATCGATTATAGCTCTGCTTTTATCTGCCTTGTCCCAGGTAAACTGATTGAAAAGCTCATGTCTCTCGGTTTAAGTGTTGCCATGTGTAAATGGATTTTTATCTTTTTAACTGACAGATCTCAGAGAGTGAAAATCAATGAGTGTTTTTCTGATGTTGTTTCTGTGAGCACTGGTTCTCCTCAGGGATGTATTTTGAGTCCTTTGCTTTTTACTTTGTACACTCACGATTGTGTGTCCTCCTCTGACTCAAACTTGATCATCAAATATGCTGATGACACCACCATCATCGGTCTCATCAGTGACAATGATGAATCCTCTTATAGAGCAGAGATACAAAATGTGGTTCTGTGGAGTCAAACTAACAACCTCCAGTTGAACGCATCCAAAACATGTGAACTGGTCTACGACTTCAGTCGCAATAGTTCTCATTTGTCTGTCGTAATCGACAACTCCCAGGTGCAGATCGTAGAGGAGCAAGTTTCTGGGTTTAACTCTGTCTAACCTGAAATGGGTTAAAAACACTGACCGAGTCGTTAAGAAAGCTCGTCAGCGTCTCTACTTTCTGCGGAAACTTAGAGAATTTACCACTAACTCTAAGATTGTGCTTAACTTTTATGGCTGCACCATTGAGAGTTTACTTGTTGGTTCTGTGTCTGTGTGGTTTGGAAACATCACAGATAAAGAAAAGAGAGCTTTAAACAAGGTGCTCCGCTCTGCAAAGAGGACCGTGGGCTGTGAGCTTCCTGTTCTGGAGGTTCTTTATAAATCCAGACTTTTAAACAAAGCTCTTAGGATTGTTAATGACTCTTCTGGCCATCCTGGGAAAGCCATGTTCCAGCTTCTTCCCTCTGGCAGAAGATATCGCTCTCTGAGATGCAGGACATCTCGTTACGCTAACAGTTTTTATCCACAAGCTGTTATCAGTGTGAACAGAGCACTTTAATGATTTGCACTTGTTTTGAAACTGTTTTAGTCGATCGATTTCACAGTGACATTTGTTTACTGTTTTATTTGTTTTATTTCTGTCTTTTAATGTTGTTTTATGTCTGTATTTGTCTGTGCACACTGGAGACTTTTGCTAATGTATTCCAATGTGGTGTTTTTACTGCAAATGGCAAATAAACTGAATCTGAAAAAGCGGACTGTCCAGTCCCGCACCACCATAACAGACAGAGACGAGTTGTGGGCCTGTGTTCTAAAGGACCATCTGAAGGGTGGGACAAATCAGTGGAAAAGGGGAATGGAAGGTCGGCCAGATGCCAAATGTGTGCCAGGGAATCCTGACCAGGAAAGCCCGGGGCCACAGTCAGGGAAAACAGCATAGGGCAGTGAGTCGAGGTTTCTGAATCAAACAGTTCCACCACTGTCTGACCAAAAAGGCCCCAAATCATCTGGACAATTGGGGGTGTCCAGATGACCCCCCCGGCCACTCCCCCCCAGGTCGAGTGTAGATACACTGCTGTAGACAGAGGTGCAGCCCACATCAGCAGATTCTGAGACCAATAATGAATCAATAAAGAATCTATCTAAAATGGGTCAAAAGTTGTCTGTTTTCTTGGGCACGAGGAAATTACAAGAGTAGTAGACAAACAACTGGAGACGGACTGCTGTCTGTAATAAACAGGGCACCTGCCAAGAGCACCAACAGAAAATATTGTGCAGAAACCTAACCAGAAAGCTGCAGGTTTGTGTACGCAGCCACTAATCGAGGCTCCCTCGGAAAATCCGCCTCGAACCGAAGTTTGGAGAGGAGGCGCTAATGCAGCTGCAAGCAGAGGAGAGCTCCAGAGGAACAAATGTAAACCTCCCAATTAGAGGCACCTCAATACGTAATAACACTAAAGCCCGGGGTATGTACCCAACGGCCTCACCAACAAGGATCGCTGCTGCAAGCAGCAAAAACCATGCAACAACTAAAGTAATGCCGTTTTTCCAGTGTCGGTTCAGTTCATTTCGGTACGGTACGGTACGGCGCACCTATTTTGCGTTTCCACTAGTGGATGGTATGGGAGATTTGAGTACTTTTCCGTACTGCCTCAGCCGTGGTTCCATCCCCATAGTACCCGTGCCATGACGTGACGTCGGCCCACTGCCTCACACTGATTGGTCAACGAGTGTCGTCACTGGAAGCGACATCTGACCCTTTGGGAAAAACAACTCAACCGCCATCTTTAAAAGCGGCTGCTCTGCTCGGCTCTGCTTCGGCTACATTACGTCCTCCTCACTCCAGAGAAATGGAATCGCACAGAAAGCCCCAAAAGTCCTGGTCCTGGTCGGTGGAAGAGGTCCACACGTTCCTCTCTTCAGGCCAAAAGAAAGAATTCAAAGGCAGCTCGAGGCCCAACACAGTTTTCAGGAGATCACCAGCTCTGGATTTGTGACTAGTCTGTGGTAATCCTGGAAATAACTGGTTAGATACGAACCCCCTAAAGCTCTCACTGAAATGTATTTACTGTGTAAATGTTCGATTGTCTATTGTACACAGTGAGCTAGCTACATTTAGCTTCATTTAGCTATCGATAGCCGCTAAGCTAACCCTGTGCTACTGTGCTTTATCTCGTATTATCTGCAGTATTCACGTGTTTCTGTTTTGTGCTTGTATTTAAGTTGTCGTGTATATGTTTGCATGATAATCCCTTCCCATAAGTGTGGAGATTACCAACGAGTAATGAGTGACAGGAGTATTGTCCTCATCTGGACCTGGTCTGGACCTGGTCTGGACCTGGTCTTAGACATAGTACTTTTGACTTTGTAAACTGTTGGTTTTGCACTTTACTTTTGTTTTCAATAAATCTGTGATTGTATCCCAAGACTGTGTTTCATTCATTTATTATTATTGTAGCTGAGGTTTGGGTATCGATTGTTTGTCTGGTCTCGGAGTCTGCTGTAGTCCGGGCCGAGTCCGGACTAGCCTAGCCTAGCTTAGCCTAGCCTAGCCGCTAACTCGCTACCCCTATGGCTGCCGCTGTCTCTCCCTCGGTCTTTTACTGCTCGAGTTGCCATATGACATATACGGATCCTCATCTGAGGGTAGTGATAGATGTGTTAAGTGTAGTACAGTAGTAGCTTTGGAATCCAGGGTTAGTGAGTGAGCTGAGTCTCGAGCTAGCGCTAGCATTAGCTTTAGCCTAGCAGTATCCTCGGACATGCAGCCCTCCTCCTCTGCTACACAGGCTGCTGTTGCTACAGGTCCATTCAGATTGTACAGAGCAGTCAGCACCATTGACTTCACAGTGTCTGAGTCATTCTTTTAAGACAAAAGCATTTTCAAAAACTACTCGTGCTGTGCTGAATTTTCTTAAACACTTGCTCTGTTATTATAATAAATCCATGCACCGCACCAGTACTAGTTACGCGTCACACGTAAATGACGTGGTCTGACAACGCTGAGGACATACTGGGGGTACTATTTTTGATGGAAAAGCATGCGAACTGGGCCATTGCGCGCCGTGTAGAGTCAAAACGTACCGTACTCGGACTGTGGAAAAATGGTATAAGTAAGTAATCTTTATTTATATACCGCCTTTCACAGACCAGAGTCACAAAGTGGTTTACAATTGTTATTTTTGGGCATTAGTCTCTCACTCCTCACAGAGATGGGAGCGGGGCCAGTACAGGAGGCACATGCCAGAACTATTGAACATATTTTTAGTAGTAGGGGAAACCGGAGTACCCGGAGGAAACCTACGCAGACACAGGGAGGACATGCAAACTCCACTCAGAAAGGCCCTGGTCCGACCGGGATTCGAACCCAGAACCTTCTTGCTGAGAGGCAAGAGTGCTATCCACTCAGCCCACTAAATCTCAGACACCAAACGTGTCTAAGATTAGCCACAATGAGTACCGTGACGATACAATAATGTCTACTCGAACGACGCATGCTCGAAGGGAACATTCAGTGCTACACACCGCCCTCTGGCACATGACAGGACTACTTACATTTCCTCAATCCGGGTTTTAATCTGTGAGCACAGCAGTGAGCCAGACTGCAAAACAAAGGTGTTGAAATGAAAAGAGTGTCATCTTAATCATGCAAGTCTAGACAAGTAGAGCAAAAAGGAAATACAGCCACGTTTATGAGTGTTATCTCCTTTTTGAGGCTCAAAGACTATTGAGACAAACACAAGAGAGAGACCATAGAGGGAGACCATAGAGAAACCAGAGCGAGACTAGAGAGAGACACCAGAGAAAGACTAGAGAGGGAGACCGTAGAGAAACCAGAGAGAGACACCAGAGAAAGACCAGAGAGGGAGACCGTAGAGAAACCAGAGCGAGACTAGAGAGAGACACCAGAGAAAGACTAGAGAGGGAGACCGTAGAGAAACCAGAGAGAGACCATAGAGAGACAACACATGCGTCCCCTCCTGGAGACTGGCTCACATTGTCTGCTTTAAGTCTGACCTGAATAGCATGACTGGTCTTACGTACCAAACTTCTTTAAGGTTGTTGATTGGAACATGTACCAAAGCTTCGAGCCTTTCTCCCGCTGGTCCTGGATGATTGTAGCTCAGATCCAGGATCTCCAGCTGAGAAGACTTGTTGGACATGAGCGCTGAAACCAGGGCAGAGCAGCCCTGTTCTGAGAGCCTGCAGCCTACAAGTCTGTGGACACACAAGGACAGGACTGAGGACTACAAGAAGACCAGGAAGACCAGAGAGACCAAAGAGAGACCGAAGAGAGACCGAAGAGAGACCAAAGAGAGAGACCACAAATAGACCAGAAAGACTAGAGAGACTAAAGACAGACCGAAGAGAGACCAAAGAGAGACCAAAGAGACAAAAGAGAGAGACCACAAACAGACCAGAAAGACTAGAGTGATCAGAGAGAGACCAGGGACTCTTGGTATAAAGACTGTTTACCTGAGAATCTTGACTTTACAGTTACGGCTTTTCAAACCATCAGCCAGTGCTTCAGCGCCTGCGTCCTTCAGCTCGTTGTGACTCAGGTCCAGTTCAGTGAGATTGGAGGAAGGAGACATTAAAACTGAATCTGAAAGTGTTCTACAGGACACCTCAGAAAGTTCACACGCACTCAACCTGGAATAGCAGATTAGTATTAGGAGTTAATATTCTCATGGCACTGAATGTGTAGAAAGAACTAGAGAAATCATAATGATTCAAAATGTTCTTTTTGTCTTGTTAAAATGTTTGTGGTTCCTTTGAAGCCTTGGTGACGTGTCATTTATCAGCACAGGTCACTCCTGAGTAAAGGTGGTCAAATTATGTCTGAGGTCCATCAGTGTGAAGGAGGTCTGAGGTCCATCAGTGTGAGGGAGGTCTGAGGTCCATCAGTGTGAGGGAGGTCTGAGGTCCATCAGTGTGAGGGAGGTCTGAGGTCCGTCAGTGTGAGGGAGGTCTGAGGTCCATCAGTGTGAGGGAGGTCTGAGGTCCATCAGTGTGAGGGAGGTCTGAGGTCCATCAGTGTGAGAGAGGTCTGAGGTCCATCAGTGTGAGGGAGGTCTGAGGTCCATCAGTCTGAGAGAGGTCTGAGGTCCATCAGTGAGAGGGAGGTCTGAGGTCCATCAGTGTGAGGGAGGTCTGAGGTCCATCAGTGTGAGAGAGGTCTGAGGTCCATCAGTCTGAGAGAGGTCTGAGGTCCATCAGTGAGAGGGAGGTCTGAGGTCCATCAGTGTGAGGGAGGTCTGAGGTCCATCAGTGAGAGGGAGGTCTGAGGTCCATCAGTGTGAGGAGGAATGTGAGAGTTTGAGTGCTTCAGTGTGTGTACTACAGTACTTTAGTACTTCAGTGTGTGTACTGCAGTACTCGGTCAGGGCACAAAAGAGAAAGTGCCGGAGGGCCGAGCGGAAGTGGCGCAAGTCCAACCTCCAGGTTGATTACAAGATCTTCAAAGATAAGTTGTACGAGTTTAACCAGGTGCTACGTAGTACGAGAGAAAGGTATTTTTCTGAAATGATTGAAGGCTGCAGCAACAATCTGCGTATTCTGTTTTCAACAGTTAATAGATTAACAAACCCCCCTGTTCAAATGCCATTAGAGCTAACTTCCAAACGTAAATGTAATGAGTTTGCACATTTTTTCAATGACAAGGTTCAAGGCATCAAAAACGCCATTGTCTCCAATCCACAGATAACCATCCAACAGCCAGAAAGGCTCTTTGAGCTAGCTTACTTTGCACCTGTAAATTATAAAACTGTCCAAGAGATAATCTCCAGTTTGAGCTCCTCCACATGCAGCTTGGATGTACTACCCACTAGATTTCTGAAGTCTGTTCTGAGCAGTCTGTTACCTTCACTCACACAGATAGTAAACATGTCCCTTCATTCTGGAATATTCCCAAAGGCCCTGAAAACTGTCTGTGGACACACAAGGACAGGACTGAGGACTACAAGAAGACCAGGAAGACCAGAGAGACCAAAGAGAGACCGAAGAGAGACCGAAGAGAGACCAAAGAGAGAGACCACAAATAGACCAGAAAGACTAGAGAGACTAAAGACAGACCGAAGAGAGACCAAAGAGAGACCAAAGAGACAAAAGAGAGAGACCACAAACAGACCAGAAAGACTAGAGTGATCAGAGAGAGACCAGGGACTCTTGGTATAAAGACTGTTTACCTGAGAATCTTGACTTTACAGTTACGGCTTTTCAAACCATCAGCCAGTGCTTCAGCGCCTGCGTCCTTCAGCTCGTTGTGACTCAGGTCCAGTTCAGTGAGATTGGAGGAAGGAGACATTAAAACTGAATCTGAAAGTGTTCTACAGGACACCTCAGAAAGTTCACACGCACTCAACCTGGAATAGCAGATTAGTATTAGGAGTTAATATTCTCATGGCACTGAATGTGTAGAAAGAACTAGAGAAATCATAATGATTCAAAATGTTCTTTTTGTCTTGTTAAAATGTTTGTGGTTCCTTTGAAGCCTTGGTGACGTGTCATTTATCAGCACAGGTCACTCCTGAGTAAAGGTGGTCAAATTATGTCTGAGGTCCATCAGTGTGAAGGAGGTCTGAGGTCCATCAGTGTGAGGGAGGTCTGAGGTCCATCAGTGTGAGGGAGGTCTGAGGTCCATCAGTGTGAGGGAGGTCTGAGGTCCGTCAGTGTGAGGGAGGTCTGAGGTCCATCAGTGTGAGGGAGGTCTGAGGTCCATCAGTCTGAGAGAGGTCTGAGGTCCATCAGTGAGAGGGAGGTCTGAGGTCCATCAGTGTGAGGGAGGTCTGAGGTCCATCAGTGTGAGGGAGGTCTGAGGTCCATCAGTGTGAGAGAGGTCTGAGGTCCATCAGTGTGAGGGAGGTCTGAGGTCCATCAGTGTGAGGGAGGTCTGAGGTCCATCAGTGAGAGGGAGGTCTGAGGTCCATCAGTGTGAGGAGGAATGTGAGAGTTTGAGTGCTTCAGTGTGTGTACTACAGTACTTTAGTACTTCAGTGTGTGTACTGCAGTACTCGGTCAGGGCACAAAAGAGAGAGTGCCGGAGGGCCGAGCGGAAGTGGCGCAAGTCCAACCTCCAGGTTGATTACAAGATCTTCAAAGATAAGTTGTGCGAGTTTAACCAGGTGCTACGTAGTACGAGAGAAAGGTATTTTTCTGAAATGATTGAAGGCTGCAGCAACAATCTGCGTGTTCTGTTTTCAACAGTTAATAGATTAACAAACCCCCCTGTTCAGATGCCATTAGAGCTAACTTCCAAACGTAAATGTAATGAGTTTGCACATTTTTTCAATGACAAGGTTCAAGGCATCAAAAACGCCATTGTCTCCAATCCACAGATAACCATCCAACAGCCAGAAAGGCTCTTTGAGCTAACTCACTTTGCACCTGTAAATGATCAAACTGTCCAAGAGATAATCTCCAGTTTGAGCTCCTCCACATGCAGCCTGGATGTACTACCCACTATATTTCTAAAGTCTGTTCTGAGCAGTCTGTTACCTTCACTCACACAGATAGTAAACATGTCCCTTCATTCTGGAATATTCCCAAAGGCCCTGAAAACTGCAGTCATCAGGCCCCTGCTAAAAAAGAGCAGTCTGGATGCTACGGTACTTAACAACTATCGTCCCATCTCAAATCTGCCATTTATGGGGAAAGTCCTTGAAAAAGTTGTCTACCTACAGCTTACTAGATTTCTTATAATCAACAACTCATTTGATATGTTTCAGTCCGGCTTTAGACCCCACCACAGCACTGAGACTGCTCTTGTCAAGGTTACAAACAATATCCGGCTGAACACTGACGCAGGCAAAGTCTCAATCTTAATCTTGTTAGATCTAAGTGCTGCCTTTGACACTGTCGACCATGAGATCCTCTTACAGAGACTAGAGGACTGGGTTGGAGTCGCTGGCACCGCCCTAAGTTGGTTTAGGTCTTACCTTGAAGACAGGAAGTACTTTGTGGAGATTGGAAACTGTGTCTCAGATCATTTGGCCCTGACCTGTGGAGTACCACAGGGGTCGATCCTGGGACCTCTTCTGTTCAATCTCTACATGCTGCCGTTAGGTCAGTTAATACGCAGAAACAAAGTTTCCTATCATAACTATGCAGACGACACTCAGATCTATGTCTCACTGACTGCAGGAGAACATGGACCAGTGGACTCACTCCTTCACTGTATCCAACAGATCAGTGAGTGGATGCAAAACAACTTCCTTCAGCTAAACGCAGACAAAACTGAAATGATTGTCTTTGGTCCCCAGAAACAAAGAGAGAGCGTCATCTGTCACCTACAGTCTCTCTCCCTAAAACCTTCAAACAAGGTCAGAAATCTAGGGGTAATACTGGACTCAGACTTAAATTTCAATAGCCACATCAAATCAGTAACATCAGTAGCTTTTTACCATCTAAAAAACATTGCCAGGATCAAAAACATAGTGTCTAAAGCAGACTTGGAGATTCTTATCCATGCATTTGTCTCCAGTAGGTTAGACTACTGCAATGGCCTGCTCACAGGTCTGTCCAAACAGGCTGTAATTCAAAATGCAGCAGCTCGAGTCCTGACTAGAACCAGGAAGTACGACCACATTAGTCCTGACTAGAACCAGGAAGTACGACCACATTAGTCCAGTCCTCAGGTCCCTGCACTGGCTTCCTGTGGCTCAGAGAATAGACTTTAAAACAGCTCTGCTTGTTACAAGTCTCTCCATGGCCTCGCACCAAAATATATTAGTGACATGTTAGTCCCATATGAACCAGCCCGGACTCTGAGGAGCACAGGGACTGGACTCCTGCTGGGACTCTGAGGAGCACAGGGACTGGACTCCTGTTAGTGCCCAGAGTCAGAACTAAACATGGGGAGGCTTTTCAGATTCATGCTGCTAAAATCTGGAACAATCTTCCTGAAGATGTGAGACAGGCCTCCTCTCTGACAATGTTTAAAACCAGGTTAAAACGGTGCTGTTTAGCTGTGCATACAACTGAGGGATTTTATATTTTTATCTTTCGTTTTAATGTTCTGTGATTATTTATGATTTTAATGCTATCTTGTTCAGCACTTTGAGTTGCCTTGTGTATGAATTGTGCTATACAAATAAACTTGCCTTGCCTTGCCTTGCGTTCTTCAGTGTGTGTACTTCAGTAGGTGTACTTCAGTACTTCATTGCGTGTGCTCCAGTACTTCAGTAGTTCAGTGTGTGTACTGCAATACTTCAGGATTTCAGTACTTTAGTACTTCAGTGTGTGTACTGCAGTACTTTAGTACTTCAGTGTGTGTACTGCAGTACTGTTCTTCAGTGTGTGTACTGCAGTACTTCAGTGTGTGTACTTCAGCGTGTGTACTTACGCAGCCTTTGTTGCCACCTTTACCACTGGCATCATTCCCAGAAGGACTGTCTCTGATCTGCAGTATCTTTTCAAATCAAACAGCTCCAGGTTCTGGTCTGAGGTCAGCAACACAAAGTTCAGAGCAGACCACTTTGAAGGAGAGAAGGTTTTGTAGTCGTTCTTCTCTGACTCCAGATACTTCTTGATCTCATTCACGAGTGAGTTGTCGTTGAGCTCATTCAGACAGTGGAACAGGTTCATGCTCATGTCGCTGTCACAATCTTTATTGATCTTTGTTTTAATGTAGATGATGGTTTCTTTATTGATCTTGTCTGTGCTTTCAGAAGTCTTAAGCACCTCCTTCAGGAGATCACAGTTGCTCTTGAGTGAGAGACCAAGAAGAAAGCGCAGGAACAGATCCCAGACTCCGTCACGGCTCCCCAATGCTTTGTCCACAGCAGATTTGTAGAAGTCTGAAGCGGGCTGGTCTGAAGCGGGCTGGTCTGAGGCGGGCTGGTCTGAGGCGGGCTGGTCTGAGGCGGGCTGGTCTGTGGAGGCGGGGGAGCTGAGTAAATTTTTGCCCTCATTATTAAAAGTATAGAAGACATAAAAAGCAGCCATGAACTCTTGGACGCTCAAGTGGACAAAGCTATAAAAGAGATTTGGAAGAACGTCAGAGTCTCGCGTGATGGTGGTGAGCAGGCCGGAGAAGACGGCTGCTTCTTCCACATTCAGGCCATAACTGGAGAAGTCGTCTTCAGTGAACAACACGTTTCCTCTCTCCAACTCGTCAAACGCCATTTTGCTCAAACCTAAAATGATTTTCTTGTTTCTTTGGTTCCAAATGTTTGCTTGTTCTTCTGCTGGCTCATTGTATTTTTCATTGGCCTGTCGACACTGCAGCAGGAGGAAGTGAATGAACAGGTCCGTCAGGGTCTTTGGTTTTCCCTGGTGATTAGTTTTGATAAAAGACTCCAGGACTTTTGCTGTGATCCAACAGAAAACAGGAATATGACACATCAGGTAAATGCTCCGAGATTCCTTCACAAAACACAGGATGTCCTCTGCCATCTTTGTCTCAAATCGCTTTCTGAAATACTGTTCTTTCTGCTCATCGCTGAATCCTCGGACTTCAGTCAGTTTGTCAACCTTCTCGGCAGGGATTCGCCGAGACGCAGCAGGACGAGAGGTGATCCAGACTTGAGCTTTGGGAAGCAGGTTTCCAACAACTAAATTAGTCACAATGTCATTCACTGTCGCCTTCTGTGTGATATCTGACAAAATGTGTAGCTTGCTAAAATTAAGATCCAAGCGACATTCATCCAAACCATCGAGAACAATCAGGAGTTTGTACTGATCGTAGTTGGTTATTTCTGATGTCTTCATGCAAGGAAAGAACTGATGGAGAAGTTCCTCCAAACTGACCTCCTCGTCCTTTCTCAGGTTGAGCTCCCGAAAAGGAAGGGGAAAGGTTATAGTGTCAGTGGACGTTCCCTCAGCCCAGTCCAACATGTACTTCATTGAGGCAAATGTTTTTCCAATTCCAGCCAGTCCAATTGTAAGCACTGTTTTGATGTTTCTGTCAGAAGAAGCTTTGAAAATGTCCTGATAGTTGATAGGAATCTCCTTTCTCGCTTCATAGTTCTTTCCCTGTTGAACCTGTTTGGTCTCGTGTTTTTGGACGACCTCACTGCTCTCTCCCTCAATGATGTAAAGGTCAGTGTAGATGTCCTTCAGGGAAGCTGCAGTGGTCTTACATCCATCCACACCTTCGGCCACCCTTTCAAATCCCTTTTTCAATATCTTCTTGAGGTTACGTTGGCTCGCGACATCTGGTTTCTCTTTAAGCAAAAGAAAGAAAAACACATGTGTGAGTTATGCTGGTCATGGCACACACAAGCAGAAGCCGTCTGAGCTATTGTCAAGACGAGTAAAAGTGTCTTTTAGAACTGTGTGTCAGACACTAGACAGACAGAAACTGCATTACATTAGTTGATTTTTTGTGGCATACAGACCCCAGCTGTGACACTTGGGTAGAGGAGATCATTGCTTCTGTGACGTCTATGGTCCCAAGGCACCAGTAGTAAATGGTAAATGAAAATACGGGTTAACTATTTATGGGAATGATAAACTTTGAGAATGCATCGTGTTCTACTGTAGATGAACTGTTTAACTCTGTCACTTCTAGTGTTTTGAATGTTCTGGACACCATCGCTCCTGTGAAGGTTAAAATAGTGAAAAATAAGCAGAAGGCGCCGTGGGCTAAAGCAGACTCGGTCAGGGCACAAAAGAGAAAGTGCCGGAGGGTCGAGCGGAAGTGGCGCAAGTCCAACCTCCAGGTTGATTACGAGATCTTCAAAGATAAGTTGTGCGAGTTTAACCGGGTGCTACGTAGTACGAGAGAAAGGTATTTTTCTGAAATGATTGAAGGCTGCAGCAACAATTTGCGTGTTCGGTTCTCAACAGTTAATAGATTAACAAACCCCCCTGTTCAATTGCCATTAGAGCTTACTTCCAAACGTAAATGTAATGAGTTTGCACATTTTTTCAATGACAAGGTTCAAGGCATCAAAAACGCCATTGTCTCCAATCCACAGATAACAATCCAACAGCCAGAAAGGCTCTTTGAGCTAACTCACTTTGCACCTGTAAATGATAAAACTGTCCAAGAGATAATCTCCAGTCTGAGCTCCTCCACATGCAGCTTGGATGTACTACCCACTAGATTTCTCAAGTCTGTTCTGAGCAGTCTGTTACCTTCACTCACACAGATAGTAAACATGTCCCTTCATTCTGGAATATTCCCAAAGGCCCTGAAAACGGCAGTCATCAGGCCCCTGCTAAAAAAGAGCAGTCTGGATGCTACGGTACTTAACAACTACTGTCCCATCTCAAATCTGCCATTTATGGGGAAAGTCCTTGAGAAAGTTGTCTACCTACAGCTTACTAGATTTCTTATAATCAACAACTCATTTGATATGTTTCAGTCCGGCTTTAGACCCCACCACAGCACTGAGACTGCTCTTGTCAAGGTTACAAACGATATCCGGCTGAACACTGACGCAGGCAAAGTCTCAATCTTAATCCTGTTAGATCTGAGTGCTGCCTTTGACACTGTCGACCATGAGATCCTCTTACAGAGACTAGAGGACTGGGTTGGAGTCGCTGGCACCGCCCTAAGTTGGTTTAGGTCTTACCTTGAAGACAGGAAGTACTTTGTGGAGATTGGAAACTGTGTCTCAGATCATATGGCCCTGACCTGTGGAGTACCACAGGGGTCGATCCTGGGACCTCTTCTGTTCAATCTCTACATGCTGCCGTTAGGTCAGTTAATACGCAGAAACAAAGTTTCCTATCACAACTATGCAGACGACACTCAGATCTATGTCTCACTGACTGCAGGAGAACATGGACCAGTGGACTCACTCCTTCACTGTATCCAACAGATCAGTGAGTGGATGCAAAACAACTTCCTTCAGCTAAACGCAGACAAAACTGAAATGATTGTCTTTGGTCCCCAGAAACAAAGAGAGAGCGTCATCTGTCACCTACAGTCTCTCTCCCTAAAACCTTCAAACAAGGTCAGAAATCTAGGGGTAATACTGGACTCAGACTTAAATTTTAATAGCCACATTAAATCAGTAACATCAGCAGCTTTTTACCATCTAAAAAACATTGCCAGGATCAAAAACATAGTGTCTAAAGCAGACTTGGAGATTCTTATCCATGCATTTGTCTCCAGTAGGTTAGACTACTGCAATGGCCTGCTCACAGGTCTGTCCAAACAGGCTGTAAAACAGCTGCAGTACATTCAAAATGCAGCAGCTCGAGTCCTGACTAGAACCAGGAAGTACGACCACATTAGTCCTGACTAGAACCAGGAAGTACGACCACATTAGTCAGACTAGAACCAGGAAGTACGACCACATTAGTCCTGACTAGAACCAGGAAGTACGACCACATTAGTCCTGACTAGAACCAGGAAGTACGACCTTATTAGTCCTGACTAGAACCAGGAAGTACGACCTTATTAGTCCTGACTAGAACCAGGAAGTACGACCTTATTAGTCCTGACTAGAACCAGGAAGTACGACCACCCATTAGTCCCGACTAGAACCAGGAAGTACGACCACATTAGTCCCGACTAGAACCAGGAAGTACGACCACATTAGTCCTGACTAGAACCAGGAAGTACGACCACATTAGTCCTGACTAGAACCCGGAAGTACGACCACATTAGTCCTGACTAGAACCCGGAAGTACGACCACATTAGTCCTGACTAGAACCAGGAAGTACGACCGCATTAGTCCCGACTAGAACCCGGAAGTACGACCACATTAGTCCTGACTAGAACCAGGAAGTACGACCACATTTGTCCTGACTAGAACCAGGAAGTGCGACCACATTAGTCCTGACTAGAACCAGGAAGTGCGACCACATTAGTCCTGACTAGAACCAGGAAGTACGACCACATTAGTCCTGACTAGAACCAGGAAGTACGACCACATTAGTCCGGTCCTCAGGTCTCTGCACTGGCTTCCTGTGGCTCAGAGAATAGACTTTAAAACAGCTCTGCTTGTTACAAGTCTCTCCATGGCCTCGCACCAAAATATATTAGTGACATGTTAGTCCCATATGAACCAGCCCGGACTCTGAGGAGCACAAGGACTGGACTCCTGTTGGGACTCTGAGGAGCACAGGGACTGGACTCCTGCTGGGACTCTGAGGAGCACAGGGACTGGACTCCTGCTGGGACTCTGAGGAGCACAGGGACTGGACTCCTGCTGGGACTCTGAGGAGCACAGGGACTGGACTCCTGCTGGGACTCTGAGGAGCACAGGGACTGGACTCCTGCTGGGACTCTGAGGAGCACAGGGACTGGACTCCTGCTGGGACTCTGAGGAGCACAGGGACTGGACTCCTGCCGGGACTCTGAGGAGCACAGGGACTGGACTCCTGCCGGGACTCTGAGGAGCACAGGGACTGGACTCCTCCTGCTGGGACTCTGAGGAGCACAGGGACTGGACTCCTGCTGGGACTCTGAGGAGCACAGGGACTGGACTCCTGCTGGGACTCTGAGGAGCACAGGGACTGGACTCCTGCCGGGACTCTGAGGAGCACAGGGACTGGACTCCTGCCGGGACTCTGAGGAGCACAGGGACTGGACTCCTACTGGGACTCTGAGGAGCACAGGGACTGGACTCCTGCTGGGACTCTGAGGAGCACAGGGACTGGACTCCTGCTGGGACTCTGAGGAGCACAGGGACTGGACTCCTGCTGGGACTCTGAGGAGCACAGGGACTGGACTCCTGCTGGGACTCTGAGGAGCACAGGGACTGGACTCCTGCTGGGACTCTGAGGAGCACAGGGACTGGCCTCCTGCTGGGACTCTGAGGAGCACAGGGACTGGACTCCTGTTAGTGCCCAGAGTCAGAACTAAACATGGGGAGGCTGCTTTTCAGATTCATGCTGCTAAAATCTGGAACAGTCTTCCTGAAGATGTGAGACAGGCCTCCTCTCTGACAATGTTCAAAACCAGGTTAAAGACAGTTCTGTTTAGCTGTGCTACAACTGAGGGATTTTATATTTTTATCTTTCTTTTTAATGTTCTGTGATTATTTATGATTTTAATGCTATCTTATTTTGTTCAGCACTTTGAGTTGCCTTGTGTATGAATTGTTCTATACAAATAAACTTTCCTTGCCTTGCCTAGTGGCATAAGGGCAGAGGTGAGATAAGAGCGTACGCCTGAAGGGCCAGAGGAGGAGGTGTGGAGGTGGTGGTTGCTATTTTTATCTATTTGTTTATTTGACAGGGACATTGCACAATAAATGTATTGTTCAGACCGGAAGCTAATTTTCATCCGTAGTCCCTGAGGCAGAGGCAACGTGACAGCAGGTTTACAGTGTGCAAAGAATTGATAAATAGAAAGAATGAATGGCCTAATTAAAATACAGATAAAATACAACACGTCTAAATCACACAGACACAATTCAATACATACAAAATATACATCACACAATTATTTACATTTGACTAATGACTACAGACTTGATTCTCTTTGAGCCAGTTTTTTAGGCTGAGTTTAAACTGTCCTAGTGAGCTACTCTCTCGCACAGACAGAGGTAGTGAGTTCCAGGCCCACACAGACAGAGGTAGTGAGTTCCAGGCCCTCACAGACAGAGGTAGTGAGTTCCAGGCCCGCACAGACAGAGGTAGTGAGTTCCAGGCCCGCACAGACAGAGGTAGTGAGTTCCAGGCCCTCACAGACAGAGGTAGTGAGTTCCAGGCCCTCACAGACAGAGGTAGTGAGTTCCAGGCCCTCACAGACAGAGGTAGTGAGTTCCAGGCCCTCACAGACAGAGGTAGTGAGTTCCAGGCCCGCACAGACAGAGGTAGTGAGTTCCAGGCCCTCACAGACAGAGGTAGTGAGTTCCAGGCCCGCACAGACAGAGGTAGTGAGTTCCAGGCCCTCACAGACAGAGGTAGTGAGTTCCAGGCCCTCACAGACAGAGGTAGTGAGTTCCAGGCCCTCACAGACAGAGGTAGTGAGTTCCAGGCCCTCACAGACAGAGGTAGTGAGTTCCAGGCCCTCACAGACAGAGGTAGTGAGTTCCAGGCCCTCACAGACAGAGGTAGTGAGTTCCAGGCCCTCACAGACAGAGGTAGTGAGTTCCAGGCCCTCACAGACAGAGGTAGTGAGTTCCAGGCCGGCACAGACAGAGGTAGTGAGTTCCAGACCCTCACAGACAGAGGTAGTGAGTTCCAGGCCCTCACAGACAGAGGTAGTGCGTTCCAGGGCCTCACAAACAGAGGTAGTGAGTTCCAGGCCCGCACAGACAGAGGTAGTGAGTTCCAGGCCCTCACAGACAGAGGTAGTGAGTTCCAGGCCGTCACAGACAGAGGTAGTGAGTTCCAGGCCGTCACAGACAGAGGTAGTGAGTTCCAGGCCCGCACAGACAGAGGTAGTGAGTTCCAGGCCCGCACAGACAGAGGTAGTGAGTTCCAGGCCCGCACAGACAGAGGTAGTGAGTTCCAGGCCCTCACAGACAGAGGTAGTGAGTTCCAGGCCCTCACAGACAGAGGTAGTGAGTTCCAGGGCCTCACAGACAGAGGTAGTGAGTTCCAGGGCCTCACAAACAGAGGTAGTGAGTTCCAGGCCGGCACAGACAGAGGTAGTGAGTTCCAGACCCTCACAGACAGAGGTAGTGAGTTCCAGGGCCTCACAGACAGAGGTAGTGAGTTCCAGGGCCTCACAAACAGAGGTAGTGAGTTCCAGGCCCGCACAGACAGAGGTAGTGAGTTCCAGGCCGTCACAGACAGAGGTAGTGAGTTCCAGACCCGCACAGACAGAGGTAGTGAGTTCCAGGCCCGCACAGACAGAGGTAGTGAGTTCCAGGCCCGCACAGACAGAGGTAGTGAGTTCCAGGCCGTCACAGACAGAGGTAGTGAGTTCCAGGCCCGCACAGACAGAGGTAGTGAGTTCCAGACCCTCACAGACAGAGGTAGTGAGTTCCAGGGCCTCACAGACAGAGGTAGTGAGTTCCAGGCCCGCACAGACAGAGGTAGTGAGTTCCAGGCCGTCACAGACAGAGGTAGTGAGTTCCAGGCCCGCACAGACAGAGGTAGTGAGTTCCAGGCCCGCACAGACAGAGGTAGTGAGTTCCAGGCCCGCACAGACAGAGGTAGTGAGTTCCAGGCCCGCACAGACAGCGGTAGTGAGTTCCAGGCCCGTACAGACAGAGGTAGTGAGTTCCAGGCCGTCACAGACAGAGGTAGTGAGTTCCAGGCCCGCACAGACAGAGGTAGTGAGTTCCAGACCCGCACAGACAGAGGTAGTGAGTTCCAGGCCGTCACAGACATGTCATAGTTTCACTGATCATTTCACCGAGTTGCTTTCAGTTGTGTGCACAGACTTTGATAGTTTAGTCGTCATAGGTGATTTTAATATACATGTAGATAACGTTAATGATAGATACGCGAAAGAGCTGAGCTCTGTGCTGGAAACCTTTGGTCTCACTCAGCATGTGAGTGGCCCCACCCATAGCAGAGGACACACTCTCGATCTGCTAATTACTAAAGGGGTTAATATCTCAAATGTAAATGTGGCCAATGTTGCTCTGTCAGATCATTTCTGTGTATTTTTTGATATGTGTCTCAATAGTAAAGCACGAGCTGAATCCTCAATTGTTAGAAGAAGAAGACACATAAACAAAAATACAGGTGAACTTTTCATGGGGATGATAAACTTTGATAACACGTTGTGTTCTACGGTGGATGAATTACTTAACTCTGTCACCTCTAGTGTTTTGGATGTTCTGGACACGATTGCTCCTGTAAAGGTCAAAATTGTTACAAATAAGCAAAAGGCGCCATGGACAAAAGCAGACTCTGTCAGGGCACAGAAGAGAGAGTGCCGGAGAGCCGAGCGGAAGTGGCGAAAGTCAAATCTCCAAGTTGACCATGAGATCTTCAAAGATGCATTGTGCAAGTTCAACAGTGTGCTACGTAGAACGAGGGAAACTTATTTTTCCGAAACAATCGAAGGTTGTAGTGGCAATCTACGCGTTCTGTTCTCAACGGTAAATAAATTGACAAATCCCCCTGTTAAGATGCCATCAGAGCTTACCTCCAAAACCAAATGTAATGAGTTTGCAGAGTTTTTTAATGACAAAGTCCAAGGCATCAAAAATGCCATCACCTCCACAGTAGAAATTACAATCCAACAGCCAGTGAAGCTTTTTGGGCTGACACACTTTACACCAGTACAAATTGAAACTGTCCAAAGATAATTACTAGTCTGAGTTCTTCCTACATGCAGCCTGGATGTATTACCTCCTAGATTTTTCTAAATCTGTTCTGAGCAGTCTTTTACCTTCACTCACGCATATAGTAAATATGTCTCTTGAATCTGGAACATTCCCAATGGCCTGAAAACGGCAGTCATCAGACCCCTCCTAAAAAAGAGAGTCTGGATGCCTTGGCACTTAAAAATTATCGGCCCATTTCAAATCTGCCTTTCATGGGTAAAATTCTAGAAAAAGTTGTCTATCAACAACTTACAGAATTTTTAATAATCAATAACTCTTTTTTGATATGTTCAGTCTGGTTTTAGACCCCCACCACAGCACAGAGACCGCTCTTCTAGTCGAACAGGTAACAAATGACATCAGAACTTCCAGATTAAAAAGACTTAACACTGACGCAGGAAAAGTTCTCAGTTCTTTGATGGTGGGAGGACCTGTTAGAATTTGAGTTATGTATTTGATCTTAAAGCTTTCGGTCTGGGACACTGGTCCCGTTCTCTGATGAGGGTGAGTTTGTTTCTCTCACCTGCAGCACACATGCGGCAGCGCTGACACTGTCCCCGCCCAGTCGGCTCTTCCTGGTATGTACCATCAGGACACGGTTCACAGGAGGTGCTGCGGAACTCAGAGCAGTCCTTCTTCACGAACGTCCCTGAAACACAAGCCCCCAGCGTCATTCACACTGAGCAAAACACAGGCCCTGGGCCTCATTCACACTGAGCAAAACACAGGCCCTGGGCCTCATTCACACTGAGCAAAACACAAGCCCTGAGCCTCATTCACACTGAGCAAAACACAGGCCCTGAGCCTCATTCACACTGAGCAAAACACAGGCCCTGAGCCTCATTCACACTGAGCAAAACACAGCCCTGAGCCTCATTCACACTGAGCAAAACACAGCCCTGGGCCTCATTCACACTGAGCAAAACACAGCCCTGAGCCTCATTCACACTGAGCAAAACACAGCCCTGAGCCTCATTCACACTGAGCAAAACACAGCCCTGAGGCTCATTCACACTGAGCAAAACACAGCCCTGAGCCTCATTCACACTGAGCAAAACACAGCCCTCAGCCTCATTCACACTGAGCAAAACACAGCCCTGAGCCTCATTCACACTGAGCAAAACACAGGCCCTGAGCCTCATTCACATCCTCTCACTTTGAGAGAGAGACACAGAGAGAGAGAGCGAGAGAGAGTGATAGAGAGAATCCTGTAAAGACGTTATCCAGAGGAAGGAAGACGCCATACAAAAGCATTGTGTAATTCTTTTTCTGGGTCCACCCCCATCGGTGGGAGTGAGATTGTAGCATGACCCGCCCCCAAAGTACTGAACACACTCTTTACCTGCAGGACACATGGGACAACACTCGCCCTTGTACAGATACTCAGCACGATGACAGGACTGACTGCACATGGGAGCCAGGAGGAGGATCTGCAACAACAGAGACTAGAGAGAGGCCAGAGAGAGACCAGAGAGAGACCAGAGAGAGGCCAGAGAGAGACCAGAGAGAGACCAGAGAGAGACCAGAGAGAGACCAGAGAGAGAGACCAGAGAGAGAGACCAGAGAGAGAGACCAGAGAGAGACCAGAGAGAGACCAGAGAGAGGCCAGAGAGAGACCAGAAAGAGGCCAGAGAGAGACCAGAGAGAGAGACCAGAGAAAGAGAGACCAGAGAGAGGCCAGAGAGAGACCAGAGAGACCAGAGAGAGACCAGAGAGAGGCCAGAGAGAGGCCAGAGAGAGGCCAGAGAGACCAGAGAGAGACCAGAAAGAGGCCAGAGAGAGACCAGAGAGAGGCCAGAGAGAGACCAGAGAGAGGCCAGAGAGAGGCCAGAGAGAGACCAGAGAGAGGCCAGAGAGAGGCCAGAGAGAGACCAGAGAGAGGCCAGAGAGAGACCAGAGAGAGACCAGAGAGAGACCAGAAAGAGGCCAGAGAGAGACCAGAGAGAGACCAGAGAGAGACCAGAGAGAGGCCAGAGAGAGACCAGAGAGAGACCAGAAAGAGACCAGAGAGAGAGAGGCCAAAGAGAGAGACCAAAGAGAGAGGCCAGAGAGAGAGAGGCCAGAGAGAGAGAGGCCAGAGAGAGGCCAGAGAGAGAGACCAGACAGAGAGGCCAAAGAGAGAGACCAGAGAGAGAGGCCAGAGAGAGAGAGGCCAGAGAGAGAGAGGCCAGAGAGAGACCAGAGAGAATATTAAATATTGTTTCGCCGATACCGATCCGATACAATTTTTTCTAATATTTTCAAAGCATTCAAGATTTTGCATTTTTACCTGAATAAATAAGTTTGTCGTGTCGGCTACACACGTTAGCAGCTCTGTTTACAGTCACAGGGATGAGGCTGGAGCCAAATGTTCACACAGTCTCCCCCATAGTTAGTCCTGGTGAAGTCCTGGTTTAGTCCTAGTTTATCTCCTGTTTTGTGTCCCCATGACGGCTCTCTGATAGCTCTCTGATAGCTCTCTGATAGCTCTCCGAGAGCCGCACGGAGGAAAAAGTTCATCTCTTGCTTTCGCCGCATGCACCGGGTCTCCGTGTCCACTGCCTCTGCCACACCGCACATGCCATGTTGACATGGACGTGCAGAACCACTGACACGGCATTGAAAAACAATCTTTAGATCCATGAACGCTACGCATTGTGCGGCTGTTGTTTATGCATTTCCCAGAAAGTTTTGTGGTTCACGCTTGGCTGTGATAGGTAGAGAAGCCTCTGCCTACATCCCCCAGAATGACTCGGCTTTACTTCCTGTGTTTTCATCCTGTTTTTTCTAACGGAGTGATGTTAAACTGACATTCTATCGACCCCGTTTTCTATTGATATCGAACACGTGTCTATAGCAATGTATCTTGTTGTCGTTTTATCGCCCAGCCCTAGTTTTACATTGTGTTTAGTTTACGGCAGCCGTAAAGCGTGAGATGCTGAAAAGTGACGTAAATCGGCTTCATATTTAACAAATCCGATATTATCCGATCCTTACAAAATACCCATATCGGCCCCCGATACCGATACTGAATATCGGATCGGTACATCCCTAGTGGAGAGTGAGACAGAGCCCTGTGAGTCACTATCTGCCTCTTTGGACAGAGAGCGGATTGGCTGAGAGGGTGGTCCTCTCTTTGATGTAAAGTTGTAACACATGAAACTAGAAACTAAAACAGCTGTTTTAGTGCAAGAACCAGAGACATGGGTTTGATACAGAGTTATAGTGTGGTCTGAAAGTTACGTCCCCCAGCTTTAAAACATTTGAGTGTCAGAACAGACTGAGGAAGATTCATATTTACTTCTTACCAAGAAAACACTGGTCATGTTGTGAAGGAGTGCTCATGGTGGAAACATCTGGAACAGAACATTTAGGATTAGTGTGTGTCTGTGCGTGTGTCTTTGTGTGTGCGTGTCTGCCTGTGTGTGTGCGTGTGTCTTTGTGTGTGTGTCTTTGTGTGCGTGTGTCTTTGTGTGCGTGTGCGTGTGTCTTTGTGTGTGTGTCTTTGTGTGCGTGTGTCTTTGTGTGTGCGTGTCTGTGTGCGTCTTTGTGTGTGCGTGTCTGTCTGTGTGTGTGCGTGTCTGTCTGTGTGTGTGCCTTTGTGTGTGTGCCTGTCTGCGTGTGTGCGTGTCTTTGTGGGTGCGTGTCTATCTGTGTGTGTGCGTGTGTCTTTGTGTGTGCGTGTCTATCTGTGTGTGTGCGTGTGTCTTTGTGTGCGCTTCCGTCTGTGTGTGTGCGTGTGTCTTTGTGTGTGCGCGTCTGTGTGTGTGCGTGTGTCTTTGTGTGTGCGTGTCTGTCTGTGTGTGTGCGTGTGTCTTTGTGTGTGCGTGTCTGTCTGTGTGTGTGCGCGTGTGTCTTTGTGTGTGCGTCTTTGTGTGCGTGTCTGTCTGTGTGTGTGCGTGTGTCTTTGTGTGTGCGCGTGTCTGTCTGTGTGCGTGTCTATCTGGGTGTGTGCGTGTGTCTTTGTGTGCGCATCTGTCTGTGTGTGTGCGTGTCTGTCTTTGTGTGTGAGTCTTTGTGTGTCTGTGTCTTTGTGTGTCTGTCTGTGTGTGTGTGTCTTTGTGTGTGCGTGTGTCTGTCTGTGTGTGTGTGTCTGTGTGCGTGTGTCTTTGTGTGTCTGTCTGTGTGTGTGTGTCTTTGTGTGTGCGTGTCTGTCTGTGTGTGTGCGTGTGTCTTTGTGTGTGTGCGTGTCTGTCTTTGTGTGTGCGTCTTTGTGTGTCTGTGTCTTTGTGTGTCTGTCTGTGTGTGTGTGTCTTTGTGTGTGCGTGTGTCTGTCTGTGTGTGCGTGTCTGTCTGTGTGCGTGTGTCTTTGTGTGTCTGTCTGTGTGTGTGCGTGTGTCTTTGTGTGCGTGTCTGTCTGTGTGTGTGCGTGTCTCTTTGTGTGTGTGCGTGTCTGTCTTTGTGTGTGCGTCTTTGTGTGTGTGCGTGTGCGTGTCTGTCTTTGTGTGCGTGTGTCTGTGTGTGTGCGTCTCTCTCTCTCTCTCGTTGATGCAGGAGGGTCTAAGGTCGGTCTGATCCAAGACTCATCTGGACTAAAGTCGTTTATATCGCTGTATTATCTGTGTCTGAACTGTTTGAGTCTCTGAAATAACTACTGAATATCTTAGTTTCACTTTTGTTTCTGAGAAAAACTTACTACAAACACTTTCTCTTGATTCTGTCGTTTCCAGAGTTCCCTGTGAGCTTTAGGGTCGTGTGCAGAGCAGACAGAGCAGGATCAACACAACAAACTTACTACATTTTCTTTCTTGGTCGAAGAGAAAAACACGACGTAGTTTCCTCATAAAATGGCAGAAAGGGCAAGCACGATTTGCGACTCACGGCAACTTCCGGTGACTCGCGTGACACCGAGGTGAAGTTGGCAGAACGTTTGATATTCGCCTGCAAGAATTTGGGAAAAATATTGTTTTCCCCTTCACAGTAACAAAAACGAAAATGGAAACATAACTAAAAATCAACAAAGATATTTTTCCCAGTTTTGATGGGTGCAGTAGCTCCATTTGAACAATAGATAGGTAGCTATCTACAAACACTTTCTCTTGATTCTGTCGTTTCCAGAGTTCCCTGTGAGCTTTAGGGTCGTGTGCAGAGCAGACAGAGCAGGATCAACACAACAAACTTACTACATTTTCTTTCTTGATCGAAGAGAAAAACACAACGTAGTTTCCTCATAAAATGGCAGAAAGGGCAAGAATTTGGAATTATTAATAAATATTAATGAATTAATTATTTATATATACAGTGGGGGCAAAAAAGTATTCAGTCAGCCACCGATCGGTCAGACATCCGGAAAAGTTGCCTGGCCTGCCAGACACTCCTCCTTTCTGTTCAAAAGAAGAACAGACTGTAAGTACCGGTCACAGACTGTAAGTACCGGTCACGGACTGTAAGTACCGGTCACAGACTGTAAGTACCGGTCACAGACTGTAAGTACCGGTCACGGACTGTGAGTACCGGTCACAGACTGTAAGTACCGGTCACAGACTGTAAGTACCGGTCACAGACTGTGAGTACCGGTCACAGACTGTGAGTACCGGTCACAGACTGTAAGTACCGGTCACGGACTGTAAGTACCGGTCACGGACTGTAAGTACCGGCCACAGACTGTAAGTACCGGTCACAGACTGTAAGTACCGGCCACAGACTGTAAGTACCGGTCACAGACTGTAAGTACCGGTCACAGACTGTAAGTACCGGTCACAGACTGTAAGTACCGGCCACAGACTGTAAGTACCGGTCACAGACTGTAAGTACCAGTCACAGACTGTAAGTACCGGCCACAGACTGTAAGTACCGGTCACAGACTGTAAGTACCGGTCACAGACTGTAAGTACCGGTCACAGACTGTAAGTACCGGCCACAGACTGTAAGTACCGGTCACAGACTGTAAGTACCGGTCACAGACTGTAAGTACCGGCCACAGACTGTAAGTACCGGTCACGGACTGTAAGTACCGGCCACAGACTGTAAGTACCGGTCACGGACTGTAAGTACCAGTCACAGACTGTAAGTACCGGTCACAGACTGTAAGTACCAGTCACAGACTGTAAGTACCGGTCACAGACTGTAAGTACCGGCCACAGACTGTAAGTACCGGTCACAGACTGTAAGTACCGGTCACAGAATGTAAGTACCGGTCACAGACTGTAAGTACCGGTCACAGAATGTAAGTACCGGTCACAGACTGTAAGTACCGGTCACAGACTGTAAGTACCGGTCACAGACTGTAAGTACCGGTCACAGAATGTAAGTACCGGTCACAGACTGTAAGTACCGGTCACAGAATGTAAGTACCGGTCACAGACTGTAAGTACCGGCCACAGACTGTAAGTACCGGTCACAGAATGTAAGTACCGGTCACAGACTGTAAGTACCGGTCACAGACTGTAAGTACCGGTCACAGACTGTAAGTACCAGTCACAGACTGTAAGTACCGGTCACAGACTGTAAGTACCGGTCACAGAATGTAAGTACCGGTCACAGACTGTAAGTACCGGCCACAGACTGTAAGTACCGGTCACAGAATGTAAGTACCGGTCACAGACTGTAAGTACCGGTCACAGACTGTAAGTACCGGTCACAGACTGTAAGTACCAGTCACAGACTGTAAGTACCGGTCACAGACTGTAAGTACCGGTCACAGACTGTAAGTACCGGTCACAGACTAAGTACCGGTCACGGACTGTGAGTACCGGTCACGGACTGTAAGTACCGGTCACAGACTGTAAGTACCGGTCACAGACACAGAAAGGACCTGATAGGATTAGAGACAGATGTAGGGTCCACTTTTCCCGCAGATGAGGGATCCTCTGATGTCAGTCTGTGCTGGACTCCTGTGAACACGTCCAGAGCATCATTCAGCCCAATGCTGGAGACGATCAGCCTCGGGTCATGAGGTTCATATGTTTCTTTCTGTATTACTACATTTTTGGACAGAAGTTATGGATGAAATGAGTAAAAGCCTGAATGTTTCTCTGACTCGTGCCTTTTGAACAGACTGGACAAAGATACAATAATAATAATATAATCATCTCACTACAGACTGAGACACTGAAGGCTCAGGAGGCCCGAAAACTGCCTCAAATCAAACACTGAAGTGGTTAAAATAAGTGAGCAGCAGCATATCTGAGAGGAAATATGGAGACCTTTTAACTTTCACTGGAGTATTCTGACCACAGAGGAATATCTATATTAATGCACCCTTTTCCTCTTTATTGGTATTTATTTGGGACTGGTTGTAAGAGGAGAAAACAAAGAAACTAGCTTCTCTGTTCAAAGTTGAGATACACAGAAGCTGTAACATTGAATTGTGTCTATTGTTGTATTTTGTTGTGTGTTGAGGAGAAATCAGACCTAAATAAACAGCTTCACAGAACCCTCAGTCCACAGTCTTCTTTTCCACAACAGACGAGTGGCAAACATGAAATTATCACTTGAGGGTTTTCTGTTCAGTCATAGTTGGTGTTTTAGAAAATCTGACTCAAAAACAACTCAGGCAGAAAAAAATGGTATATATAGATTTTATTTTTATTTTTATTGATATAAAAATAGTCGATACTGAGTCTGATCTTTGTTAATAAGTAAGAATAATTCATTTTATTTCACAGCGCCTTTCAGACCCAGGGACACCTTAAATTATATATATTTAAAAAAAAAACATCACACACATTATTAAAAGTGCAGAATATAAAAGATGATAAAATTACACAGAAAAAGGTTTTGATGTGATTTGAAAATGTCCAAAGAGTTTAACTGGTAATATAATAATAATAATTTAATAGGTTTATGGGTGTGTGGGTGGTAGGTGTATGGGTGGTTCTGGGGTCAGGGGTCAGGGAGAAGGTCTTGTTCATGGTTAGAGCGCCCTCTGCTGTATCTGGCTCCAACAACAGTCTTCGTTTTTCTACAGTAAAGACATAAAGCTGTAGCCCCCAGTAGGATCAGAGCACCTGGGATCCCAAGACCAAGACCCAGGACCAGACCCAGTCCCAGGGTCTTCTCTCCACACTCTGTGTCCGACTCAGAGGTTCCTGCTGCGACGGTGACTTTGTCCAACTGCTCACACCTGAAACACAGACACCATCAACACAGACACCAGTGAAACCAGATCTTTCTCTTTTGTCCAAACCATCTCCACTGACTGAGACAGATGCACGAGAGAGGATCAATCTATGTACAGTATACACACACACACACACACACACACACACACACATACACACACACATATATGTGTATATCTCCACACCAGGCTGTGTGAGGGCTGTTTGACCAATAAGGAGAGAGATGGTGCTGGGCCACATGACCTCCACAGTCACCGGACCTGAACCCAGTCCAGATGGTTTTGGACCTGAACCCAGTCCAGATGGTTTTGGACCTGAACCCAATCCAGATGGTTTTGGACCTGAACCCAGTCCAGATGGTTTTGGGGCTGGACCACAGAGTGAAGGGGCCAAGTGCTAAGCATCATGGGAACTCCTTCCAGACTGTTGAAGACCATTTCAGGTCCTGTTGAAGCTCATCCAGAGAATGCCAAGAGTGAAGCAGTATCAGAGCAAAAGGAGCTACTTTGAAGAACCAGAATAAAACACATATTTACACTTGGTTCATACTTTTTAACTTTTTTTTAGACACAGACAGACAGACAGACACAGACAGACACAGACAGACACAGACAGACGCAGACAGACGCAGACAGACACAGACAGACAGACACAGACAGACACAGACAGACAGACACAGACAGACGCAGACAGACGCAGACACAGACAGACAGACACAGACACAGACAGACACAGACAGACGCAGACAGACGCAGACAGACGCAGACAGACACAGACAGACACAGACACAGACAGACACAGACACAGACAGACACAGACAGAGACAGACACAGACAGACACAGACAGACGCAGACAGACGCAGACAGACACAGACAGACAGACACAGACAGACACAGACAGACAGACACAGACAGACGCAGACACAGACACAGACAGACAGACACAGACACAGACAGACACAGACAGACGCAGACAGACGCAGACAGACGCAGACAGACACAGACAGACACAGACAGACACAGACAGAGACAGACACAGACAGACACAGACAGACGCAGACAGACGCAGACAGACGCAGACAGACGCAGACAGACACAGACAGACACAGACAGACACAGACAGACACAGACAGACACAGACACAGACACAGACAGACGCAGACACAGACACAGACAGACACAGACACAGACACAGACAGACACAGACAGACAGACACAGACACAGACAGACGCAGACAGACGCAGACAGACGCAGACAGACACAGACAGACGCAGACAGACGCAGACAGACGCAGACAGACACAGACAGACACAGACACAGACACAGAGATGAGGTCAGAGAAGCAGACGCAGCGGGACCAGAGCAGGTGCGCGCCAGCGTCTTTTTTTTTTCTTCGCGGTGCGTTCTCTGCATGAAATGGAATGACTCCAGACATTTTTAAATAAAACGTAACAACGAATTTTAGGATTTAGGCTAATAACCTGGATGAGTTTTAAAAATCCGTTATTTTTTTGCTTTTTTTTTCATTTTTATATATATTTTTATTCTATAATTTTAGGGGTGCTTGACATATTTTTAGGGGTGCTTGAGCACCCCTAAAAAGGGGCTATCTACGCCCCTGGTCTCGGCCCTCACGTCCCGTGCCCGCAAGCTGGACTTGCGCGAATGAGCTCCACCAGGCTCTTCAACTATCTGAACTTTGCTCAACTAAGTGGGTTTAACGGCCTTCTTTCCCGTACGACAAGCTGGACGGAACGATACGCTACCCAGCCGTCTGCCACGGAGAACAACAACAAAGAAACCCCCTCCAGAGACCTCCGGGACCAAAAGCCGGACCACACGTGTTTACTTCACCAACAAAGGAACTATACTAAAAGCCATCTTCACACAGTAAGACGTGTGAATGCCAATATGTGTAAATGTGTCTGCTTTTGGTTATGGTGTACATTTCTTTGATTCGTGACTCACACTCAAAGATTCTTATGCTTTATTGAGGTTTTCTTTCTGTAAATAAACAGCTAGAATTACTATCAGCCTCCGGTGTTATTAGTTAGTTTGGAGAATGAACTCTCTGGCGAATAGAACGCACACTTTTAGATTTATGAGACTGATTTAAGAAGCTTATTCTTTAGTTAGGTCTTAAGACTTTTCTTTTCCCTCTCTTAGAATAAGCACACCCCTATAAAAAGGTAGATACAAGGAAATTTCAATCCAGAATAGTTAGTACTGTGTAGATATGTTTTAGATATGCAGTGTGTCCAAATGCACTGCGCATCTAAGGCATATTCCCAACACTTTATTACCCTATACATAAACAGAATGACCTCATCTAAGGAAAACAAGACAGTTTATATTCCAAACTCTTCTCTGAGAAAGGAGCGCTCCAAGTGAATAAAACAGAGGTTTTTTTTAACATCTTAAGCCTCCTAAAACATCTGAAGGAGGCGAGGAGTTTAGAGCAGCCTATAGACCCCAGTTACATAATGTAACTAAGGTTCTATGAATATCCCTTTAGGCTTCGCTATTGCATATCTCTCGGAAGCACCGCTTCCCGCGCTCAGAAGATAAAACGATCCACCGCTTCAATCACCCTGATGTCCTGGTGTAGGTTAGTCCCCGATACAAGGGCCCTGCACCACAGCAGAGAGGGCAGGCCTTCTGGGCCCGAAGCTAAAAGGCCGGTACCGGTCATAGACTGTAAGTACCGGTCACAGACTGTAAGTACCGGTCATAGACTGTAAGTACCGGTCACAGACTGTAAACTGTAAGTACCGGTCACAGACTGTAAGTACCGGTCACAGACTGTAAGTACCGGTCACAGACTGTAAGTACCGGTCACAGACTGTAAGTACCAGTCACAGACTGTAAGTACCGGTCACAGACTGTAAGTACCGGTCACATACTGTAAGTACCGGTCACAGACTGTAAGTACCGGTCACATACTGTAAGTACCGGTCACAGACTGTAAGTACCGGTCACAGACTGTAAGTACCGGTCACAGACTGTAAGTACCGGTCACGGACTGTAAACTGTAAGTACCGGTCACAGACTGTAAGTACCGGTCACGGACTGTAAACTGTAAGTACCGGTCCACGGACTGTAAACTGTAAGTACCGGTCACAGACTGTAAGTACCGGTCACGGACTGTAAACTGTAAGTACCGGTCACAGACTGTAAGCTGTAAGTACCGGTCACAGACTGTAAGAACCGGTCACAGACTGTAAGTACCAGTCACGGACTGTAAGTACCAGTCACAGACTGTAAGTACCGGTCACGGACTGTAAGTACCAGTCACAGACTGTGAGTACCGGTCACAGACTGTAAGTACCGGTCACGGACTGTAAGTACCGGTCACAGACTGTGAGTACCGGTCACGGACTGTAAGTACCGGTCACAGACTGTAAGTACCGGCCACGGACTGTAAGTACCGGTGTAAGTACCGGTCACGGACTGTGAGTACCGGTCACGGACTGTAAGTACCGGTCACAGACTGTAAGTACCGGCCACGGACTGTGAGTACCGGTCACAGACTGTAAGTACCGGTCACAGACTGAGAGTACCGGTCACAGACTGTAAGTACCGGTCACAGACTGTAAGTACCGGTCACAGACTGTAAGTACCGGTCACAGACTGTGAGTACCGGTCACAGACTGTAAGTACCAGTCACAGACTGTGAGTACCGGTCACAGACTGTAAGTACCGGTCACAGACTGTAAGTACCGGTCACAGACTGTAAGTACCGGTCACAGACTGTAAGTACCGGTCACAGACTGTGAGTACCGGTCACGGACTGTAAGTACCGGTCACGGACTGTAAGTACCGGCCACGGACTGTGAGTACCGGTCACGGACTGTAAGTACCGGTCACAGACTGTAAGTACCGGCCACGGACTGTAAGTACCGGTCACGGACTGTAAGTACCGGTCACGGACTGTGAGTACCGGTCACGGACTGTGAGTACCGGTCACGGACTGTGAGTACCGGTCACGGACTGTGAGTACCGGTCACAGAATGTAAGTACCGGTCACGGACTGTAAACTGTAAGTACCGGTCACAGACTGTAAGCTGTAAGTACCGGTCACAGACTGTAAGTACCGGTCACAGACTGTAAGTACCGGTCACGGACTGTAAGTACCGGTCACAGACTGTAAGTACCGGTCACGGACTGTAAGTACCGGTCACAGACTGTGAGTACCAGTCACAGACTGTAAGTACCGGTCACAGACTGTAAGTACCGGTCACAGAATGTAAGTACCGGTCACAGACTGTAAGTACCGGTCACAGACTGTGAGTACCGGTCACAGACTGTAAGTACCGGTCACAGACTGTAAGTACCGGTCACAGACTGTAAGTACCGGTCACAGACTGTAAGTACCGGTCACAGACTGTAAGTACCGGTCACAGACTGTAAGTACCAGTCACAGACTGTAAGTACCGGTCACAGACTGTAAGTACCGGTCACGGACTGTAAGTACCAGTCACAGACTGTAAGTACCGGTCACAGACTGTAAGTACCGGTCACGGACTGTAAGTACCGGTCACGGACTGTAAGTACCAGTCACAGACTGTAAGTACCGGGTCACAGACTATAAGTACCGGCCACAGACTGTAAGTACCAGTCACGGACTGTAAGTACCAGTCACAGACTGTAAGTACCGGTCACAGACTGTAAGTACCAGTCACATACTGTAAGTACCGGCCACAGACTGTAAGTACCGGTCACGGACTGTAAGTACCAGTCACAGACTGTAAGTACCAGTCACAGACTGTAAGTACCGGTCACAGACTGTAAGTACCGGTCACAGACTGTAAGTACCGGTCACGGACTGTAAGTACCGGTCACGGACTGTAAGTACCGGTCACAGACTGTAAGTACCGGTCACAGACTGTAAGTACCGGTCACAGACTGTAAGTACCGGTCACAGACTGTAAGTACCGGTCACAGAATGTAAGTACCGGTCACAGACTGTAAGTACCGGTCACAGACTGTAAGTACCAGTCACAGACTGTAAGTACCGGTCACAGACTGTAAGTACCGGTCACAGAATGTAAGTACCGGTCACAGACTGTAAGTACCGGTCACAGAATGTAAGTACCGGTCACAGACTGTAAGTACCGGTCACAGAATGTAAGTACCGGTCACAGACTGTAAGTACCGGCCACAGACTGTAAGTACCGGTCACAGACACAGAAAGGACCTGATAGGATTAGAGACAGATGTAGGGTCCACTTTTCCCGCAGATGAGGGATCCTCTTATGTCAGTCTGTGCTGGACTCCTGTGAACACGTCCAGAGCATCATTCAGCCCAATACTGGAGACGATCAGCCCCGGGTCATGAGGTTCATAAGTACCGGTCACGGACTGTAAGTACCGGCCACGGACTGTGAGTACCGGTCACGGACTGTAAGTACCGGTCACAGACTGTAAGTACCGGTCACAGACTGTGAGTACCAGTCACAGACTGTAAGTACCGGTCACAGACTGTAAGTACCGGTCACAGACACAGAAAGGACCTGATAGGATTAGAGACAGATGTAGGGTCCACTTTTCCCACAGATGAGGGATCCTCTGATGTCAGTCTGTGCTGGACTCCTGTGAACACGTCCAGAGCATCATTCAGCCCAATACTGGAGACGATCAGCCCCGGGTCATGAGGTTCATAAGTACCGGTCACGGACTGTAAGTACCGGCCACGGACTGTGAGTACCGGTCACGGACTGTAAGTACCGGTCACAGACTGTAAGTACCGGTCACAGACTGTGAGTACCAGTCACAGACTGTAAGTACCGGTCACAGACTGTAAGTACCGGTCACAGACACAGAAAGGACCTGATAGGATTAGAGACAGATGTAGGGTCCACTTTTCCCGCAGATGAGGGATCCTCTGATGTCAGTCTGTGCTGGACTCCTGTGAACACGTCCAGAGCATCATTCAGCCCAATACTGGAGACGATCAGCCCCGGGTCATGAGGTTCATAAGTACCGGTCACGGACTGTAAGTACCGGCCACGGACTGTGAGTACCGGTCACGGACTGTAAGTACCGGTCACAGACTGTAAGTACCGGCCACGGACTGTAAGTACCGGTCACGGACTGTAAGTACCGGTCACGGACTGTAAGTACCGGTCACGGACTGTGAGTACCGGTCACGGACTGTGAGTACCGGTCACGGACTGTGAGTACCGGTCACAGAATGTAAGTACCGGTCACGGACTGTAAACTGTAAGTACCGGTCACAGACTGTAAGCTGTAAGTACCGGTCACAGACTGTAAGTACCGGTCACAGACTGTAAGTACCGGTCACGGACTGTAAGTACCGGTCACAGACTGTAAGTACCGGTCACGGACTGTAAGTACCGGTCACAGACTGTGAGTACCAGTCACAGACTGTAAGTACCGGTCACAGACTGTAAGTACCGGTCACAGAATGTAAGTACCGGTCACAGACTGTAAGTACCGGTCACAGACTGTGAGTACCGGTCACAGACTGTAAGTACCAGTCACAGACTGTAAGTACCGGTCACGGACTGTAAGTACCGGTCACAGACTGTAAGTACCGGTCACAGACTGTAAGTACCGGTCACAGACTGTAAGTACCAGTCACAGACTGTAAGTACCGGTCACAGACTGTAAGTACCGGTCACGGACTGTAAGTACCAGTCACAGACTGTAAGTACCGGTCACAGACTGTAAGTACCGGTCACAGACTGTAAGTACCGGTCACGGACTGTAAGTACCAGTCACAGACTGTAAGTACCGGGTCACAGACTATAAGTACCGGCCACAGACTGTAAGTACCAGTCACGGACTGTAAGTACCAGTCACAGACTGTAAGTACCGGTCACAGACTGTAAGTACCAGTCACGGACTGTAAGTACCGGTCACGGACTGTAAGTACCGGTCACGGACTGTAAGTACCAGTCACAGACTGTAAGTACCGGTCACAGACTGTAAGTACCGGTCACAGACTGTAAGTACCGGTCACAGACTGTAAGTACCGGTCACAGAATGTAAGTACCGGTCACAGACTGTAAGTACCGGTCACAGACTGTAAGTACCAGTCACAGACTGTAAGTACCGGTCACAGACTGTAAGTACCGGTCACAGAATGTAAGTACCGGTCACAGACTGTAAGTACCGGTCACAGAATGTAAGTACCGGTCACAGACTGTAAGTACCGGTCACAGAATGTAAGTACCGGTCACAGACTGTAAGTACCGGCCACAGACTGTAAGTACCGGTCACAGACACAGAAAGGACCTGATAGGATTAGAGACAGATGTAGGGTCCACTTTTCCCGCAGATGAGGGATCCTCTGATGTCAGTCTGTGCTGGACTCCTGTGAACACGTCCAGAGCATCATTCAGCCCAATGCTGGAGACGATCAGCCTCGGGTCATGAGGTTCATGTGTTTCTTTCTGTATTACTACATTTTTGGACAGAAGTTATGGATGAAATGAGTAAAAGCCTGAATGTTTCTCTGACTCGTGCCTTTTGAACAGACTGGACAAAGATACAATAATAATAATATATATATATATATATATATATATATATATATATATATATATATATATATATATATATATATAAATAATTCTGACCACAGAGGAATATCTATATTAATGCACCCTTTTCCTCTTTATTGGTATTTATTTGGGACTGGTTGTAAGAGGAGAAAACAAAGAAACTAGCTTCTCTGTTCAAAGTTGAGATACACAGAAGCTGTAACATTGAATTGTGTCTATTGTTGTATTTTGTTGTGTGTTGAGGAGAAATCAGACCTAAATAAACAGCTTCACAGAGCCCTCAGTCCAGTCTTCTTTTCCACAACAGACGAGTGGCAAACATGAAATTATCACTTGAGGGTTTTCTGTTCAGTCATAGTTGGTGTTTTAGAAAATCTGACTCAAAAACAACTCAGGCAGAAAAAAATGGTATATATAGATTTTATTTTTATTTTTATTGATATAAAAATAGTCGATACTGAGTCTGATCTTTGTTAATAAGTAAGAATAATTCATTTTATTTCACAGCGCCTTTCAGACCCAGGGACGCCTTAAAATATATATATTTAAAAAAAAAACATCACACACATTATTAAAAGTGCAGAATATAAAAGATGATAAAATTACACAGAAAAAGGTTTTGATGTGATTTGAAAATGTCCAAAGAGTTTAACTGGTAATATAATAATAATAATTTAATAGGTTTATGGGTGTGTGGGTGGTAGGTGTATGGGTGGTTCTGGGGTCAGGGGTCAGGGAGAAGGTCTTGTTCATGGTTAGAGCGCCCTCTGCTGTATCTGGCTCCAACAACAGTCTTCGTTTTTCTACAGTAAAGACATAAAGCTGTAGCCCCCAGTAGGATCAGAGCACCTGGGATCCCAAGACCAAGACCCAGGACCAGACCCAGTCCCAGGGTCTTCTCTCCACACTCTGTGTCCGACTCAGAGGTTCCTGCTGCGACGGTGACTTTGTCCAACTGCTCACACCTGAAACACAGACACCATCAACACAGACACCATCAACACAGACACCATCAACACAGACACCATCATCACAGACACCATCAACACAGACACCATCAACACAGACCCCATCAACACAGACACCATCAACACAGAAACCATCAGCACAGACACAATCAACACAGACACCATCATCACAGACACCCTCAACACAGAGACCATCAACACAGACACCATCACAGACATCATCAATACAGACATCATCAACACACACCATCACAGAGACACCATCAACACAGAGACCATCAACACAGACACCATCACAGACACCATCAACACAGAGACCATCAACACAGACACCATCAACACACACCATCAACACAGACATCATCAACACACACCATCACAGAGACACCATCAACACAGAGACCATCAACACAGACACCATCATCACAGACACCATCAACACAGACACTATCAACACAGACACCATCAACACAGACACCATCATCACAGACACCATCATCACAGACACCATCAACACAGACACCATCATCACAGACACCATCAACACAGACACTATCAACACAGACACCATCAACACAGACACTATCAACACAGAGACCATCATCACAGACACCATCACAGAGACCAGATAAACCAGATCTCTTTTGTCCAAACTTCCCTGACTGAGACAAAGTCAGCAGATGAATGTAAGAGCGCAGAGAAAGGCAGACAGCTGTGAGGTAATCCATGAAGTTTGGAAATTTCATAACTTGATATTGTTTGGTTGATGATTCAACACAAAACTCAGATATCACAATAAATTGGATCAGAGCTTCTATAGTTAAATAAATAATCCTAAACTGCCTCTTAGGCAGCTGAGATTAGTATAAAAGGCAACTAGTCTATGATAACAAAAAACGTAAAATTAAATAGTGTTTTGTTTTTATAGGGACGTCACGTCATTTGCAGCAGCCATTTGCAGCAGTCATCTTGACGGAATAGAAAATGCAAAACCGCTGGTGATACTACAGGTCGATGCGAAATGTTCCTATCATGCCGGAGCGATGCTGTGCAGTTGGATGCGACCAGAAACGTGATCAGACAAAAGGAATATCTTTATACCGTATCCCAAAAGAAACAAAACGGAGAAACAAGTGGTTGGCGGCAATAAACATTAGCTCAGTTTGCATCAGTCACGACTAGGGCTTTGACTTTTGCACAAAAATCATATTCAAAGTTTGTTTGTTTATTAATTTAAATATTCGAATATATTATAATATTTAATTATAATTCATTAAACGGCTCCTCAAAGCTAGCTGTTACTTCTGTCTGTACAGAGAAGCTAGCCGAGCTAGCCCACGCTCAATAAACAAATACCAATCAATCAATCAACACCTTTAAATGTTAATCAGAGAATACAGTATACAGTAGCTCAGTTGGTAGAGCACTGGCCTTTGAGCCTGAAGGTCGTGGGTTCGAGCCCACCTCAAGACCTACTTCACGACTCCCACTGATGACTGCTGTTGTTGTGTCCTTGGGCAAGACACCCTGCTTTGCCTGAAGCCCCCGCTGAAAGATCTCAGCTCCTGTGGACTCAGCACCTGCAGAGGATCAGTGAGGGGCTGGTGCTCTGTGAACTGGGTACAGCTCTGACTGCCACCCCCCCGACCCAGAAATGGATTAAGGGGAAGCAAATGGATGGATGGATGGACAGTATACATATACATCCTTAACACAAATGCACGAAGGTTTTCTGAATTCTTTGTTCAGTTTTCATGTAGTTCCAGAGAGTTTTTGAGCTAGCTAGCTTAGCTCCATTGCTGCGGAGTCGGAGGATGGATACCGTCAAAATGGCTGACTATGGCTACGGCTATGGGTCACGTGACTGGGAGATCCCTATACTCTGCCACCGCGAGATCAGCAGGGGAAGACATCTACTCTAATAGTATTTGCCTAAAAGTGTCATGAATTGTCCTGTTGTGTTTTATTTTGAAATCCCCTTTTCTTGTCCTTGTTTCTAGATTTAATCCCCGTAAAAGTGTGTCTCTTATTACGATCTGGGCCTACAAATAGAGTTTCTGCTCAGCTGGAGGCTATTGTCACAAAGCCATATCTTTATTCTGTGCAGACAGTTAGTGAGAGCAACCAGTCTCTGCGGTTCAGAGGGCTTAAAAGAACAGTACAGCTGGAGATCATCATCATACAGGTGGTAGGAGACCTCACTAAACTGCTGGATCAGCTTGCCTAGAGGGAGCAGGTACATCATAAATAAAATAGGCCCAAGAACGGAGCCTTGGGGCACACCCCACTGTAGGTCTGCAGATTCAGACACCACATTGTTAGAGGATACACAGAAGGTTCTACCTGTCAGGTATGATCTAAACCACTCTAATACAGAGCCTGACATACCAACCACATCCCGTAGTCTAGAGACCAAGATGCCATGGTCCACCGTGACCAAGGCAGACGACAGGTCCAACAGGACCAGGACCAGTTCTAACTGGACGAGGACCAGGTCTAACAGGACCATATCTAACAGGACCAGGACCAGGTCTAAAAGGACCAGGACGGAACATTTACCAGAGTTGGCAGCCATCATGATGTCACTAGACACTTTCAATAAAATACACAAACCAAAAGTGTCAAAAATATTGTTAGCCTCCAAGAACGCTTTAAGTTGATTATAGGCTAGCTTCTCCAGGACTTTGGCCCAGAGCGGGATCTTTGATATAGACCTAAAATTCTGAAGATCTGTTGGGTCCAAGCTGTCTTTAATTGGGGCTCCACAACAGCATGTTTAAGAGAACAAGGGAGCACACCAGCTGATAACGACATGTTAAACATTTTAGTGATCGATGAAGCGATAGACTCTAAAACATTAACAAGGAGCCGGGACAACATCCAGTCGACAACACCACACTTTCATACATTTTATAGCGGATAAAATATCCCCTTGAGTGACTGCCTCGAAGGACGACCCGCTCTGAGGAGGAGGGTCAATGTGAGCTTGACTGAATCTCTCTAACCTTGTCAATAAAGAAGTTCAGAAACTTAGAACAACTTGCTCTGCACAGCGACAGCAGCAGGAGAGAAGATAGAATTCAAGAAGAGACGTTCTGCAGGAGTAAACACGGGACGCTGCGCCGGTACAACTTAAGCTACATTTAGTTTGTATTTATATATTTGAAGAAAGTAACTTCAAAGTAATGCAGTGGTAGAGTAATACTTTATAATTGAGAGACAGTAATATTGTAGAAACACATTACTTTAAACGTCAGACTCACTGTGTGTGCGGCTGACAGAGCGACAGAGTCCCATCAGAGAAGCTCCCATTAGCACAGGTACCACACTCTGTGTCTGCGAAGGGACCACCTACAGAAGAGGAGCACAGGTACTGACACAGGTACACACACAGGTACTGAGACAGGTACACACACAGGTACTGACACAGGTACACACACAGGTACACACACAGGTACTGACACAGGTACACACACAGGTACTGAGACAGGTACACACACAGGTACTGATACAGGTACACACACAGGTACTGAGACAGGTACACACACAGGAACTGACACAGGTACACACACAGGTACTGAGACAGGTACACACACAGGTGCTGACACAGGTACACACACAGGTACTGAGACAGGTACACACACAGGTACTGACACAGGTACACACACAGGTACTGAGACAGGTACACACACAGGTACTGACACAGGTACACACACAGGTACTGAGACAGGTACACACACAGGTGCTGATACAGGTACACACACAGGTACTGAGACAGGTACACACACAGGTACTGAGACAGGTACACACACAGGTACTGACACAGGTACACACACAGGTACTGAGACAGGTACACACACACAGGTACTGAGACAGGTACACACAGGTACTGAGACAGGTACACACACAGGTACTGAGACAGGTACACACACAGGTACTGAGACAGGTACACACAGGTACTGAGACAGGTACACACACAGGTACTGAGACAGGTACACACACAGGTACTGAGACAGGTACACACACACAGGTACTGAGACAGGTACACACACACAGGTACTGAGACAGGTACACACACAGGTACTGAGACAGGTACACACACAGGTACTGAGACATGTACACACACAGGTACTGAGACAGGTACACACACACAGGTACTGAGACAGGTACACACACAGGTACTGAGACAGGTACACACACAGGTACTGAGACAGGTACACACACAGGTACTGATACAGGTACACACACAGGTACTGAGACAGGTACACACACAGATACTGATACAGGTACACACACAGGTACTGAGACAGGTACACACACAGGTACTGAGACAGGTACTGAGACAGGTACACACACAGGTACTGAGACAGGTACACACACAGGTACTGAGACAGGTACACACACAGGTACTGAGACAGGTACACACACAGGTACTGAGACAGGTACACACACAGGTACTGAGACAGGTACACACACAGGTACTGAGACAGGTACACACACAGGTACTGAGACAGGTACTGAGACAGGTACACACACAGGTACTGAGACAGGTACACACACAGGTACTGAGACAGGTACACACACAGGTACTGAGACAGGTACACACACACAGGTACTGAGACAGGTACACACACAGGTACTGAGACAGGTACACACACAGGTACTGAGACAGGTACACACACAGGTACTGAGACAGGTACACACACAGGTACTGAGACAGGTACACACACACAGGTACTGAGACAGGTACACACACAGATACTGACACAGGCCCGAAAACCACTGATTTAACTAGAGATGCACCGATCCAGCTTTTTTACTACCGATACCGATACCGATACAGAGCTATGGGTTTCTGCCAATACCGATATTGACCGATACCGGAAATGATCATGCTAAAATGTATTCAATAATTGAACTCTTTGTTCAAGTAACTGCAAAAGCAGTGGATGAACTAAAGCTAAACTTTCCAGATAAAAATGGATTCAACATAAATGTGCAAAACTGCAACTATAAAGAGCTGCTCAATGTTCACATTAAACATTCAACACTGTATTATTCCTTATACATTTATTGAATATAAATGTACTTATATTAACTGTGTTTGAATAAAAAAACACAACAAACAAAACACGCTGCATGAAAATGTAAATAAATAATAGTACCGTAGCTTTAACTGGATTTCAGATATGTATTTGGCGACGGCATGGACCTGGGTTCCAAATGGTCTATGGGTCTGCGAGCCCATGATGAACTCCAACACTTTGGGGTTGTTGCTGAAAAGCTTTTTGTGACGCTGCGTCAGTGTCATCTGTGTCTCGTTGTTTTCACGTCATCTCCTTTCGATGCAGAAACTCCCCGTGCTGTTTCTCGTGGTGCTTAGTCGTGTTTCGCTAGTTTACCGCCGCGTGAACAACGCTCTGTCCTGCTCCACGCTGTGTTGTTGTAGAGCGCCACGAGGAAGTGTCAGATCTGATACATTACTTTTAATTCATTCATTTTATACGTATATGTACATTATGCACAATGTATTTTAAGACATTGTGCGGTACCTGGTGTGTTTTAAAAAATATATAATTTTAATAAAACAAAAGAAAAGAAAATGGATGGGCAGCACGGCGCCTCTCTCTACGCAGATATCCAATCCAGTATTTTTTCTGGTATCGGCGCTGATATCGATACCAGTATCGGATCGGTGCATCCCTAGATTTAACACTGCTCATGAGTTCTGCAACTTGTTTAATTCTTGTTTGTGTTCCTTGTGTTTCTCTCTCTCTCTCCTAGCGTCTCTCCCTTTCTCTCTCTCCTTGCATCTCTCTCTCTCCCTCCCTCCCTCCTCCCGTCTCTCGCACCTGTGCTTCGCAAAGACTTGGTTTGATGCGGAGCGGAGAGCCAGCGTCTAGAGCTGTTGTGGGATTTTTAATAATATACTGGGACTTATCTTTACAATATATAATGTTTGTGGACGTTTTTGTATTGACGATTTAATGCTATTTTATTAGAATAATTATGGTAAATCTGACTGTTAAAGTCAGTGCCTCCCCAATCACAAACCTCACCGCACGTCCCTGGTACACACACTGGTACTGAAGTGGAAGTTACAGTTATTGATCAGCTGTTTGGTCGTTCTAGGGACATGCCTTCATCAAAAGTTCCTCAGACTCTTTTCCACTGAGCTGCTGAGGTCACGAAGGTACAGAGTAAACAGAGGCACAACTAGTGTTTCTGTTTTACCAGAGTTCAGCTGGAGGCTATTATCACTAAGACATATCTTTATTTTGTCTAGACCAGTGTCTCCCAAAGTGGGGTCCGCGGCCCCCTTGTGGGCCGCGAGGGTACTGCAGGGGGGCCGCGGGAGGTCATAAAAAAAAAAAAAAAAATATTTAATGTTAAATTTATAATGTTTTGTTTGTAATATTAAAATATTTGTGTTCATTATTTGACTTGAATAATCCACTGTAATCATTTTTGTATTACAATGTTTGTAGCAGAGGCGATTTCCCCAAAATAAAATAACCAGAAGAGCCTATTCTTAATGTTGTCTTCTTGGTTATTATTTTGGGGGGCCACGCAGACCCGTCAGATTTTTAAGGGGGCCTCGGTGTTACTGAGTTTGGGAATGGCTGGTCTAGACAGTTAGAGTGTGTGTGTCTGTGTGTCTGACCTGGTTTCCTTATGTACTCTCCTGGCAGACAGCGCCTGTGTCTCTGTGAGACCACACAGCTTCTGCCCCCCGGGGCCCACCAACAGAAGTGTCCCTCGTCTGGTTCACACACAGTGTTAGAGGTTCTGGAGCACGGGGCCTTCACCTTCAGACCAGACCCTGACCACAAACACACAACAAAGCTGTGACAAACCACCATGCTGTAACCATTATTTCCATTTAGAGACAGTAATATTGTAACGTCCTGATGTCATATAAACAGACTACAAAGTCCATGTCACTCGTTTCAGGCTCTAAACAGGGTCAGTGCATCACAGAGGGACAGAGAGAAGCTGGACAAGATCTTCAGGGGGTCCAGCTCTGCCCTGTCCCCGGATACAGAGCAGCAAGTGGGGGACAGGAGGGTCCACGTGGGACACTATTTGCTCTAGGGACCTTTTCCCATCCACAAACTTCATACTGTCTCCCCCTATTTAAATTCATGAGTCACAACCCAATGAATGTTTGCAATTTCCTGAATCCTTTTCTTTAGTCCAGCTTTGGTTCAAACAAAGCTAATAGTTAAATCCAAAAACAACAACAAAAAATAATACAATTAAAATTCTTCTAAAAGTACATCCCATATTGTAAAATATAGCTGTAGATGAAAAAGATGAGCTAACACAGTGGATACCTCCAGTTTTCATTCTCCTCTCCTGTAAATATGATTGTAATACATTTATATTTAAATAGACAGGTTTACTCTCAAATATGTTTTGCACTCTTAATTCAATGGTAACTACATGAAAGCGAGTCCAGTCCTCCACACTGTACTGATATCCCAATGTGCCCCCCTGGTCTGTCGCCTCCACTTGTCAGGTCTGGTGTTTGTGTCTCACCTGCAGCACACGTGCGGCAGGGCAGACATAGTCTCTCACTTCCCGGGGGTATGAACCAGGCCTCGTCCTGGTACCTGCCTTCAGGACATGGTTCACTGGAGATGCAGTGGTACTTTGAGCAGTTGTTCGTCACCAACATCCCTGAAACACAAGAGCCTCATTCACACTCAGAATATTCCAGGTCTCCTCTCTTACACACTGACATAAGCCAGTCACCGGTTTATGGCGGGGGTGATATGTTTTAAAAAAAGAACCCACAATGAGGTAAATCCTCTCTGTAGCAGCTCTATGTTTTAAGGTTGTAAAATCCTCACACTTTTTACACTTTTCTAACCACCTGAACTCACCACTGCTGAAGTGCGATCCCAGAGATATCCAACCCATTTATTTATTTATTTAAGTAGGGACAGTACATATTAATGAACATATAAAATATGTAAATATGTCAGATTTTAGCCATAGGCTAATTTCCATCTGTTGTCCCTAGACAGGCTGATGTGAAACTTCACATTGAACATTTAACAATGACACAAAAGAAAGTCACAAGACAGTACAGGAACAGAACGACTGCAGGACAAGGAACAATGGGACCACAAGATACACATTCAAATATACTGTACAAAGAACATTAGGGATCTCAGGCAAATACAATGACAAAAGACTGGACACGACAGAGGACAGGGAGGACAGGGAAGGGTTAGGCAGAAACTGGGAGCGAAGGCGGTTCACTTCCACAAACCCAGGGGAAGACTTAATTCATTAATTGCTACGGATTTATAAAAATCTAAAATTTCATTACGTTGTTTTTTTTTTCTCTCTCTTTAAAATACCTATCTAAAATGCTGTGGTGCCCTAAGGTACGTTTTACATAAAATGTTATCGATTATGTTGACAGGTTTGTGTTGATCTGAGCCATTCCTTTAAGTGATTTTTAAATGATTTGAAGCTGATTGCCTCCCTCACAGTGGTTGGTAGTTTGTTCCACTGGACACTGCCTTTATAGGACAGGACATTTTGATCAAAAGAGGTTTTCCTCACAGGAACCTCACAGTCGCCTCTGCTCATGGACCGAGTTGTTCTCGAGGCACTTGTTCTGTATTTAAAATATCTTGTTAGGGGTGGTGGAGCCAACCCATGTAAGCTTTTATAAATTAGACAACAGTTTTTGAATGTTATGAAATGTTCAAAGCTCAATAAATTATATTTGGAGAGGATATTACAATGGTGGTAACCAAATGGTTTTTTATCAAGGATATTCAGTGCCTTTTTATAAAGTCTTTCAATTGGTTTAAGAATCGTTACACCTGTCAGAGACCAACTAGTTATACAGTAGCTTACGTGTGAAAAGATCATACTATGTAAAAACATCATAGCAGCTTGATCAGTCATTGACCTGCGTATTTGGTTGAAGTTGGACACATTAAATCTAATTATTTTTTATATCATTTTAACATGATTTTTAAAGGACAGCGTAGAATCTAACAAAACACCAAGATATTTAAACTCTTGAACTAATTGCAGTTCTTTCTCTCCAAAATATACATTGGAGCGGGCAATATTAAAGTTTTTTTTTGAGAAATACATACAGACTGTTTTCTGTGCGTTTAGCTGAAGACATGATCGAGTAAGCCAATGCTGGATTTGAGTTAGGGCTGATGTAAGAATTGTGGCCCTCAGGGTCCTTTTCTGTGGCCCTCTGCCTCATTAACCCAAAGTAGTCTTTGAGATCATAAACAAGTTCACTGTATCATCCATGCAACTTCAGCTCAGCCAGTAGAGCTGTTGTAACTCGTTCTAAAGCCCAGAATGTCTGAAATTCAGGCGTTGACTTTAGTTGCACAACTGTACTTGTAGTGAAGCTTTCACTATAATTAGCTAGTTATTGTCTTATTATTGTGGCGGAGTGGACATCGGTCAGGATGCAAATGATCAGCCTTGTTGATGGTTATTCCCTTTATTCTGAGTTGTACAGAACGGTGTGTATGTGTGTGTGTGTGTGTGGTTCTGTAACACAAACAGATAGAAATAAAATATTAGAATAATATAACAGTTACTTAGTTATTACACAGAAATAATGTGCACCACTACAATAAGCATAATCTAATTATATCTCTAAACATAGTTATACACATCACACTAATGTATTCCTAACCTAATAACGTAATAACCCAGTGCTAATAACATGACTACTGAACATTTTCTCTCAGTGTGAATGAGCCTCTCTCTGGCCATATGCATTGTAATGCCTTAGCTTTAACTGTATCTTAACAATAAATTGAATTACACACAAATGAACACAGCTCAGATACTCCTGGCTCTGACTAGCACTAACAGACAAACCATTCACTACCAAGTGTATTTAAATAATAAAGTAATGAGTAAACATACACTCAGAGGACTAGCCTAGCCACCTAGCCCAGGAGCTAAACTAGCCTCAATCCCCATGAACTTGCACTAAACACTTAAACTACAATTCTAACCCATTCCCAAACCCATAATCAATCAATCAAATTTTATTTATAGAGCCCTTTACAACACTCAAGGCGACCAAAGTGCTTTACAATAAAATCACATAAAATGCATTAAAAACATTCATTCAAACAAAAATAAAAATAGAACAGTAAGATTAAAAAAAAAAAAAAAGTGTTGCCGTGCTACTGAATGTTAAAAGCCAGTCTGAATAAATGTGTCTTGAGCCTGGATTTAAAAAGGCCAAGATCAGTGATGGTGCGCATTTCAGGGGGCAGCTTATTCCAGAGTCTGGGTCCAGCGACTGAAAAGCACATATTAAACACGATTGCCAATCACCCACCTCTCTAATGGACGCACACAAGCTTTTTACACACAGCACTGTAATCTGTCATTATCGAGCACACAGAACATCACTAAAACAGCCCAAAACCTTTCACTTCTCACTTGCGGGCGCGCCCCTGGTGGCCAGGTCAGGTACTGCAACTATATACAAAACGCTCTATTTAAGCCCTGCCTTCATAACAGTACTGATGTGGTTTTTGATTGTGTAACAAAGGCTCCTATGGAAAAGTGTTGAAAATGAGCATGGTATTGCTATAACGCTAAAGGCAGTGCATCTGGTCTGTCCAATGGTTGTAACCATATCAAATAAATACATGTTAAAGCTCAGAACAGCCCGATGTCAGTCAAGACAGTTTTTAAGTCTGATGTCGGCCCCTGGACTAGTCTGGTGAACTAGTGGCCCTCTGACTGAAATTTTTGGACACCCCTGCCATAGACAGAGACCACAGAGAGAGAGACCAGAGAGAGAGAAAGAGAGAGACCAGAGAGATAGACCAGAGAGAGAGAGACCAGAGAGAGAGAGAGACCAGAGAGAGAGACCAGAGAGAGAGAAAGAGAGAGACCAGAGAGAGAGACCAGAGAGAGAGAGAGACCAGAGAGAGATAGACCAGAGAGAGATGGACCAGAGAGAGAGAGACCAGAGAGAGAGAGACCAGAGAGAGAGAGACCAGAGAGAGAGAGACCAGAGAGAGATAGACCAGAGAGAGATGGACCAGAGAGAGAGAGACCAGAGAGAGAGAGACCAGAGAGAGAGCAGAGATAGAGACCAGAGAGAGAGTTCTCTGAATTAATCAAACAAGCCATAAAAGTTGTATTCTAACTAGCGGTTATACAATGTTGTATATGAGACAATACATACAAGATGGCGCCTCGTACGGTCGCCACGGCTCTTTGCTGCTCTCTTTTTCTTTTGTTTTTACTTTTTTGGGCCCGTAAAAGGGGAAAGCGCGGAGGCCTGCTCGTGCGTCTGAGGAGGAGAGGAGCGCACGGCTCTCCCCGGCATTTTTCTGTCCAACGTACGCTCACTGGGCAATAAGACGAACTCAGCCTGCTCATGAGAAGAAACAAGGACTTCATCCTGTGTCCTCTGCTTCACTGAGACCTGGTGTCCTCTGTGTCCTCTGCTTCACTGAGACCTGGTGTCCTCTGTGTCCTCTGCTTCACTGAGACCTGGTGTCCTCTGTGTCCTCTGCTTCACTGAGACCTGGTGTCCTCTGTGTCCTCTGCTTCACTGAGACCTGGTGTCCTCTGTGTCCTCTGCTTCACTGAGACCTGGTGTCCTCTGTGTCCTCTGCTTCACTGAGACCTGGTGTCCTCTGTGTCCTCTGCTTCACTGAGACCTGGTGTCCTCTGTGTCCTCTGCGTCACTGAGACCTGGTGTCCTCTGTGTCCTCCATTATGCGCTCTCAGGGAAGAGCAGAGGCGGTGGGCTGTGTTTCTACGTCAATACAAACTGGTGTAACGATGTGACAGTGATCTCCAAGCACTGCTCTCCTGCTCTGGAATATCTTTTCATTCATTGTAAACCATATTACTCCCCTCATGAAATTGTTTCATTCATTCTTGCCTCTGTTTACATACCGCCATGCGCGGACGTGCACGAGGCTCAGCGCGCACTCGCAGAGCAAGTACTGTGTATGGAACGCTTATACCCGGACTCTCTGATTATTATCCTGGGGGATTTTAATAAGGGAAACTTGAGCCAGGAATTACCCAAATACAGACAGTTTATCAAATGCCCGACCAGAGAGGAGAACACTCTGGATCACTGTTACACCACCGTGCGCGGAGCTTTTCGCTCTGTTCCGCCAGCAGCCCTCGGCTTCTCAGATCACTCCATGATACATCTGGTTCCTGCTTACAGACAGAGACTAAAGCTCTCGAAACCTGCAGTGAGGAGCTCCAAAGTGTGGTCTGATGAAGCTGTGGAAGAGCTGCATGCATGGAATCTACAGACTGGGACCTTTTCAGAGCTGCCACAGATAGTTTGGATGAATATACGGACACTGTGACGTCATACATTCACTTCTGTGAGGATAGCATCATTCCAACAAGGACCAGGGTCATCTATAACAACGACAAACCCTGGTTCACTGCTAAACTCCGGCAGCTCAGGAAAGCAAAGGAGTCTGCTTTCAGGGAGGGGGACCGCAGCGGCTACAAAGCAGCTAAATATCAGTTCAGGAGAGAACTGAAAGCAGCCAAGTCCCGGCACAGAGAACGACTACAGGAGCAGTTTGGTAACAACGATACTGCTTCTGTCTGGAGGGGCCTACGGGAGATCACCAACTACAAACCCAAACCCCCCCCTGTGCTGACGACCTGAACCATTTTTTTCAGCCACTTTGATGCCGCCCTGGACACCTCCCCCACCCCCCACCGAGCCAACGACCCGCTCTGCCCCCACCCTGACAATAGCCTCAGAAGACATCAAACGTCTCTTCTTGAGGCTGCACCCCCGCAAAGCTCCTGGCCCCACGTGTCTCCGGCCACTCTGAGATACTGCGCCAGTGAGCTTACTCCTGTGTTCACTGACATTTTCGACTCCTCTCTGCAGTCCTGCCATGTCCCGGCCTGCTTCAAATCCTCCATCATTGTCCCCGTCCCGAAGAAGCCCAGGATCACAGGACTCAATGACTACAGACCTGTAGCACTTACGTCTGTCGTCATGAAGTCATTTGAACGCCTGGTTCTCTCCCATCTCAAGTCCTTCACCTCCCCCCTCCTGGACCCCCTGCAGTTCGCCTACAGAGCCAACAGATCTGTAGACGACGCCATTAACCTGGCCCTCCACCACATCCTACAGCACCTGGACTCCCCGGGGACCTACGCCAGGGTCCTGTTCGTGGACTTCAGCTCTGCCTTCAACACAATCCTGCCATCCCTGCTCCAGGACAAGCTCTCCCAGCTCAACGTGCCCGATTCCACCTGCAGGTGGATCACTGACTTCCTGACGGACAGGAAGCAGCGAGTGCGTCTGGGGAAGAATGTCTCAGACTCTCGGATTATAAATACAGGAGCCCCACAGGGCTGTGTTCTTTCTCCCCTGCTCTTCTCCCTGTACACCAACCACTGCACCTCCAGCCACAACTCTGTGAAGCTGATCAAGTTCACGGACGACACCACCCTCATTGGACTCATCTCCAACAACGATGAGTCCGCCTACAGGAGGGAGGTGGACCGGCTGGTGTCCTGGTGCAGTGGTAACAACCTGGAGCTGAACGCCCAGAAGACAGTGGAGATGATTGTGGACTTCAGGAAGAGCACTGTCCCCCCGCCCCCACCCTCCGTGATGGACTCCCCCATCACCTCTGTGGAGTCCTTCCGTTTCCTGGGCACCACCATCACCCAGGACCTCAAGTGGGAGCCGACCATCAGCTCCCTCATCAAGAAGGCCCAGCAGAGGATGTCCTTCCTGCGGCAGCTCAGGAAAGCCAAGCTGCAGTTCTACACGGCCATCATCGAGTCCATCCTCACCTCCTCCATCTCCTCCTCCATCACCTCCTCATCACCTCCTCATGACCTCCTCCATCACCTCCTCCATCACCTCCTCATCACCTCCTCCATCACCTCCTCCATCACCTCCTCATCACCTCCTCCATCACCTCCTCCATCACCTCCTCATCACCTCCTCCATCACCTCCTCATCACCTCCTCCATCACCTCCTCCATCACCTCCTCCATCACCTCCTCATCACCTCCTCCATCACCTCCTCCATCACCTCCTCCATCACCTCCTCCATCACCTCCTCCATCACCTCCTCCGTCACCGTGTGGTTCTGGAGCCACAGTCAGGGACAAACAGAGACTACAGTGCATTGTGCGCTCTGCAGAGGAAGTGATCGGCCGCAGCCTTCCATCGCTGCAGGACCTGTACGTCGCCCGAGCTCGAGGCCGGGCTGGTCGTATCACAGCCGACCCCTCTCACCTGCACATGGACTATTCCAACACTCCCCTCTCACCTGCACATGGACTATTCCAACCACTCCCCTCCCACCTGCACATGGACTATTCCAACCACTCCCCTCTCACCTGCACATGGACTATTCCAACCACTCCCCTCTCACCTGCACATGGACTATTCCAACCACTCCCCTCTCACCTGCACATGGACTATTCCAACCACTCCCCTATCACCCTGCACATGGACTATTCCAACCACTCCCCTCTCACCTGCACATGGACTATTCCAACCACTCCCCTCTCACCTGCACATGGACTATTCCAACCACTCCCCTCTCACCTGCACATGGACTATTCCAACCACTCCCCTCTCACCTGCACATGGACTATTCCAACCACTCCCCTCAGGCAGGAGGCTGCGGTCCATCAGGACTAGAACCTCCCGCCACAAGAACAGTTTCTTCCCCTCTGCTGTTGGACTCTTGAACACTTCTTAACCTGTCCCCCCGCCCTTTATAAAGTCACTTTACTGCCCTTTATAAAGTCACTTTACTGCCCATCATACGTCACTTTACTTCACTGTACTGCTGTCACCTTACATTGTGTGCACCATGTGCACTTGTATATTGTAAATCATAATTGTAACTCTATTTTAAATTTAAATGTATTCCTTAGAAGTGTTTTTTATTCTTTATTTTCTATCATCTCTTTCTGACTGTTGCACTGAATATGGTTGCTGACAGATTACATATTGTCTGCTCCTCTAAAATCCAGTGTAGTGTGTTCCTGGCGGTGTCATCAGGAGACATTAGCTTCCACAGTTACACGGATGATACACAGCGGTACATCGGATGATACTTTTAGACCTCATCAAATGGTTAAGTGTGTGTGTGTGTGCGTGTGTGTGTCTGTGTACAGTGGGGCAAAAAAGTATTTATTCAGCCACCAGTTGGGCAAGTTTTTTTTTAAATAGAATTTATTTGCAAATGATGGTGTAAATAAGAGTCAGGTCCAAACTCTCACAGACTGAAGCTCCTTCTTTAAGAGTCTGTCCTCCACTCTTTTCCAATATTAAACCTGTTTGAACTCATTTTTAGTCTGAAAGACACCTCTCCACACCCTCAAACACTCACACTCCAAACTCCACTAAGACCAAAGAGCTGTCAAAGGACAAACAACACTGTAGACCTGCACTAGGCTGGGAAGACTGACTCTGCAATAATAGGTAAGCAGCTCGGTGTGAAGAAATCAATTGTGGGAGCAATTAGTAAGAAAATGGAAGACAAATAAGACAAAACAATCTCCTCCATCTGGGGCTCCACCATCTCACCCCGTGGTGTCGAAACGGTCACGAACGGTGAGTAAAGATCCCAGAACCACAAGGGGACCTAAAGAATGACCTGCAGAGAGCTGGGACCAGAGTAACAAAGCTACCCTAAGTAACACGCTACGCCGCCAGGGACTCCCTGCAGTGTCAGACGTGTCCCCTTCAGACGTCCAGGCGCGTCTGAAGCTACAGAGCATTTGGATCCAGAAGAAGATTGGGAGAATGTCATATGGTCATATGAAACCAAAATAGAACACCTAAATATTAAACCTTTGGTAAAAACTCAACTCGTCGTGTTTGGAGGAGAGTTGCATCAGAAGAACACCTGCTGTGAAGCCTGGGGGTGGAAACAATATACTTTGGGGCTGTTTTTCTGCAAAGGGACCAGGACGACGGAATCGTGAAAAAGAAAGAATGAATGGGACCATGTATGGTGAGATTTGGAATGAAAACCTCCTTCCATCGGCACATTGAAGATTAAATGTGGGTCTTTCAGCACGACAATGATCCCAAACACAACGAAGGGTTCCCAAGAATCATTTTAACCCATTTGGCCCCACCGGCAACTATATTTTCCAAAGTTTCTAATTGTCATTTTCTACTCACAGAAAAAAAAAATCAAAAGGTATTAGTGCAGGTTTTTTCTCTTATATTCTAGTAAACGACTTAGACAAAGTTATAGTTTAAAAAAATTGAGATTCCTGGTGCTTCCGGTCACGTGACATCAGCTTCCAGTCCCTTCTGAGTGAAAACATGGATGAAGCAAACCATCCCAGAAAGAGGTCCTTTTTATCCATTTTGAATAATTTTTCCCCCAAACACTTCATAATTATTTGATCATTCAAGTCTCTAGAATAACCCTCCCTAAAAACATTGTACCTGGGATAAATATTTTTTGAGTTATGAGCATGTTTCTGTGCGCGGCAATCATACAGTATGATGTCACTAAAGGAAAGGAAAACAATGCCTAGTATACCTACTAATAATAATTATATACTTATTTCAAATTGTAGAATGATGTACAATGTCTAATTTTAAACCTCTTAGATTACTCTTCACATCTAAATAAAGTATTAATAGGTATTCAATGTCTGTAGGATTTTGATATAGCTGTAGCCCAGACCCTCCTCCAGCGTCATGGAGTAAGACATGGGTGTCCAAACTTTTTAGTGAGAGGGCCACTTTAGTCCATCAGACTTGACCTGTGGCAGAAACTGGTTTTAAAAACTCTGGATTTGAGCTGGATGGACTGGATTCTGTAATTTAAAATGAGTTATGATAGGTTCTGGATTCCAGAGGGTCTGAGATTTACAACAATGTATAGTCTGACTGTGTTGGTGGAGCTGAAGTTGGTTGGATGACACTGTCAAAGTGCTTCAATGGCGACTTTGTGTTAGCAGCAGAGGGCTTTGTGTGTGTGAGTGTGAGGGTGAGAGAGAAACCTTGCTTTTCCGTCCCTGCTTCACACACGGTGTTAGAGGTTCTGGAGCACTTCTTACGCAGACCGGACCCTGACCACAAACACAACATGGGCGGCACAGTGATTAGCACTCTTACTTCTCTGCAAGAAGGTGCCAGGTTCGATTCCACTTCAAAACAGGACATTTCTGAGTGGCATTTGCATGTTCTCCTTGTGTCTGTGTAGGTTTCTTTCTGGTACAACAATTTCCCCTACAACTAAAAACATGTACAATTTGGAAAGATCCTCCAGCTCAGCTGTGCTAACGATCCACTCATCGCTTTACCTGCCGCCATTATCGTTTATTCTCTAGAATGACTAGGGCTTTGACTTTTGCACAAAAATCATATGCGAAGTTTGTTTGTTTATCCATCCATTCATTTTCTTCCGCTTCATCCGTTGCCGGGTCGCGGGGGCAGCAGTCTAAGCAGAGACGCCCAGACTTCCCTATCCACACACACTTCCTCCAGCTCGTCCGGGGGGACCCCAAGGCGTTCCCAGGCCAGCTGAGAGACATAGTGTCCTAGGTCTTCCGCGGGGCCTCCTCCCGGTGGGACGTGCCCGGAACACCTCCCCAGGGAGGCGTCCAGGAGGCATCCTGAACAGATGCCCGAGCCACCTCAACTGGTTCCTCTCGATGTGGAGGAGCAGCGGCTCTACTCCGAGCTCCTCCCGTGTGACTGAGCTCCTCACCCTATCTCTAAGGGAGCAGCCACTCTGTGGAGGAAGCTCATTTTGACCGCTTGTATCCGCGATCTCGTTCTTTCGGTCATTACCCAAAGCTCATGACCATAGGTGAGGGAGGGAACGAAGATTGACCGGTAAATTGAGAGCTTTGCCTTTCAGCTCAGCTCCCTCTTTACCACAACGGTCCGATACAGCTCTGACTGCAGACGCTGCTCCCTCTTCACCACAACGGTCCGATACAGAGACCGCATCACTGCGCACGCTGCACCGATCCGCCTGTCAATCTCACGCTCCATCCTTCCCCTCACTCGTGAACAAGACCCCGAGATACTTGAACTCCTCCACTTGTTGGTTTATCAATTTAAATATTTAATCATAATTTATTCTACAGCTCCTCACAGCAGCAGAACGTTCCATTGATTTGAATGTAATTTAAAAAAGTTCTACCGCTCATTATTTCTTGATAAGGGACTCTCAAACCAACAATGACCGCTGCCCTTTGGCAACACACTCTGTGCTCGTAATTCAGCTGTAGATTATTCTGCAACTTGTTCTAGCCACTTCATCACAACAGGCTACGTCACTACTGTTTCTGCAGAGAAGCTATTTGTGTTATTGAAGCCATGCTCAATAACACAAATATCAATCAATAACACATTTAAATGTTAATGGGAGAATACATTATACACATACATTCTTAACACACAGAGGTTTTCAGAATTATCTGTTCACGTTTTAGAGATTTCACGACACTTTGAAGCAACTGTGGTTAAAGTTCTAACTCATCATTCTAACATATGCAGAAGGCAGTACTTTTTCACTGCATGTTTTGGTTTTCTGAAGGCCAAGCTACTGGCACCATGGCAGCTGCTGATTGGAGGACGCCATTCCTCCGCTGTGTGTCACTTACATTCAGTAACATCTTTGTTCACGCTGTCTCTACCATCGACAATAAAACATGTCTTCTGTCTGAATTTAAGACACGATTCCCAGACTTTGTCATCTTCTTCAACGTTTTCATGACAAAAATACTGTTTTAATGTGACAAAGCAATCGCGGTAAACCTGAAAGTAACTATTAACATTAGTAGAACATTTTAGGTGCTAGCTTAGCTGTTACCCATCTAGCGGAAAATTAGTACCTTCACTATAATAGCCCTGTTCATGAGTACCTTAAAGATGCAGACAGTGATTTTTTTCTAGACGCATTTGTTTAAATATTGTGGGAAAACGTCCCAAAACCCTAAAAGTATCAAGGTGGAGTGGTTTGGTGGAGAGGGGAGGGGAGAGTGGGTGGAGAGGGGAGGGGAGAGTGGTTTTGGTGGAGAGGGAGGGAGGAGAGTGGTTTGGGGAGAGGGGAGGGGGAGTGGTTTGGTGGAGGGGAGGGGGGAGGGTTTGGTGGAGAGTGGTTTGGTGGAGAGGGGAGGGGGGAGTGGTTTGGTGGAGAGGGGAGGGGGGAGTGGTTTGGTGGAGAGGGGAGGGGGGAGGTGGTTTGGTGGAGAGGGGAGGGGAGAGTGGTTTGGTGGAGAGGGGAGGGGAGAGTGGTTTGGTGGAGAGGGGAGGAGAGGGGAGAGTGGTTTGGTGGAGAGGGGTGGGGGGGAGTGGTTTGGTGGAGAGGGGAGGGGGGAGTGGTTTGGTGGAGAGGGGAGGGAGAGTGGTTTGGTGGAGAGGGGAGGGAGAGTGGTTTGGTGGAGAGGGGAGGGGATGAGGGGAGTGGTTTGGTGGAGAGGGGAGGGGAGAGTGGTTTGGTGGAGAGGGGAGGGGGGAGTGGTTTTGGTGGAGAGGGGAGGGGGGAGTGGTTTGGTGAGAGGGGAGGGGGGAGTGGTTTGGTGGAGAGGGAGGTGGAGAGGGTTTGGTGGAGGAGGGGAGGGGGAGTGGTTTGGTGGTGGAGAGGGAGGGGGAGGGAGAGTGGTTTGGTGGAGAGGGGAGGGGGAGAGTGGTTTGGTGGAGAGGGAGGGGAGGGGAGGGAGTGGTTTGGTGGAGAGGGAGGGGAGAGGGGGAGGAGGGAGGGGGGAGTGGTTTGGTGGAGAGGGGAGGGGAGAGTGGTTTGGTGGAGAGGGGAGGGGGGGAGTGGTTTGGTGGAGAGGGGAGGGGAGGGAGTGGGAGAGGAGTGGTTTGGTGGAGAGGGGAGGGGGAGTGGTTTGGTGGAGAGGGGAGGGGGGAGTGGTTTGGTGGAGAGGGGAGGGGGGAGTGGTTTGGTGGAGGGGGGGGGGGAGTGGTTTGGTGGAGAGGGGAGGGGGGAGTGGTTTGGTGGAGGAGGGGAGGGTGGTTTGGTGGTGAGGGGAGGGGGAGAGTGGTGGGGAGAGGGGGGAGTGTGTTTGGTGGAGGAGGGGAGGGGGGGGTTAGGGTGGAGATGGTTTGGTGGAGAGGGGAGGGGGGAAGTGTGGTTTGGTGGAGAGGGGGGGGGGGTGGGGAGTGGTTTGGTGGAGTGGAGAGGGGAGGGGGTGATCCAATTAGGGGCCGGTGTATAGGAGCCAAATATGTGTTTTTCTTTGCGTAATTGGTCTTTATGTCCATGAGGGGGCGCATTCATCTTTTATATGAATCATGAGCGCAGGGTTGAGTGCAGGTGTGACCCAGAAGGGCAAATTGGTTTTTGACCGCACAAGCGGAGTTTGTTTTCCACTGTTTCTCGTGTGATACCACTGTGGATCCTTTTAATAGCACTGTTAAATAAATGAAGATTATTGCATCGTACCCTTTGAAGACTTGGAGGATTTTATTGAGCACAACAGAGCAACCACAGCAGCCGCTTAGCGCGTCATCAACAAGCCTGGGTCTACAGCCTCACACTAGCAGCATTGGGCTGGCTAGTATATAAGGAGTTATTGAAGATGAAATAGGAGAATGAAGCAAGGCTAAAAGAGAAGATGGTTTAGTGGACCTGGCTTCCATGACAAGCCAAGCGTGAGAATTTGGAACATCGGAATGAAGCCAATATCTAAATATTCTAATATTGCATGACCAATAATAAAATTTAAAATTTGGCAGGGCCATGCCCCCTAATTTTTTTGATCTCTGTAGATGTTGAATGCTCAATCGTGACACCTTATTATTCCAAATAAAATTGCGGATAATAATATAAATTTTGTTAAAAAAGGATTGAGTTAGAAAAATTGGTATTAATTGGAATAAATATAAAAAGCGGGGAAGGATATTCATTTTGATGCAATTTATGCGAGCAACCAAAGAAAGCCCCAAAATTGACCAGCGATCCAAATCCTCTTTGACACGCAACAGTAAAGGAGAAAAATTGGCTCCAAAAAGATCCTCAAATCTTCGAGTGACCTGGAGACCTAGGTAGGTAAATTGATGAGTGATTTTAAACGGTAGAGTATTAATGAGGTTACATTCAGAGACATTGAGAGGAAAGAACTCACTTTTAGTTAAGTTTAATTTATAACCGGAAATCCGTCCAAATACCTGTAGCGTATTTAAAGCTGCTGGAATAGAAGTATCCAAATCACTTAAATACAAAAGTAAATCGTCTGCGTACAAAGACACTTTGTTTCCTATGCCATTCCTAATAATCCCACTAATCTCCAAATTCGATCTGAGCGCGATGGCAAGCGGTTCTATCGCCAAGGCAAATAATAACGGACTTAATGGACAGCCTTGACGCGTGGAACGAGAGAGACGGAAGTAAGCAGATTGGATATTATTGGTTCTGACTGCAGCGTGTGGGTCTGCGTACAACAGTTGAATCCAGGATAAAAACTTCTGACCAAAACCAAATTTTTCAATTGTATAAAATAAATACCTCCATTCTACTCTATCAAAAGCCTTTTCGGCATCTAAAGAAATTAGGGCTTCCTGGGAGTCTACCGGGTTTGGGTTGTATATAACATTAAAAAGGCGTCTAACATTAGAAAAGGAGTGTCTATTTTGAACAAAACCAGTTTGGTCTACACTGATTATGGAAGGGAGAACTGTATTGAGACGTAAAGCCAATGTTTTAGACAACAATTTGAAGTCGACGTTTAGTAAACTTATGGGGCGATACGAAGCACATTGTAATGGATCTTTGCCTTTTTTAGCAAGAAGGCTAATAACGGCTTGATTAAGAGTTTCAGGCAAGTGGCCACATTCCAAAGATTCTTTATAAACTGATAATAATATTGGTGACAATTTATTCCAAAATATCCTATAGAATTCGCAAGGATATCCATCCGGGCCTGGGCAGCGGCCTCCTTGAAGAGATTTAACAGCAACTGTTAGCTCTTCAATTGTGAGAGGTTTCTCCAAGTTGTCAGCAACTACCCGATTAATGGAGGGAACATGCAACCCTTCAAAAAAATTGTCAAAATCAGATATGGATGCAGTACAGTCTGAAGAGTATAAGGCAGAGTAAAAATCTTTAAAAGTATTGTTAATTTCAGTTGGTTCAGAGGAATTTCCATGCAGCGTCTCAATCTGAGAAATTTGATGTGACGCAGAAACTTGGCGAATTTGGTGAGCAAGTAATTTACCAGCTTTGTCCCCGTGTTCGAAGAACTGAGCACCAGATCGAAGCAGCAGATCAGTTGTGTGTTTAGTCATCAAAATATCAAATTCTGACTGTAATATAATACGTTCCTTGTAAAGATTTGGGTTTGGAGAAGTCGCATACAGACTGTCCAATTGAGAGATACGGCAAGTCAAATTCAGAAGCTTCTCATTTCTAAGCTTGCGCTCATATTTTGTAAAGGGAATTATTTCACCTCTAATATATGCCTTTAATGTCTCCCACAAAAGAGAGGCCGAGATATTAGAGCTTTCATTAGTTGATAAAAAGAAATCAATTTGTCGCTCAATAAAAGAAACAAAGTTTTCATTAGCTAGAAGCTGAGTGTTAAGACGCCACAATGAGCGACCGGATTGTGACTGAAATTGGATATTTATTGAAACGGGAGCATGATCGGATAGGACAATTGCATCGTACTTGCAATCCATTAAGGAAGGTAAAAGTCTGTTATCGAGTAAAAAGAAGTCAATGCAAGTAAAAGTATGGTGGACAGGCGAAAAAAAAGAATATACTTTTTGTTGAGGATTTAAAAAGCGCCAAGGATCCATTAGGGAAAATTCTTTGGTAAAAGAATTAAGTGCTTTTGCTGCACGTGTAAGGCTAGCAGCTTTATTAGATGACCGGTCTAAGTCCACGTCTTGCCAACAGTTAAAATCACCTGCCATCACTAGCATGTAAGATGACATATTAGGGAGTCGTGCAATCAGTCGTTTGAGAAAATCCTCGTCATCATAATTTGGAGCATAAACATTTACTAAAGCTAAGGGAACATTGTTGATGGTACAAGTAATAATTACATATCTACCATTCGGATCGGAAATTGATTGTAAGTACACAAAAGGAACAGATTTTCGTATTAGAATTGCTACATCCCTAGATTTACTATTAAAAGATGAATGATATATGTTACTAATCCAATTCTTTTTTAATTTCAAATGGTCCAAGTTTTTCAAATGAGTTTCTTGCAAGTAGATAACATGAGCCCCAAGCTGATGAATGTGGTGCAATACCTTACTACGTTTTAGTGGGTTGTTGAGCCCTTTGCAGTTAAAACTGGTAAAACGAATCTCTTGTCTTGAAGATGGTGATGAATTGTGTGCCATGATTAAGATCTCTTAAGGAATCTCAAAGCAGTATCTTCTGACCACCTGTAAAAAGAAAATATGAGAAAAAACAAAAAAGAGAACAGAGAACATACCCAAACCACCCACCCACCTCCCCACAAAAAAAAAAAAAAAATCGCAGAAGTGCCTTCTGAAACCAGACACGCGACCCCATCTACCCCAGTGAAAGAAATACCAGGCCTAACTAAGGCAAGGAGAGAAAAGCACCTAAAAAAATAAAGTGCAACTCTCCAGTGGAATGTGAAATTCTTCAAAAGAAAAAAAAAAAAAAGGTCACCAATGACTTAAATTTTTTTTTAGTAGTTATAAAAATATGTATAAAAAATAAATAAAAGGATCACAGCAAAGATAGAAATAAAAAATATATATATATATATATATATATATATATCTATGTATAAATAAATAAAATATCAGAAGTATATCTTATGTATTTATAAAATAAAGTTATGAATATCAAAGTAAAATGGAAAAAAATCAGATCAATGAAAGAAAGGATAATAATAATAATACAACAGTAAAATAAATAAATTATAAAAAAATTACAATGTAATAGTTCTTACCATCCTCCCCAACAATAACTGCAACAGAAAAACGGAATATAACATATGCGTCGTCCATATGTATACAACCTCAGTGCTCATTGACGCATTTACCAACCAAGGATACCATAATAGTAATAATAAAATAAAAAAACACCAACCAAAAAAAATAAATAAATAAAAAAAAAAATATATATATATATATATATAGATTGGGACATTGCTCAAAAGAAAAAAGTCAGAGCATTTATGCATGTACACATTGTAAAAGTAATAACACACATTTTAACTAGAAGAAAACAAATTATTGCACCAATGAATAGACTCAAACCTATTCATTATAAAATGTAAAGTTTGTCCATCGTAACAGGTCGTTTAAACAGACTGTGGGTCCACCATGGTCTTGAGATTTTTCTTCACAAAGTCCATAGCCAAGTCAGGACTGTCAAACGTGCGAAGCTGTCCATTGGGGAGTGTTATTCTCAGTGATGCTGGGAAGAAAAGTCCAAACTTTATCCCTGGACAGGAATGAAGTTCTTTCTTCACGCCGCTGAATGCAGCGCGCTTCTTTGCCACAATGGCCGTAAAATCAGGGAAAATAAACACTCGTTTCCCCTGAAAGGTCAGGGCAGGTGACTCACGGGCTTTGCGGAGAATTTCATTCCTTGTCTGGAACTGGTTGACACGAACCACGAAGGGCCGCGGCGGGGCTCCGTCTCCGGGTCTGGGCCGCAGAGTCCGATGCGCCCGGTCGAGAATAGGTTTGACATCGAGGTGAAGTAGATTGTGCAGAAAATCGGCCACAAATTCTGTTGGGCGAGGGCCCTCCGTACCTTCAGCAACGCCAACAATTCGAATATTATTGAGTCTGGAGCGTCCCTCTAGTTCGTCACATTTATTCGTCAATAGCTCAACTTTTCCCTGAAGTTGGCTAACAGAGGCTTGTATGCTAGTTAGCCTCTGCTCATGGTCGTTAGCTGCTCCTTCCAAGTCGGATATGGCAGACGCATACGATGTAATTTTAGACTCTAAAGGGGCCAACGCATCCGTAACTTCACGTTTAACAACGTCTGCAACAATTGCCTCAAATTTGCCTATGATATCTCCACGCATTTCCTCCATCATCTCCCTCATGTTAGCTAGCAATGCGCCGTTAGCCGCTGAGGTAGCATCCTGTTCAGGCATATTTCTCGTTGTCATACCCGCTTTCCGTCTCATCTGAGCGCCAAACAAATCCGAAGGACCATAAGGGATGATAAGAAACCAATACTAAACAAGTCTTCGCACTTATGATTTAAAAAAAGGTGCACAATATCACAAAAATATCACATTCCGGCGGAGCCACCTCAAAGCACGTCTTGCACCATCCGTGCTCAGCAGCGCCCCCATGTGTATGATTGATTTAAGATAATCAATAGGGAGGATTGTTGTGGCGAGTTTCATATATTAGAATATATTGTACTAAAATTCACTGATACATTTGCAGACAAAGGCCGCCTGTCTTGTACAAAGAGGCCTTCACTTTCACATGACCTTCGCAAAGGCGATGGTACCATGTGCCACTCCTTTGATCGTTATAATGTTTAATGTTATGACAGGTGCACTATCATTCTTTTGCCCTCCCTTCTTTTACCTCGTCTTCCTGCATAACTCAACCCACCTTACCCCCACTGTGACATGTCTTGTTCTTTGTTCTAGCTTTTCGCAGGACTATATTATCAAATGTTAGATGTGAGCAGACCAGAGAGAGAGACCAGAGAGAGACCAGAGAGAGACCAGAGAGAGACCAGAGAGAGACCAGAGAGAGAGACCAGAGAGAGACCAGAGAGAGAGACCAGAGAGAGACCAGAGAGAGACCAGAGAGAGAGACCAGAGAGAGACCAGAGAGAGAGACCAGAGAGAGACCAGAGAGAGAGACCAGAGAGAGAGACCAGAGAGAGACCAGAAAGAGACCAGAGAGAGAGACCAGAGAGAGACCAGAGAGAGAGACCAGAGAGAGACCAGAAAGAGACCAGAGAGAGAGACCAGAGAGAGAGACGACGCAGGCTTTGAGTGCGTCGCTTCTGTCTCACTCTGCAGAGTATTATTGTATTTGTTATTCTCGTCACCTTTAAAATAAATTGCACAAAGACAAGCTGTTTTCTCTCGGATCCATTCATTGAAGTATTTAAATTTCCACTACAATATGTCTCTGTCTCTGTGTGTGTGTGTCTTTGTGTGTCTGTGTGTGTGTGTGTGTGTGTGAGTGTATGTGTGTGTGAGTGTGTGTCTGACCTGGTTTCCTTATGTACTCTCCTGGCAGACAGCGCCTGTGTCTCTGTGAGGCCCCACAGCTGAGGTCCTCCAGGAGCCTCAGACAGAAGTGTCCCTCGTCTGCTTCACACACAGTGTTAGAGGTTCTGGAGCACGGGGCCTTCACCTTCAGACCAGGCCCTGACCACAAACACACAACTGAGACCAGAGGGAGAGACCAGAGGGAGACCAGAGAGAGAGACCAGAGGGAGAGACCAGAGAGGGAGACCAGAGAGAGAGACCAGAGGGAGAGACCAGAGAGGGAGACCAGAGGGAGAGACCAGAGGGAGACCAGAGAGCACACGTCAGTCCTGGTCTCTCACCTGTAGCACACGTGCGGCAGCGCACACATGTTCTCTCTTTTCCCAGTGGTACCAACCAGGGCTCATCCTGGTTGGTACCATCAGGACATGGTTCACAGGAGACACAGCGGAACTTTGAGCAGTTGTTCTTCATCAACGCCTCTGAAACACAAGAGCCTCATTCACACCGAGCAGGACCCAGGCCCCTCCCCCTCTCACTGAACCACAAACATGTATTTTCAGTCGTGCAGATCAATGTAGCTCTGTATCCTACAGCAAATTTCCCTTGGGACAATGAAGTTTATCTTCTTATTTTATACAGTATTCTGTTACTTTGGAAAAAGTAGACACCATGGGTATGGTCTGGACACATGGTCTTTACCTGCTGGACACCAGGGGCAACAGTCTCTCTGGGGCTGGTTCTGGCTGGTCACGAGAGCCAAGAGGAGGATCTGAAACAGAAGGTTTTAGATCAAGCTCATGATACAACTACTTTTCTTTAAAAAGCAGAAGTTAGCCTCGTCCACAATATCTACATTCAACCATTTCTGGGCTAAAAAAGTGACATTCTAACTCTGTGTAATACTAATGTTACAGATGCAGCATCTCTGTGAAGGACAAAGAGACTTATCTAAACATAAAAATATCTAAGAATAATAAAAATGTAGGAGAAGATCTGGACCTCCGTGGGTTGCCGTGGAGACAGTCTGACCCTGTGCTACATCCTACCCTCCATCCTGAAGATAGGCGTCAGAACCTGCTGAGATGACACCTTATCGAGGCACTGAGTCTGGGCAAAACAAAGGAAATCTGTTAGGATTTAGCAGACTGAGACGGATCGTGGTGTGCCAAACTCTGGAAGTTTATTTAAGTTTCTCTCAAGTTCCACTGGTTTACTCTGTTTCTTTCTCTCAGACAGAATAAAGGCAGGACACAGTTTATATAGTCATTGTCACGTCACACATCGAAAGACATACGTGTCACAAAGAGACAGTCAAATCATAGTCATAACATGGAGTCCTTGTACAGTCCTTGTACAGTCCTGCACGTAGGCCATATTGCTATCTAATACTAACACCCTCCCCTTTGATCACATAATCACATGTGATCACTCAAATCAATCAATCAATAAAATGGAAAAAGAAAAAAAAAAATTCCAAAAAAAACTTCAAAAAATTATTAAAAACAAAGAAAATGTATGCATTAAACTCATAATCATCAAATCAATATCAGTGGATTTTATCCTCTATCCTGGGAAAAAACAAAACAAACAAAAACAAACAAATACTATTGGACACACAAGAACTCAGCAGATTCAGTCAAAACACAGACAAAAACGAGCTGAGTCTCAAATTTGAAGCTAATTTCACTTTTCTTACTCTATACTTTTATTCTAATGCTAATTGTTTACACTTCACTTATTTCACTGTATTATTTTCACTTTTCAATCTTAGACTGTGTACTTTACTTTCATGATTCACTATAGTTTAAAACTATTCTAATCTATTTACAAATATGTTTGCATATTTGCTTCTATTGAGCCATATTCTTAAACATACATTTTAATCTAATAAATCTCTCTGTGGTTTACTTTCATTATCAGTGGCATATTATCAGTGGATTTTGCTCTATGTCTATTCTCATTCTCAGGAATAAAACTGTGAACACAGTAAGGCAAATGGTTAATATAAACATTATTATGGCGGTCAGTTTTCCAAATACATTTGTTGAACCAGGAAGTGCTGTCACTTCCTCCTCTCAGACAGTTTGGGATGAATGTAAATCATTAATCAAATTGGAACTATCCTTACAAGAGCTAATCTATTTTAGCAGGTTTGGGGTTGGGGTCAGTTATTCTTCTACAATGGTGTTTGCGCTGGAAACTTCTCAATATCTAAATATCTACTATTGTGTTTTTGTGCTATACACAAATGCATCAAAATGCTTTTAAATGCTTTTAAATCTCTGTTGGTTCTAATCTATTTCATTGATCTAGGCATTAATCTAGGCTACACTCATATGAACTTTTTGTATTGTCAACATTCACTCATGTTTGAACACAAGTGAATTTGACAGTATCTAATAAAACTGTACATAAAACTGTAATTAACTTTATCTACTTTTGAAGTAAATGTTTGTGAAATGGTCCCTTTACCATTTGATATTAGCACTGGCTACAAATAATCTCTATTTTTGAAAGCATCTATGGTTGATGCATTTATCTAATTCTATATTTCCTCTATTTTTTAACTCCAAAGCTCGGCTGCAGCTTGAGCAAAGGCATATTCCTAGTTTGTGACTTCTGTCACTTTCAATATCTGTAACATAATTCTGATTCTAATATTATAGCTGATCTATCAAAAGGATAACATTGTAGGGTACTATTTTAACTCTTATGTGGAAATGTGTTTATGAAAAACAAAGGAAGTCAAATTCTACTCTTTTACTACTATTTAACATCTACTAAAACGCTACAATACTCATACTTTATCATTTTCAAAGTTTTTGTCTGTCAGATGTCTGAATACTTAACATTTATATTGCATTTGGTCACAGTTGTGGTTCTGGTTGTAGCAAAAGCATCGGCAATAGACGTTTTCATTGGCTGGTTCTTGTTCTGCAAAAGTCTGTGTCCAATAGATCATCAGATGTCCAGAAGCTAGGGACAAACAAAAACAAAAGAAAGAATCATGAGTATCTCTCTCATTTAGCACTCATCAATGTATGATTTCAAAAATATAAACATCACTCCCCAGTTTTCTCTCTCAGGTCCTCAGGTCCTCAGGGTCCCCTGAGGGTGAGTCTCAGTCGTCATCAGGTCAGGTCATCTTGGACATCAGTAGGGTCCAAGCCAGGGTATCAGGTCTCTCCAGGTTCATTCTGGTCACTCCAGGTACATCTGGTCAATGGTGGCGCAGTCTCGCAGTTCCTGTACACAGCTTGTTATGCAGTAGTTACTCTCTATGGTTAAGTCACTTTGATTCTACTTTAACACAATTTCTATTCATGCTGTTGGTAATGTCCCTTAGACAAAAGCAAGCGCAATGATTCAGTTTACTTCTCTAATTTGGGTTTGGGTTTTTATCAGATGTAATCAATGTAATTACTTCACACAGTACAAAATCAACAAATCAAAAGTGTCAGGACAGAGGTCAATTAGTCCATGACAATATAGAATTCAAATGAACATTTCTGGTCTCAAAAAATACTGATTCAACTAAAGATTCAAGTGATAGACAATTAAAAATATGTGTTTACATTGGAGTAAACTTTTAAAATGCTTTTTTCTCATGTTCTGCTTTTTCATGTATCTATATGTAAATGTGAATGTGTTAGTGTATGAATGTATGTGTGTGTGTATGTGTGTGTGTGTGTATGTGAATTTTTGGGTTGTTTCTCCAGACTCCTCGAACCACCTGTAGGTGTCAAAGGTCACACTGTGGTGATGCAAACCAACTGGACACACTCTCAACTCTCATTCAGGTCTCTCCCTGATGCTCCACCATCACGTCTCCAGAAACCTCTCTTTCATGGCCCCGGTCTCACTCCCACTTACTTCTGTAGTGGGGGGAGGGGCAAGGAGGTGGCATTTTCCTTTGCTCTTAGCTCTGTGACCTGTGGCTGGGTGGGCTTTGGTGTCCAGTGTCCAGCAGTCCAGTGACCCTGTACAGTGTGTGCTCTTGGTTCTGGAAAACAACCTTATAGTCAAATTAAAAACAACAGAGATTGTGAATGAGCTTGTTTTTCTCCCTAAAGTCAAAACAATTTTGAAGCGCTCTGGGTTTTCCCAAGCGCTATGTAAATAAAAGATTACTTATTATCTTACTAATGATGACATTTTAAGACCAGAAACTCTCAATATAAAAAACAAGACTCAAATCTCTTAAACTTTTTAAACTTTAAAATATGTATTATGTACTTTTGCACTGTGTGATTAATTATCTATGCATTTATCTCAGCATATATTTTACTAATTTAAAATAATTGCAGCATTTTTCAAATGAAGTCAGTATGAATTGGAGCACATTTTAGACCAGTCTCCTCTGCTGTGGCATCAGCAGGAGCAACAAGGTCAGGCGTGTAGTCAAAACAAAAACAAAAGTCACCACTTGCATGTGAATTGGGTAGTTTAACTTAATAATACTTTTACAGCCTAATTCCCTCTTTCTTTTTTAGACGAAGTCTACAATCATTAATCACTTTTAACAGATTCTAATTTAAATGTTTGAAAAACGGCTTTTGTAACTAAAATAAAAAATACATGAAAAAATTCTCACTAACAGCTATGAAATATCAGATACAATAATGGACTCACAAAATAAGCAGCAGATTTAAAAGAATGGAATCTAGAAATATGTTAGGTCTAAAAAGAATTGCACAGCTTTAGCACTAATATTTGGGTTTCAAAAAACATATAATATTCAAAACTTACTCACTAATGGTGTTTAAAAACGTTTAACTGTGTCTAACACAATGTTCAAATGGCAAATTTAGAAAATTTAACGGAATAACTACTATGAAAAGCCAAATTCCTAAAGCAGTAGCTTCCCTTTAAATCAGAGCAGCAGCAGCAGCAGCAGGAGGGCGGGGGGGGTTCCTTTCACACAGACACGCACACACAGGCAGAAAGTAGTGTTTTAGCAAGAAATGCTAAAACAGAAAGAAGAATAACTTTCAAGATTACTTTGTTAAGCAAATATAACTTGTAGTTTATACTTTTGTCATCCAAGTCTAGAAATGATCACTTTCCACACTTGTAACAAAAGGCACTCTTGTCTTTAACGTTTACGCTTCTATTTTATTGAGGTAGCAAACTAATTTAAACTCAAAATCTCTTTCTAAAAAACAAAAACAACTGTTGGATACAGCCCTCTCATAGCTCAACTGTAGATAAAACTCGGCAAAAAAATGTAAATAACTCACGAAAGCTCTCATAGCTCAACTTTAGATAAAACTCTGCATTCTCCGGTGAACTCTGTTCACGCCGAAAACAAAAACTCCTTTTTCTGTATGTAATTTAAACCGTGATCACTGAAATATTGTTGATTCTTTACTTTTGTCATTTATCAAGCCTGGAATTGGTTAATTACAAAACTTTTTGTGACAAAAGGCCTCCTTAACACGTTTCCCTTTTTATTGCTTTTATGTTTACAC